ACACATGTGAATATAAACAATAAACAGATTTTTCACCGGACTTGTTTGTTTATGAGTCTGTGATCTGCATTTAGAGAAGATTCAGCAGGAGGCCAGTCCCTGTGCTCCTCAGAGTCCCAGCAGGAGGCCAGTCCCTGTGCTCCTCAGAGCAGGAGGCCAGTCCCTGTGCTCCTGGTGCTCCTGGTTATGTTGCATTTCCACTAATGATAGTCCTGGAGTTTGCGTTACTTTTTTACCTCGACTGTGGTTCCATCCCCGTAGTACCGGTACCGTGAGGTGACGTCGGCCCACTGCCTTACACTGATTGGTCAACGAGTGTCGTCACTGGAAGCGACATCTGACCCTTTGGGAAAAACAACTCAACCGCCATCTTTAAAACCGGCTGCTCTGCTTCGGCAGAACAGTGATGACAGATGTTTGTGTGCAGTGGAAAGTCCAGACCGCTGCATGAGAGAGAGTGACACAGCAGCTTCCTCTCTCTGGTCTCTCTCTGGTCCCTCTCTCAGGTCTCTCTCTAGTCTCTCCCTCTGGTCTCTCTCTCTGGTCCCTCTCTCTGGTCCCTCTCTCAGGTCTCTCTCTAGTCTCTCCCTCTGGTCTCTCTCTCTGGTCCCTCTCTCTGGTCCCTCTCTCAGGTCTCTCTCTAGTCTCTCCCTCTGGTCTCTCTCTCTGGTCCCTCTCTCTGGTCCCTCTCTCTGGTCTCTCTCTCTGGTCTCTCTCTCTGGTCCCTCTCTCTGGTCTCTCTCTCTGGTCCCTCTCTCTGGTCTCTCTCTCTGGTCTCTCTCTCTGGTCTCTCTCTCTGGTCCCTCTCTCTGGTCTCTCTCTCTGGTCTCTCTCTCTGGCCTCTCTCTCTGGTCTCTCTCTGGTCTCTCTCTCTGGTCTCTCTCTCTGGTCCCTCTCTCTGGTCTCTCTCTCTGGTCTCTCTCTCTGGTCCCTCTCTCTGGTCCCTCTCTCTGGTCCCTCTCTCTGGTCTCTCTCTGGTCCCTCTCTCTGGTCCCTCTCTCTGGTCCCTCCCTCTGGTCTCTCTCTCTGGTCTCTCTCTCTGGTCTCTCTCTCTGGTCTCTCTCTCTGGTCTCTCTCTCAGGTCTCTCTCTAGTCTCTCCCTCTGGTCTCTCTCTGGTCTCTCTCTCTGGTCTCTCTCTCTGGTCTCTCTCTCTGGTCTCTCTCTGGTCCCTCTCTCAGGTCTCTCTCTAGTCTCTCCCTCTGGTCTCTCTCTCTGGTCCCTCTCTCTGGTCCCTCTCTCTGGTCCCTCTCTCTGGTCTCTCTCTCTGGTCTCTCTCTGGTCCCTCTCTCTGGTCTCTCTCTGGTCTCTCTCTCTGGTCCCTCTCTTTGGTCTCTCTCTCTGGTCTCTCTCTCTGGTCCCTCTCTCTGGTCCCTCTCTCTGGTCTTTCTCTCTAGTCTCTCCCTCTGGTCTCTCTCTCTGGTCTGGTCTCTCTCTCTGGTCCCGCTCTCTGGTCTCTCTCTGGTCTCTCTCGCTGATCTCTCTCTCTGGTCCCTCTCTCTGGTCCCTCTCTCTGGTCCCTCTCTCTGGTCTCTCTCTCAGGTCTCTCTCTAGTCTCTCCCTCTGGTCTCTCTCTCTGGTCTCTCTCTGGTCTCTCTCTGGTCTCTCCCTCTGGTCTTTCTCTCTGGTCTCTCTCTGGTCTCTCTCCTCTGGTCTTTCTCTCTGGTCTCTCTCTGGTCTCTCCCTGGTCTCTCAGTGGTCTCTCTCTGGTCTCTCTCTGGTCTCTCTCTCTGGTCTCTCTCTCTGGTCTCTCTCTCTGGTCTCTCTCTCTGGTCCCTCTCTCAGGTCTCTCTCTAGTCTCTCCCTCTGGTCTCTCTCTCTGGTCCCTCTCTCTGGTCCCTCTCTCTGGTCCCTCTCTCTGGTCTCTCTCTCTGGTCTCTCTCTGGTCCCTCTCTCTGGTCTCTCTCTGGTCTCTCTCTCTGGTCCCTCTCTTTGGTCTCTCTCTCTGGTCTCTCTCTCTGGTCCCTCTCTCTGGTCCCTCTCTCTGGTCTTTCTCTCTAGTCTCTCCCTCTGGTCTCTCTCTCTGGTCTGGTCTCTCTCTCTGGTCCCGCTCTCTGGTCTCTCTCTGGTCTCTCTCGCTGGTCTCTCTCTCTGGTCCCTCTCTCTGGTCTCTCTCTCTGGTCCCTCTCTCTGGTCCCTCTCTCTGGTCCCTCTCTCTGGTCCCTCTCTCTGGTCCCTCTCTCTGGTCTCTCTCTCAGGTCTCTCTCTAGTCTCTCCCTCTGGTCTCTCTCTCTGGTCTCTCTCTGGTCTCTCTCTGGTCTCTCTCTGGTCTCTCCCTCTGGTCTTTCTCTCTGGTCTCTCTCTGGTCTCTCTCTGGTCTCTCCCTCTGGTCTTTCTCTCTGGTCTCTCTCTGGTCTCTCCCTGGTCTCTCAGTGGTCTCTCTCTGGTCTCTCTCTGGTCTCTCTCTCTGGTCTCTCTCTGGTCCCTCTCTCTGGTCTCTCTCTGGTCTCTCTGGTCTCTCTCTCTGGTCCCTCTCTCTGGTCTCTCTCTCTGGTCCCTCTCTCTAGTCTCTCTCTCTGGTCTCTCTCTCTGGTCTCTCTCTCTGGTCCCTCTCTCTGGTCTCTCTCTCTGGTCTCTCTCTGGTCTCTCTCTCTGGTCTCTCTCTGGTCCCTCTCTCTGGTCTCTCTCTGGTCCCTCTCTCTGGTCTCTCTCTGGTCTCTCTCTCTGTGTCTCTCTCTGGTCTCTCTCTCTGGTCTCTCTCTCTGGTCCCTCTCTCTGGTCCCTCTCTCTGGTCTCTCTCTGGTCTCTCTCTGGTCTCTCTCTCTGGTCTCTCTCTCTGGTCCCTCTCTCTGGTCCCTCTCTCTGGTCTCTCTCTGGTCTCTCTCTCTGGTCCCTCTCTCTGGTCCCTCTCTCTGGTCCCTCTCTCTGGTCCCTCTCTCTGGTCTCTCTCTCTGGTCCCTCTCTCTGGTCTCTCTCTCTGGTCTCTCTCTCTGGTCTCTCTCTCTGGTCTCTCTCTCTGGTCTCTCTCTCTGGTCCCTCTCTCTGGTCCCTCTCTCTGGTCTCTCTCTGGTCCCTCTCTCTGGTCTCTCTCTCTGGTCTCTCTCTCTGGTCCCTCTCTCTGGTCCCTATCTCTGGTCTCTCTCTGGTCTCTCTCTGGTCTCTCTCTCTGGTCTCTCTCTCTGGTCCCTCTCTCTGGTCTCTCTCTGGTCTCTCTCTGGTCTCTCTCTCTGGTCCCTCTCTCTGGTCTCTCTCTGGTCTCTCTCTGGTCCCTCTCTCTGGTCCCTCTCTCTGGTCCCTCCCTCTGGTCTCTCTCTCTGGTCCCTCTCTCTGGTCTCTCTCTCTGGTCCCTCTCTCTGGTCTCTCTCTCAGGTCTCTCTCTAGTCTCTCTCTCTGGTCTCTCCCTCTGGTCTTTCTCTCTGGTCCCTCTCTCTGGTCTCTCTCTCAGGTCTCTCTCTAGTCTCTCCCTCTGGTCTCTCTCTGGTCTCTCTCTCTGGTCTCTCTCTCTGGTCCCTCTCTCAGGTCTCTCTCTAGTCTCTCTCTCTGGTCTCTCCCTCTGGTCTTTCTCTCTGGTCTCTCTCTGGTCTCTCTCTGGTCCGTAACTAACTGTTCCAGGAGCAGTGGTCAGACCGGTTTGGGAGCAACACCGAAGTGTGTGTGTGTGTGTGTGTGTGTGTGTGTGTGTGTGTGTGTGTGTGTGTGTGTGTGTGTGTGTGTGTGTGTGTGTGTGTGTGTGTGGTGTGTGTGTGTGTGTGTGTGTGTGTGTGTGTGTGTGTGTGTGTGTGTGTGTGTGTGTGTGTGTGTGTGTGTGTGTGTGTGTGTGTGTGTGTGTGTGTGTGTGTGTGTGTGTGTGTGTGTGTGTGTGTGTGTGTGAGAGGGGATCCCCCTGAGTGACTGCTGTAAAATCCTGCTTCTGAAAATCCCCTGAGTTCATACAAGAGGAATGTGGTGCAGCGCCACAGGAGAGGGAGGAGAGAGCGACGAGGAGAGGGAGGAGGAGAGAGGGAGGAGAAGAGGGAGAGGAGGGGGAGACAGTGGCTCAGTTGGTGGAGCATTGGCCTTTGAGCCTGCAGGTTGTGGGTTCGAGCCCACCACACTTTCTCCACCAACTCCCACTGAGGCCTGAAGCCCCCACTGAAAGACCAAGGCTGTTTCACCGCTGACGGAGCAGTGGACCCTCCCCCTGCAGAGGGTGCTCTGATGGTCACCCCCCGACCCAGAAATTGACTAATAAAGGGTTTGAAAATGAATGAATAATAATGAGACGTGGAGAGTCCAAAAAAGCGCTGCATTATTATGTGGTCTCTGGTCTCTCTCTGGTCTCTCTCTGGTCTCTCTCTGGTCTCTCTCTGGTCTCTCTCTGGTCTCTCTCTGGTCTCTCTCTGGTCTCTCTCTGGTCTCTCTCTGGTCTCTCTCTGGTCTCTCTCTGGTCTCTCTCTGGTCTCTCTCTGGTGCAGAAAAAGCCGAATCGTGCTGATGCAGTTGGTTGTTTTATTGCATAAATACACCACAGTCCTACAGATATAGAAACACACACACAACACACTGATACGCACGCACACACACACACGCACACAAACACACACATATATATACATTAACAACATAAATATTAAATAATTATTAAATAAATAATCAGGGGAAAGTTCCAGAGTCGAAAGAGGTCAGTACAATCTCAGGTGAGACACACACAGACACACACACACACATACACACACGGACACGCACGCACACACACACACACACACACAGAGACACACACACACAGACGCGCACACAAACACACGCACACACAGAGACACACACACACAGACGCGCACACAAACACACACACACAGAGACACACAGACGCACACAGACACAGACACACACAGACGCACACACACAGACAGTCCAGTGCAGTTTTTCCTGCGACGTTAGCTCGCCACAGTAACAGACGTGTTGCTAGGCGGTTGCTAAGGTAAATGAAGGCCTTTGATTGATCAATTCTTATATGACTCCCAATGTAAACACACCATGGGACAGTCACATGGTCTGAGGACAGTCACATGGTCACATGGTCCAATCAGAAGAGGGCGAACAGGCCAAAGAAGGTCCTGCCCTCCTCGGTCTCCAGCTCCTGCAGGTGGTTGGTCTCGGTCCAGAGCCGATCTCCAGTGTGGAGCTGTACCACTGCTCCCAGGTAGAGGGCGCTGTACCAGCCGCGCGCCTCCTCACGCGCCTCCTCAGGTGCCTCCCCACGCTCCTCCTGCCCTGAGCTGCAAACACACAATTAATACTTTATGTATCTCCCATCACAGTACTAACCAGGCCCTGCCCTGCTTAGCTTCAGACGTTGGGTATCAGTTTAAGAGAGATAGACCAGAGAGAGAGACCAGAGAAAAACCAGAGTGAGACGAGAGAGAGAGACCAGAGAGAGACCAGAGTGAGAGACAAGAGAGAGAGACCAGAGAAAAACCAGAGTGAGGCCAGAGAGAGAGACCAGAGAGAGACCAGAGAGAGACCAGAGTGAGAGACAAGAGAGAGAGACCAGAGAGAGAGACCAGAGAGAGACCAGAGAGAGAGACCAGAGAGAAACCAGAGTGAGACCAGAGAGAGAGACCAGAGTGAGACCAGAGAGAGAGAGACCAGAGAGAGAGACCAGAGAGAGACCAGAGAGAGACCAGAGTGAGACCAGAGTGAGACCAGAGAGAGAGACCAGAGAGAGACCATAGTGAGACCAGAGTGAGACCAGAGAGCAGCAGTGTTATGGTCACTCACTCAGAGCACACAGTCCGCACCGCGCTCATGATGGACACCTCACTCCCCACAGATTCTGAGAACCTCCAGACGCGGTGGCTGAGGGGGGGCTGAGGCTCGGGGGGGAGGTGGGGGAGGCAGGAGGTCCTGAAAGAGGCCTGGCTGTAGATGAAGTACAGGCCGCTGTGGAGGACCGTGATCTGGTTCCTCTGGAGCCTCACGTTGCCCTGAGAGAAACCCTGACCCTGACCACTGCTCCACTGCAGACCAGGCACCTCCTCCTCCAGGCTGCCTGCAGGAGGAGCAGAGAGGAGTGAGGGGGAGTAGGGGGGAGGAGAAGAGCACGAGTGAGGAGCAGAGGAGGGGTGAGGCGCAGGGGAGGGGTGAGGAGCAGGGGAGGGGTGAGGAGAAGTGAGGAGCAGGGGAGGGGTGAGGAGAAGTGAGGAGCAGAGGAGGTGAAGTGAGGAGCAGAGGAGGAGAAGTGAAGAGGAGGAGGAGGAGTGAGGAGGAGAAGAGCAGAGGAGGAGTAGTGAGGAGGAGGAGGAGGAGAAGTGAGGAGTAGAGGATGAGGAGTGAGGAGCAGAAGAGGACGAGTGTGGAGCAGGAGGAGGAGGAGTGAGGAGCAGAGGAGGAGGAGTGAGGAGCAGAAGAGGAGGAGTGAGGAGCAGAGGAGGAGGAGGAGTGAGGAGCAGAGGAGGAGGAGGAGTGAGGAAGAGGAACAGGAGGAGAAATGAGGAGGAGTGACCTTCCAGATGGATGGCAGTTCTGGCCCGACTGCTGATCCTCCTCAAAGCGGACACAGGATCTGTAGTCAGAGGTCAGAGGTCAGAGGTCATGTATATATAAAACCACACTGCTCCTCCTGAATCCCAGATTCGACCATCGGTCGTAGCCTCCTCTCCAGTACCTTGGAGTAGACACCGGTCTGAGAGGGACCACCACCCCGGTCTGAGAGGGACCACCACCCTGGTCTGAGAGGGACCACCACCCTGGTCTGAGAGGGGCTACCACCCCGGTCTGAGAGGGACCACCACCCCGGTCTGAGAGGGACCACCACCCCGGTCTGAGAGGGACCACCACCGGGTTCGGGGGTTGCCGCCGGGACCAGCACCAGAGACCTTGCGACCACAGCTACGAGCCGCTGCCTCGGCGATAGAAGAAGAGAACATGGTCCACTCAGACTCGATGTCCCCCTCCTCCGCCGGGACCTGGGAGAAACTCTCCCGGAAGTGAAAGTTGAAAGTCCGTCTGACAGGGGGCTCAGAGAGACGTTCCCAGCAGACCCTCACTATACGCTTGGGTCTGCCAGGTCTGGCCGGCTTCCTCCCCTGCCAGCCTCCAACCGACCAGGTGGTGATCGGTTGACAGCTCCGCCCCTCTCTTTACCCGAGTGTCCGAGACACGCGGCCGAAGGTCAGATGATACGACAACAAAGTCGATCATCGACCTCCGGCCTAGGGTGTCCTGGTGCCACGTGCACTGGTGGACACCCTTGTGCTCGAACATGGTGTTCGTGATGGACAGGCCGTGACTGGCACAGAAGTCCAACAACTGAACACCGCTCGGGTTCAGATCAGGGGGGCCGTTCTTTCCTATCACCCTCCAAGTGTCACTGGCGTCCCCCACATGGGCGTGTAAGTCCCCCAGGAGAATAACGGAGTCCCCGGGCGGTGCACCGTCCAGTACACCCCCCAGGGACTCCAAGAAGGCCGAGTACTCTGCACTGCTGTTAGGCCCGTAGGCCGTCACAACAATGAGAGACTGGTCCCCCACCCGGAGGCGGAGGGACGCGACCCTCTCATTCACCGGGGAGAACTCCAACACGTGGCGGCTGAGATGGGGGGCAATGAGAATGGCCACCCCAGCTCGCCGCCTCTCCCCACGAGAAACACCACAAAAGTGGAGCGTCCAAACCCTCTCAAGGAGTTGGGTTGGGTTGGGTTTGTGTGGAGGTGAGGCCGACTATCTCTAGGTATCTCTCAACCTCCCCCACGAGCTCGGGCTCCTTCCCCCCCAGTGAGGTGACGTTCCAAGTCCCAAGAGCCAGATGTTGTGTGTGCGGACTGGGTCGCCGAGGTCTCCGCCTTTGACTGCTGCCCAGTCCTCTCTGCACTGCGCCACCACGGACCCCTCTGCAGGTGGTGGGCCCACAGGAGGGACTTGGAGGCGACGTCACCGATTTCATAATAGTGCGATCCATGGTGGCTTCGGACTGCTCTTTGTCTGACTCGTCACCTGAGACCTGTGTACCATGGGAGACCCTACCAGGGGCATGGAGCCCTGTGTACCATGGGAGACCCTATCAGGGGCATGGAGCCCCAGACAACATAGCTCCAGGATCATCCAAGTACTCATGTATATATGTGTATATGTACATGTACAGTAACATGTGTATACAGTATATGTATATATGTATATGTGTATATGTATATATGTATATGTGTATATGTATATATGTATATGTGTATATGTGTATATGTATATGTGTATATGTATATATGTACAGTAACATGTATAGATAAATTTTGAATTGTCTGTACTGATGAATAAATGAAATGAAGGAATCTGTCAGAGGTCAGAGGTCAGAGGTTAGAGGTCAGTCTCACCGTCGGTCTGCAGCAGCTCTGTCTGTCCTCCTGTCTGCACCTGAGACACACACAACTGTTAGACACACACACACAACTGTTAGACACAGACACACAACTGTCAGACACACAACTGTTAGACACAGATGCACAACTTTCAGACACACAACTGTTAGACACACAACTGTTAGACACACAACTGTTAGACACACAACTGTCAGACACACAACTGTTATACAAACAACTGTTAGACACACAACTGTCAGACACACAACTGTTAGACACAGACACACAACTGTCAGACACACAACTGTTAGACACAGACACACAACTTTCAGACGCACAACTGTTAGACACACAACTGTTAGACACAGACACACAACTGTCAGACACACAACTGTTAGACACAGACACACAACTGTTAGACACAGACACACAACTGTCAGACACACAACTATTAGACACACAACTGCCAGACACACAACTGTTAGACACAGACACACAACTGTCAGACACACAACTATTAGACACACAACTGTTGGACACACACACAACTGATAGACATAGACACACAACTGTCAGACACACAACTGTTACACACACAACTGTTGGACACACAGCTGTTGGACACACAACTGTTGGACACACAACTGCCAGGCCAAAGCTGCAGTCTGAGCCTCCACAGGCTCGTTGCAGCGGCTCTACTCCGAGCTCCTCCCCATAACTCTACAGCGACTCCCTCAGGCCCATAGGTGAGGACAGAGCTCTGACTGCAGACGCTGCTCCCTCTTCACCAGAACACATCCTGACTAACCATCTGTGAGCGGAGGAGAGACCAGAGAGAGACCAGAGAGACCAGAGAGAGACCAGAGAGAGACCAGAGAGACCAGAGAGAGACCAGAGAGAGACCAGAGAGAGACCAGAGAGACCAGAGAGAGACCAGAGAGAGACCAGAGAGAGACCAGAGAGACCAGAGAGAGACCAGAGAGAGACCAGAGAGACCAGAGAGAGACCAGAGAGAGACCAGAGACAGACCAGAGACAGACCAGAGACAGACCAGAGAGAGACCAGAGAGCACACCATGTTTTCCTGTGGTTGTACTCACAGCTTCTCGGTTCCTCCAGGTCCAGACCACGAAGACCACGACGAGGACCAGGATGAGCAGCACCAGACTTGCCATCAGCCTCAGGGCACGTTTGACCCAGGACTGGGTCTGCTGCAGGACCAGAACCTGGTCCTGCTCTGGGTCTGAGGAGGGTGGACTGTAGACCACCATGATGTCCTGGTTCAGACCTGCTCTAGTCGTGCTTTAGTCCTACTTTAGTCCTGCTTTAGTCCTGCTTTAGTCCTGCTTTAGACCTGCTTTAGACCTGCTTTAGACCTGCTTTAGTCCTGCTTTAGACCTGCTTTAGTTCTGCTTTAGTCCTGCTTTAGACCTGCTTTAGTCCTGCTTTAGTCCTGCTTTAGTCCTGCTTTAGACCTGCTTTAGACCTGCTTTAGACCTGCTTTAGTCCTGCTTTAGACCTGCTTTAGTCCTGCTTTAGACCTGCTTTAGTCCTGCTTTAGTCCTGCTTTAGTCCTGCTTTAGACCAGCTTTAGTCCTGCTTTAGTCCTGCTTTAGACCTGCTTTAGACCTGCTTTAGACCTGCTTTAGTCCTGCTTTAGACCTGCTTTAGTTCTGCTTTAGTCCTGCTTTAGTCCTGCTTTAGACCTGCTTTAGTTCTGCTTTAGTCCTGCTTTAGTCCTGCTTTAGTCCTGCTTTAGACCTGCTTTAGTCCTGCTTTAGACCTACTTTAGTCCTGCTTTAGTCCTGCTTTAGACCTGCTTTAGACCTGCTTTAGACCTGCTTTAGTCCTGCTTTAGTCCTGCTTTAGACCTGCTTTAGTCCTGCTTTAGTCCTGCTTTAGACCTGCTTTAGTCCTGCTTTAGTCCTGCTTTAGTCCTGCTTTAGACCTACTTTAGTCCTGCTTTAGACCTGCTTTAGTCCTGCTTTAGACCTGCTTTAGTTCTGCTTTAGTCCTGCTTTAGACCTGCTTTAGTCCTGCTTTAGTCCTGCTTTAGTCCTGCTTTAGTCCTGCTTTAGTCCTGCTTTAGTCCTGTTTTAGACCTGCTTTAGTCCTGCTTTAGTCCTGTTTTAGACCTGCTTTAGTCCTGCTTTAGTCCTGCTTTAGTCCTGCTTTAGTCCTGCTTTAGTCCTGCTTTAGTCCCTTGTCTCTCTCCTTCAGTGAAGTTTTGCAGTAAAGCTGGTTTTATGCACAAAGAGGTGAGTGGGAAAGTCCACTGACATCATGAGGAGGAAGGACTAGAGCAGCAGAGCTTAGGACCAGGAGACACCAGAGAGAGAGACCAGAGAGAGAGACCAGAGAGAGAGACCAGAGAGAGAGACCAGAGAGAGAGACCAGAGAGAGAGACCAGAGAGAAAGACCAGAGAGAGAGACCAGAGAGAACAGAGAGAGAGAGACCAGAGAGAGAGACCAGAGAGACCAGAGAGAGAGACCAGAGAGAGAGACCAGAGAGAGAGACCAGAGAGAGAGACCAGAGAGAGAGACCATAGAGAGAGACCAGAGAGAGAGACCAGAGAGAGAGACCAGAGAGAGAGACCAGAGAGAGAGACCACAGAGAGAGAGACCAGAGAGAGAGACCAGAGAGAGACCAGAGAGAGAGACCAGAGAGAGACCAGAGAGAGACCAGAGAGAGAGACCAGAGAGAGAGACCAGAGAGAGAGACCAGAGAGAGACCAGAGAGACCAGAGAGAGAGACCAGAGAGAGAGACCAGAGAGAGAGACTAGAGAGACCAGAGAGAGAGAGAGACCAGAAAGAGAGAGCAGAAAGAGACCAGAGAGAGACCAGAGAGAGACCAGAAAGAGACCAGAAAGAGAGAGCAGAGAGAGACCAGAAAGAGAGCAGAGAGAGACCAGAGAGAGCAGAAAGAGAGAGCAGAGAGTGAAAACGTGAAAGGGAAAGTGAATGATCTCAGAGTGGCTGATCCGGTCTGGTGAGGAAATCACATCAGATTTGAAATCCACAATTCTGTATTTGTTAGATTCAGAAAATGAAAATAGAAAACCACCCTCACTAGCTTTAGTCCTGCTTTAGTCCTGCTTTAGACCTGCTTTAGACCTGCTTTAGACCTGCTTTAGACCTGCTTTAGTCCTGCTTTAGACCTGCTTTAGACCTGCTTTAGTCCTGCTTTAGACCTGCTTTAGACCTGCTTTAGACCTGCTTTAGACCTGCTTTAGTCCTGCTTTAGACCTGCTTTAGTCCTGCTTTAGTCCTGCTTTAGACCTGCTTTAGACCTGCTTTAGACCTGCTTTAGTCCTGCTTTAGTCCTGCTTTAGACCTGCTTTAGACCTGCTTCAGACCTGCTTTAGTCCTGCTTTAGACCTGCTTTAGACCTGCTTTAGACCTGCTTTAGTCCTGCTTTAGACCTGCTTTAGACCTGCTTTAGACCTGCTTTAGTCCTGCTTTAGACCTGCTTTAGACCTGCTTTAGTCCTGCTTTAGTCCTGCTTTAGACCTGCCCTAGACCTGCTTCAGACCTGCTTCAGTCCTGCTTTAGACCTGCTTTAGACCTGCTTCAAACCTGCTTTAGTCCTGCTTTAGACCTGCTTTAGTCCTGCTTTAGACCTGCTTTAGACCTGCTTCAGACCTGCTTTAGTCCTGCTTTAGACCTGCTTCAGACCTGCTTTAGTCCACGCTTTAGACCTGCTTCAGACCTGCTTTAGTCCTGCTTCAGACCTGCTTCAGACCTGCTTTAGACCTGCTTCAGACCTGCTTCAGACCTGCTTTAGACCTGCTTCAGACCTGCTTTAGACCTGATCTTGAGTCTCTCTGAAAGCGTCTCTTTGTCCCTTAGACTTTGACCTTCAATGTAAATCTGGTTCTAACCTAATCCCTTGGGCCTTGTCCTGGTCCCGGTCTGGGTCCCAGTCTGGGTCCCGGTCTGGGTCCCAGTCCTGATCCAGGTCCCGGTCCCGATCCGGGTCCTGGTCCTAGTCCTGGGGGAAGCCCCTGCTCCGATCTCTGAATTTAAAAATAGAGCTAAAAGGACAAACGTCTCTGATTCTGAGGAGATAGAACTGTTCTATTGTACAGGACTAAAGCAGGACTAAAGCAGGACTAAAGCAGGACTAAAGCAGGTCTAAAGCAGGACTAAAGCAGGACTAAAGCAGGACTAAAGCAGGTCTAAAGCAGGACTAAAGCAGGACTAAAGTAGGTCTAAAGCAGGACTAAAGAAGGTCTAAAGCAGGACTAAAGCAGGACTAAAGCAGGTCTAAAGCAGGCCTAAAGCAGGTCAAAAGTAGGTCTAAAGCAGGTCTGAAGTAGGTCTAAAGCAGGTCTAAAGTAGGTCTAAAGCAGGACTAAAGAAGGTCTAAAGCAGGACTAAAGCAGGACTAAAGCAGGACTAAAGTAGGACTAAAGCAGGACTAAAGCAGTAAAGCAGGACTAAAGCAGGTCTAAAGCAGGTCTAAAGCAGGTCTAAAGAAGGTCTTCAGCAGGACTAAAGCAGGTCTTCAGCAGGACTAAAGCAGGACTAAAGCAGGACTAAAGCAGGTCTAAAGCAGGTCTAAAGCAGGTCTAAAGCAGGACTAAAGTAGGTCTAAAGCAGGTCTAAAGCAGGTCTAAAGCAGGACTAAAGCAGGTCTAAAGCAGGACTAAAGCAGGACTAAAGCAGGACTAAAGCAGGTCTAAAGCAGGACTAAAGCAGGACTAAAGCAGGTCTAAAGCAGGTCTAAAGCAGGACTAAAGCAGGTCTAAAGCAGGTCTAAAGCAGGTCTAAAGCAGGACTAAAGCAGGACTAAAGCAGGAGGGACTAAAGCAGGTCCTAAAGCAGGGCTAAAAGTAGGTCTAAAGCAGGACTAAAGCAGGACTAAAGCAGGACTAAAGCAGGTCTAAAGCAGGACTAAAGCAGGACTAAAGTAGGTCTAAAGCAGGACTAAAGAAGGTCTAAAGCAGGACTAAAGCAGGACTGAAGCAGGACTAAAGCCAGACTAAAGCAGGACTAAAGCAGGATTAAAGCAGGTCTAAAGCAGGTCTAAAGCAGGACTAAAGCAGGTCTAAAGCAGGACTAAAGCAGGTCTTCAGCAGGACTAAAGGTCTCTAAAGGTCTCTTCCTGTTGGAGGCAGCTGCTCTTTCAGAGAAAAACATTATCATAAGTTTCGCAGTGTTTGAAATGTCACGTCTGTTGTAGACCCTCACACTACTACTGCTACTACTACTGCTATTACTACTACTACTAATGCTGCTGCTGCTGCTGCTGCTGCTGCGCTGCTGCTGCTGCTGCTGCTGCTGCTGCTATACTACTACTACTACTACTACTACTACTACTACTACTACACTAACTACTACTACTAAACACCAGGTCTGAAGTAGGTCTAAAGCAGGTCTAAAGTAGGTCTAAAGCAGGACTAAAGAAGGTCTAAAGCAGGACTAAAGCAGGACTAAAGCAGGACTAAAGCAGGACTAAAGCAGGACTAAAGCAGGACTAAAGCAGGTCTAAAGCAGGTCTAAAGCAGGACTAAAGCAGGTCTAAAGCAGGACTAAAGCAGGACTAAAGTAGGTCTAAAGCAGGACTAAAGCAGGACTAAAGCAGGTCTAAAGCAGGACTAAAGCAGGTCTAAAGCAGGACTAAAGCAGGACTAAAGCAGGACTAAAGTAGGTCTAAAGCAGGACTAAAGCAGGAATAAAGCAGGACTAAAGCAGGACTAAAGCGGGACTAAAGCAGGTCTAAAGCAGGTCTAAAGCAGGTCTAAAGCAGGACTAAAGAAGGTCTAAAGCAGGACTAAAGCAGGACTAAAGTAGGTCTAAAGCAGGACTACAGCAGGACTAAAGCAGGTCTAAAGCAGGTCTAAAGCAGGACTAAAGCAGGTCTAAAGCAGGACTAAAGAAGGTCTAAAGCAGGACTAAAGCAGGACTAAAGTAGGTCTTAAGCAGGACTAAAGCAGGACTAAAGCAGGACTAAAGCAGGTCTAAAGCAGGCCTAAAGCAGGACTTCAGCAGGACTAAAGCAGGTCTTCAGCAGGACTGAAGCAGGACTAAAGCCAGACTAAAGCAGGACTAAAGCAGGATTAAAGCAGGTCTAAAGCAGGTCTAAAGCAGGACTAAAGCAGGTCTAAAGCAGGACTAAAGCAGGTCTTCAGCAGGACTAAAGGTCTCTAAAGGTCTCTTCCTGTTGGAGGCAGCTGCTCTTTCAGAGAAACAACATTATCATAAGTTTCGCAGTGTTTGAAATGTCACGTCTGTTGTAGACCCTCACACTACTGCTACTACTACTGCTATTACTACTACTACTAATGCTGCTGCTGCTGCTGCTGCTGCTGCTGCTGCTGCTGCTGCTGCTGCTGCTGCTACTACTACTACTACTACTACTACTACTACTACTACTACTACTACTACTACTACTACTACTACTACTACTACTACTACTACTACTACTACTACTACTACTACTAAACACCAGGGGGTGCTGTGGAGTCCCTGCTCTACTTACTGCACACTGCGCTTGCGCGGCCCCGTGTTTTCAGCTCAGGTCTGATTTAAACTGCTGCGAGTGGAGTACAGACACGTATTCAGGGACATGGCCGCGGAGCAGGAGGTGCAGGAAGTGAAGGAGGAGGAGCAGGAGGAGCTGTGCGAGCCCAAGCAAGAGCAGCAGGAGGAGCCCAGGTGAGTCACTGCCGCCAGGGGACGCTGTCAGACTGGGACCGTCTTACACACAGGGGCTCCGCGCAGAAACATCTCTAGAAATAATATATTTCCTGGTTCAATAAATGAACATATATATTATACAAGAGCTGTAGACCCAGGACTGAGGCTGTAGACCCAGGACTGAGGCTGTAGACCCAGGACTGAGGCTGTAGACCCAGGACTGAGGCTGTAGACCCAGGACCGAGGCTGTAGACCCAGGACTGAGGCTGTAGACCCAGGACCGAGGCTGTAGACCCAGGACCGAGGCTGTAGACCCAGGCCTAAACACTCCAACACTGTTTTACAGCTAGTAGTTTTATAAAAAATTTAAATCACATCCGCGACATTTCTCAGAGACTAAATGCTCATTATAGTCCAGTGTGAATGGAAGGATGTCCCCGAAGCGTCGCCTTGTGACGTGTCCGGGTCTGTACACACGTCACTCAGTGCGGTGTTTGTGTGTGCAGGGGAAAAAAAACCTCAGTGTCGCAGGCTTCATGTCCCCGCGAAAACAAACAAACACATGGCAAACGTTCCGCTTTTTTGTGAACGTTCTCTGGTCTCTCTCTGGTCTCTCTCTCTTTGTCATGTCTCTCTCTCTCTCTCTCTCTCGGGTCTCTCTCTCTCGAGTCTCTCTCAAGTCTCTCTCTGGGGTCTCTCTCTCTCTCTCTCTTGTCTTTCTCTCTCGGGTCTCTCTCTCTTGGGTCATTCTCTCTGGTCTCTCTCGTTTGTCTCTCGGGTCTCTCTTTCTCGGGTCTCTCTCGTTTGTCTCTCGGGTCTCTCTTTCTCGGGTCTCTCTCTCGGGTCTTTCGTGTTTTCTCTATCGGGTCTCTCTCTCTCTCTTGGGTCTCTTTCTCGGGTCATGTTAAATGAGCACTACACTCAGGGGGCGCTGTAGGGACACATGAGGCCATAAACCTCACTTTCACACGTTTCTTTTGCAGCGCACTGGGGGCGGAGCTAAAGGACGACCTGGGGGCGGAGCTAAAGGATAAACCCTCAGGTAAAACTTACACTGGTCTTCGGCTCAAAGTGACGCCAGAGATATAAAAAACACTAAAGAAAAATGGAGTCTGTCCTTCAGTGACACATGTTATGTTTCCACAGACTCTCCACTCGACTCCAGAGAGACACAGATAAAAGAAGAAGAGGAGGAGGAGGAGGGGCGTGGCCTGTTCCCAGTGATTGTCAGCGTCCGCAGTGAGAGAACTTTTTCCTGCAGCGTCTGCAGCAGACTCTTCAAACACAAACACGCTCTCACTCTGCACCACAAGGCCCACCGCAACCGCAGACCCTTCAGTTGTTCAGTTTGTGGCAAAGCCTTCACCCACAAGTGCTACCTGCATCTGCACCAGAGAACTCACCGCGACAGGGTCCCACAGGCCTCTGAGCACCAGAGGACTCACCGCCCCAGGGTCCCACAGGCCTCTGAGCACCAGAGGACTCACCACCCCAGGGTCCCACAGGCCTCTGAGCACCAGAGGACTCACCTCCCCAGGGTCCCACAGGCCTCTGAGCACCAGAGGACTCACCGCCACAGGGTCCCACAAGCCTCTCAGCACCAGAGGACTCACCGCAGACAGCCCCGAATACCTGAAAGAACTAGTGAAGCGCGCTGTCCTCCTAAAGTTCAGAGACAGAAGAGGAGCCTCACTACAGACAGACCCTTCAGCTGCTCAGTGTGTGCCAGAGCCTTCACCCACAAGTGCTACCTGCATGTACACCGGAGGACTCACCGCGACAGGGTCCCAGAGGACAGTGTGCATGAACAGCCGGAGCCCTGCCCCTCAGACTCAGACTCAGATTCGTCTGAGAGCTGGACGCCTGAAGACAAACGCAGGAAGTGCCAGAGACGAGAGAGCCCACAGCAACCTTTCAGCTGCTCCGTCTGCCACAAGTGCTTTAAGAGCAGCTCTCACCTGAAGGAGCACTCTGTGACTCACAGCGGGGAGAAGCCCTTCAGCTGTTCCCTCTGTCAGAAAGTGTTTGCTCATAGAAGCACACTGCGCTATCACTACAGCAGGCACTCTGGGAAGAGACCCTTCAGCTGCTCAGCCTGCCCCAAGACTTTCACTTGCAGGAAGAACCTGAGCTATCACATGGATGTCCACAGAGGAGTCAAACCTTACAGCTGCTCAGACTGTGAGCGCAGCTTTAGGACACATTATCAGCTCAAAGAACACGCCAGGACTCACAGCGGGGAGAAGCCTTTCAGCTGCTCAGTCTGTGCCAAGACCTTTGGCACTAAGAAACTGGAGAAGCTGCACATGATGACGCACACAGGGGAGAGGCCTTTCAGCTGCGCAGTCTGTGCACGCACCTATACGCAGGCGCAGAGTCTGAAGATGCACATGCGCACGCACTCGGGACACAGACCCTTCAGCTGTTCAGTCTGCACCAAGGCTTTCACTGAGAAGAAGGTTCTGCTGAAACACATGCGCGTTCACACAGGGGAGCGGCCTTACAGCTGCTCAGTCTGCAGTCGGGCCTTCGCTTTAAATGGAGGCCTCACTCGACACATGCAGAGGGTCCACTCCACAGAGCGACCCTTCAGCTGCTCTGTCTGCAGCAAGAGCTTTAAGATCAAGGCGAGTCTCAAAGTCCACATGAGGATCCACACTGGCGACAGACCTTACGGCTGTTCAGTTTGTGAGAAACGATTTGTCCAAAAGACTGGGCTCCAGCACCACATGCGGGTGCACACAGGGGAGAGGCCTTTCAGCTGCTCAGTCTGCTCTAAACGATACAAAGACAAGAACAAGCTGCAGAAGCACATGCGGCTGCACGGCGGGCTGCAGTGTGCGCAGTGTGGGCGGGGCTTCGCTCTGCAGAAGTCTCTGGACTTTCACATGAATGTGCGGCACACAGGACTCAGGCCCTTCAGCTGCTCAGTCTGCTGGACGTGGACGACCTCAAGGACTTTGTGGAGAAACGAGCTGGTTGGAGCTTCAGGAGCCTCAAACACTGCGTCATCACACGTCCACACCGGGGAGAAACCTTCAGCGTGAGCTCAGCGAGGTGCACATGAGCTCAGCCCACACGGAGCAGCTCAGTGCAGCTGCAGCGGCTGCGTGACCTCACACCTGTAACCCCAGGGACCTGTGACACCTGACTTCTCTGACCCCTCCTGCTCCTGCTGAAATAGAATCTGCATCAATGACAACGAATCTTAGCCGTGCTTCTAAGTATGTCACAGTGAGTTCACTTAGGAGCACTGCTAACCCCAGGCTCGCTCCTGTTTGTGGTCAGACACATTTATCAAACAGCATGTGTTCTGTGTCGGCTTCTCTCATCTGTGTTTTGTAAAGTCTGGAGAAAAACTACTGTTTGATTTAGATTCACAAATAAATGGAATAAAGGATTAATGTGGCAGAGTGGTTAACGCACGCACACACCACCAGAACACCACCAGAGGTTTGGAGAAACCACAATTTATTTCAGACTCTTCGACATTCAATCTCCTCCCAGAGGTGATAGGGAGTAGCAGCTCTTAACTCTGAGCTCAGTCCTTAATGGTCCTTACCAGCTCGTGGAGGCTGTAAACCCGGAGCCGGTCCCCCCCCCGGAGCTCTGAGTGCAAGATGCCTGCTCTTCCTTGTGAGCTGGCATTTACCCGGAGCCCCTCGTCGCTGTGAGTGGCCCTGGTGGCTTGATTGTCAGGCTGGTTCTGCCTCAGGCACGCTGCGCGTCACGGACTGCAGCAGCTGAAGGGTCTCTCCCCTGTGTCGTGCACCAGGCATGTGGCTGGATCTCAGGGTGGGCTGGCGGGGAAAACTTCCTTCTCACACTGAGAACAGACCGAACAGGTTTTCTACCCCCCGAGTGCTGGTCTAGGCATGTGGCCCCTTCAGAATTACTCTGTTTGGGAAAAGGCCTTGTGGCAGGAGCTGAGCAGCTGAAGGGTTTGTCTCTCTGTGTTGCCCGTGGTCATCGTTGCGTGCTCAGGTTGGCTTCTGGCGCCAAAGCTTTTCTCACAGACTGAAGCAGGTCTGAAGGGACAAGGATAGGGAGAAGGATAGTTGCGATCTACACAGAATCTACAACCATCGTAGATCAATAAAAGAGTATTCACCACTGGGAAGGACACTAACTCCAGTGTATGAGCGCATCGTAGTGACTTTTCTGCTAGCTAAGCGCTATTTTTAACTTGGAGCAAAGTTAGGCGCGAGTCGGCGTCCTCATACAGCTATTTTTCTCACAGGGACTTTTCTGATGTTCATATATTACAGCCTTTTTTGCAGCCACATGTATGCCTTGGTGACGGAGAGAACCCACACACACACCTTTTTGTCAATTCCCAGAGAAAGAACCTCTGTGGAACGGGGGATAAGTGCTGGTATGGCCGGGCTGTATGGACGGTTGTATGTATGGCAGTAATGACGGCTTTGTATGACGGCTGTATGATGGTTTGTATGACGGACTGTATGACCGGCGGTATGCACGGTTGTAACGCGTGTTATGACGGCCGTATGCATGGTTGTATGACGGCCTGTATGGATGGTTGTATATGACGGTTGTATGATGGTTGATTATGACGGCTGTTATGGACGGCTGTCATGCTGTTTGTATGACGGCTGTCATGATGGTTGTTTGACGGGCTGTTTATGATTGGTCTTGTCTCATGACGGTTGTATGGATTGAGTTGTATGATGGGCTGTATGGATGGTTGTACTGACGGGTGAGCTATGATGGTATTGTTATGCATGGCCTGTATTGATGGTTGTTAATGACGGGTTGGGTCTGACGAGTTGCTAATGATAGGGTGTGAGGACGGGCTGAATGGGGCCGGTTTGTCTGAATGGTTGTATGCTCGGCTGCTAGGGGACGGTTGTCTGATGTATGTATGATCGGTGTTATGGATGGCTGTATGAGTTGTTCTTCATAAACTGGTTCCAGGGACATTACGTTCTGCTAGCACAGTTTCATTTGTAAAAAAAAAAACATATATATTCAGAGGGTGTTCTATGGCTGTAAATACGGACTCATAAATTGGCTAAGAACTCACATTTGTTATGTAGTCTTATTCGTGGCTATTGATTACAAATTGATTTATCGTATTGTTAAAAAAACGAGTTCTTAATGAAACATGCTTCCTTTGTAACGGCTTATATGCTATAATTTCTCAATTTATTCTTGTTTACATTTGCAAAAAGGGCCTTCTTGTGTTTGTGCTTGTTGGATGTTTTGGAGCCAGGTATGTTCAATAAATAATCTACATTTAGAACTCTTTTTACTGATCTGACAGTTGTATTTATCACAGTCAATTTCCTATTGGACCTGCAGTTTTGTTTCATTGTAAGTAGCTTTATCCCCCCTAAATATTCAAACTACTTTTGACCTTTGGTAACTGAGCTTGCTACAGTTTGTATGGGTGATTGTAGCTTTGTGGAAGCTGAAGATTAAGGTAATAGTAGGCTTTTAGCTTTAGCTCACTGCACTAATCAAGGTCGCTTTTGTAGCTGAATAATAAAGCTGTTTTTTTGGTTTGTTATTTTTTCCCCCTTATGTTTTCTGTTAATGTTTCTGTAAATTTGAGCCCTGAGCCGGTGTTGAGCGCTGGACCGGTTGTGAGCCTGTCCGGTGTGAGCCTGGACCCGTGTGTGCCTTGAACCCGAGTGTACGCCCTGAACCGTGTGAGCCTGGGACCCGTTGTGAGACGTGTTTCCTGACCCGTGTGACCCTGACATCCCTGTTGTGACCTGGACCCCCGGGACCCAGTATGGGAAAAAGATCCTTTGGCATATAATCTGTTCATGTTTTAATGTGTCTGTGCACTTCAACATTGGCACTGTCCCATTCAAATTAAATGAATACATAAAATTGGCCCATCCACGGCTAATCATCATGTGGATTGGCTGGTCTGTGACTTGGCCGTGTCTGTGACTTGGCCGGCCCGGTCTGTGATTATTGGCTGCGCTGTTGATTAAGCCGGTTCATGTACCGGAAGTGGCTTTTCCTCGCTGCTGCACTTGCAGCGGTGGTCCCTCAGTCACTTTGAAAACTGTGTGGGTAAGCTCTTTCCACCAGGGGACCGAAGCAGCTGTAAGGGTTCGGCTCCCCGGTGTGGCCGTGCGCATGTGCACGCTTCACAGTGTTCTGCGTTGGAAGCTGTTTTCTGACGCCGACGGAACAGCCTGAAAAGGTTTCTCCCCCGTGCTGCAAGCCGTGCAGTGGCTGCATCCCCAGCGTGCGTTTTCACTGCGACGGGGTCCTGTCACAGTGGGAGCCGCTTGTTTGAAGCCCGTCGGCTCGCCCGTGTGCACCCGCATGTGCGACGTCAGGTGCGCCCGGATCTGCGCAAAACTCCTTCTGGACAGAAACGGGACAGTGAAATGGGGGCGCCGCCCTGAGTGCTGCAGGCGGTGGGCGCCGCAGGGCTGGCAGGCCGTGGACGGAACGACTTCAGACACACGCCCACAGCGCAGTTTGTCTCCAAGAATCTTTTGAGGTCAAAGATTCAAACCACACGTTAAACAGGAAAGTCCTCCAAATCGATTGGGCCGCTCTGTCGTGCATTGGCATATTAATATTCAGTTAAAATTCCTTATTGTTGGTAGTGTGATCAAACGTGATCAAGAAATGGTCAGACAGCAACGAGCTTTGACGCTGGACGTCAACATTGGAGACATCAGAGCCGTAGGTCAGAACAAGGTCCAAGGTGTGGTTATGAATGTGAGTAGGTTCCTCAACATTCTGAGTAAAACCAACACCATCTAGTACGGCGCTGAAAGCTTTGTTTAAGCTGTCAGTGCTGACGTCCACATGTATATTGAAGTCTCCAGTTATAACTATGTTTTCCCATTCCAAAACTAGGTTTGAAATGAAGTCAGAGAATTCTGTTAGGAACTCGCTGTAAGGACCAGGAAGTCGGTATAAAACTAGAAATAGCACCGCTTTGTGTTTTCTCCACCCAGGACAGGTGATTGAAAGTGTTAAAGAAGCTATACCCGATTGTTTTTCTAAGTAGTTCATAAAAATGCTTTTTACTACTTACAAGTTGTATCATAATACATGATTTCATTGAAAACTTGAGGTCATTGATTCAGCTGTGTATGAAATTTATGCCGTGAAAAGTGCTGGGTAGAGACTTAGCGGGCCGTTTGTTCTCCTCCACTCACAGAACGAGCAGCGAACAGCCTGCGTCCTCTAGCCTCTACAGCGCTGCTTAACACCAGGGCTTCGACTTCAAAATTCAAATATAATTCTAAAATTAAATATATATATATATATATATATATATATATATATATATTCGAACAAATATTAGACAGCCCTTATAATTCGAAATGTATTTAATGACTGCAAATAAAATAGTTAGCTCCCAAAGGTTTCACCGGGACGTGCTAGGCAGGTAACAGCTAAGCTAGCTAGCCGTTTCATGGTAACTTACGGGTTTTTTGCGATCGCTTTTTGTCACTTTAAAACAGTATTTTTGTCATGAAAACGTTGACAGCAAATTCTGAAATGGTCCGTGCATGTGTGTTAAGGATGTATATGTATACTGTACTGTCCGATTAACGTTTAATGGTGTTGATTGATAGATATGTAGTTGTTGAGCGTGGCTAGCTCGGCTAGCTTCTCTACACAGACAAGTGTGCAGAGAAACTGCACAGTGTAGTGACAGGTGCTGATAGCTTGTTGTACTTGCAGAGTAATGGCAGTATTTTACACACCTGAATTACAAACATAGATTGCATTGGGGCTGCGGTCATTATTGGTTTGAGAGTTCTGTTATCAAGAAAAAATGATCGGAAGAATTGTATTCAAGTCAATGAAGTGTTCTGCTGCTGTGAGGAGCTGTATAATAAATTATAATTAAATATTAGAATATATTCTAATGTTTTAAACTAATACATTCGGACGCGAAACTAGCGGTATTCTTTTACTTATACAGTGCGAAAGTATTCGGCCCCCTTGAACCTTTCAACATTTTGCCACATTTCAGGCTTCAAACAATTTTTTGTCATGAATCACCAACAAGTGGGACACAATCGTGAAGTGGAACGAAATTTATTGGATAATTTAAACTTTTTTAACAAATAAAAAACTGAAAAGTGGGGCGTGCAATATTATTCGGCCCCTTGCGCTAATACTTTGTAGCGCCACCTTTTGCTGCAATTACAGCTGCAAGTCGCTTGGGGTATGTCTCTATCAGTTTTGCACATCGAGAGACTGGAATTCTTGCCCATTCTTCCTTGCAAAACAGCTGGAGCTCAGTGAGGTTGGATGGAGAGCGTTTGTGAACAGCAGTCTTCAGCTCTTTCCACAGATTCTCGATTGGATTCAGGTCTGGACTTTGACTTGGCCATTCTAACACCTGGATACGTCTATTTGTGAACCATTCCATTGTAGATTTGGCTTTATGTTTTGGATCATTGTCCTGTTGGAAGATAAATCTCCGTCCCAGTCTCAGGTCTTTTGCAGACTCCAACAGGTTTTCTTCCAGAATGGTCCTGTATTTGGCTCCATCCATCTTCCCTGTCCCTGCTGAAGAAAAGCAGGCCCAAAGCATGATGCTGCCACCACCATGTTTGACAGTGGGGATGGTGTGTTCAGGGTGATGAGCTGTGTTGCTTTTACGCCAAACATATCGTTTTGCATTGTGGCCAAAAAGTTCGATTTTGGTTTCATCTGACCAGAGCACCTTCTTCCACATGTTTGGTGTGTCTCCCAGGTGGCTTGTGGCAAACTTTAAACCAGACTTTTTATGGATATCTTTGAGAAATGGCTTTCTTCTTGCCACTCTTCCATAAAGGCCAGATTTGTGCAGTGCACGACTGATTGTTGTCCTATGGACAGACTCTCCCACCTCAGCCTCTTGGCTGCATCTCTGATCAGTCTTCTCCTTGTTTGAGATGAAAGTTTGGAGGGACGGCCGGGTCTTGGTAGATTTGCAGTGGTCTGATACTCCTTCCATTTCAATATAATTGCTTGCACAGTGCTCCTTGAGATGTTTAAAGCTTGGGAAATCTTTTTCTATCCAAATCCGGCTTTAAACTTCTCCACAACAGTATCTCGGACCTGCCTGGTGTGTTCCTTTGTCTTCATGGTTCTCTCTGTGCTTTAAAGTAAGTAAGTAAGTAAGTAATCTTTATTTATATACCGCCTTTTCACTGCACATCGGAGTCTCAAAGCGGTTTACAATTGTTATTTTTGGGAGTGGGGCCAGTACAGGAGGCACATGCCAGACCTATTGTACATATTTTTAGTGGTAGGGGAAACCGGAGCACCCGGAGGAAACCTACGCAGACACGGGGAGAACATGCAAACTCCACTCAGAAAGGCCCTGGTCCAACCGGGATTCGAACCCAGGACCTTCTTGCTGAGAGGCGAGAGTGCTATCCACTCAGCCACCGTGCCGCCAGAACCCTGAGACTATCAAAGAGCAGGTGCATTTATACGGAGACTTGATTACACACAGGTGCATTCTATTTATCATCATCAGTCATTTAGGACAACATTGGATCATTCAAAGATCCTCACTGAACTTCTGGAGTGAGTTTGCTGCACTGAAAGTAAAGGAGCCCACTTTTCAGTTTTTTATTTGTTAAAAAAGTTTAAATTATCCAATAAATTTCTTTCCACCACACGATTGTGTCCCACTTGTTGTTGATTCCTGACATAATATTAAAATTTTATATCTTTATGTTTGAAGCCTGAAATGTGGCGAAATGTTGAAAGGTTTCGCAAGGCACTGTATATTGTGTTAGCAGTGCGTTGCTTTTGTGTCATTTCATCAGTGATTGTTGTACAGCTTACAAGAAGTTGTGCTAATGCTAATGTTAGCATACATATCTTGTTGGAGCCAAGTCTCCGAGAGCGCAAACAAATCCAAGTTTTTGTCTATAATAAGTTCGTTTATGAGAAACGATTTAGACGACATTGATCTGACGTTCATTAAACCACATTTAACAACCCTACTTTTAGAACTATTTCTGTCTGTCTGAACTTTTATTAAGTTACCGTGTCTGACACCCAGGTCAGATTTCCTCACATATAGTGCTTTAGACTTCAAGCGAGGAACACACACAGTTTCAATCTGACTAGGTTCTGAGGCTAGTAACTGAGCACACACAGGCACACACACACATGCACACACAGTTTCAATCTGACTAGGTTCTGAGGCTAGTAACTGAGCACACACAGGCACACACACACATGCACACACAGTTTCAATCTGACTAGCTTCTGAGGCTTGTAACTGAGCACACACAGGCACACACACACACACACACACAGTTTCAATCTGACTAGGTTCTGAGGCTAGTAACTGAACAGATGGGGGCTCAGAGGTTGTGGCAGAGCAGCTCTGCACCCGGGCCTCAGTTCTGCACCGTCATTTGAGCCGGGCAGAACAGTTTAGAGCCAGGGCCAAATTCTTAGCCAAAAGGGATGTACCCGCCAACGTTGGGTGGATATCATCCGAGCGGATGAGACCGGGCTTTCCCCAAAAGGCACTCCAATTGTCAACATGAACAACACCACTTCGAGGGCACCAGCCAGACAGCCAGCGGTTGAAAGCCGAGTGTCTGCTGAATGCTTCTGCACTGCTAGTGCTAGGTAGGGGCCCAGAGAAGATGACAGTGTCGGCCATTGTGCTAGCCAGCTTGCACACCGCGGCGACTTGCAGCTTCAACACCTCGGGCTGTTTCCGCCGAACGTCATTACCACCCGCGTGAATAACAATTTGACGGAAACGCTGCTTGTGGGTCATCATGAGCCTCAGATTCCCTTCAATATCACCAAGCCTGGCCCCAGGGAAGCACCGAACAGTGGCTCCTGGGATCTTAACACCTCTAACAATAGAGGAGCCAATTACCAGCGCATCAGCGACTCCATCGGCTCTCTCAGCAGCTCTCTCAGCGGCTCTCTCAGAGGGGCCTTCTTCCCTGCTAATGCTAGCGCTAGCTCGAGACTCCAGTACTTGGAGACGCAGCTCTAACTCACTGACCCTGGATTCCAGAGCTACGACTACACTACACTTCACACATCTATCACTACCCTCAGAGAAGGATCCAGGGTTTAGACTCGCCATATGGCAACTCGAGCAGTAAAGGACTGAGACCAGAGACCAGAGAGAGATCAGAGAGAGAGACCAGAGAGAGAGACCAGAGAGAGACCAGAGAGAGACCAGAGAGAGACCAGACAGAGACCAGACAGAGACCAGAGAGAGACCAGAGAGAGAGACCAGAGAGAGACCAGAGAGAGACCAGAAAGAGACCAGACAGAGACCAGACAGAGACCAGACAGAGAGACCAGAGAGATCAGAGAGAGAGACCAGACAGAGACCCGAGGGAGAGAGAGAGACTGAGAGAGACCAGAGAGAGAGAGACCAGAGAGAGACCAGAGAGAGACCAGAGAGAGAGACCAGAGAGAGACCAGACAGAGACCAGAGAGAGAGAGAGAGACTGAGAGAGACCAGAGAGAGACCAGACAGAGACCAGAGGGAGAGAGAGAGAGACTGAGAGAGACCAGAGGGAGACCAGACAGAGACCAGAGAGAGAGAGAGAGAGACCTAGAGAGACCAGAGAGAGAGAGAGAGACCAGAGAGAGACCAGAGAGAGAGACCAGAGAGAGAAACCAGAGAGAGAGAGACCAGAGCTGATGTTTGTGTTTCTTATGAACAGTGACTGGAAGATATGATCCGGACGAGTACTTGGACCAGGGCCGGGACCATAGAGACCCCAGAAACCAGGTCTCTGTTTATTCATTCTTTAGTCCTAATGTAAAATGAATCTGTTTTTAACTGGATCTGTTTGGTCCAATCAGGGCGGAGAATTGAGTCAGCTGACCTATGTGCTGCTAATGGGATTGGCTGCAGGTCACATGGTGTGAGCCCTGTGGACACTGAAGAGCAGTGACATCACTGAGGAGCAGTGACATCACTGAGGAGCCCCCTGAGTCACTCACAGCTGAGCAGCCTTTGATGATGAAGTGATGCAGGTTTTCCAGCAGATGACATCACTCTGATGTGACAGTTTTAATATCTTCCCAATAAAAAAGAAAATACCCTGTGTGTACCTGTGCTCTGACCCTGTGTGTATCTGTGCTCTGACCCTGTGTGTATCTGTGCTCTGACCCTCTGTGTACCTGTGCTCTGACCCTGTGTGTATCTGTGCTCTGACCCTCTGTGTACCTGTGCTCTGACTCTCTGTGTACCTGTGCTCTGACCCTGTGTGTACCTGTGCTCTGACCCTCTGTGTACCTGTGCTCTGACTCTCTGTGTACCTGTGCTCTGACTCTCTGTGTACCTGTGCTCTGACCCTGTGTGTACCTGTGCTCTGACCCTCTGTGTACCTGTGCTCTGACCCTGACCTGTGCTCTGACCCTTTCTACCTCTGGATGCATTGAACATTGAACCTTGTTTTCTCACATCTTTGGCTTGAGTTTCGTTGTTCAAATATTTTCATACCCTTATTACACTGACCTCTGACCTCTGACCCCTGACCATAGCTAAGGGGCCGCAGCTTGGACTCAGTTATGTTTATATTTACTTTTACAGCCTTACAGCAAGCCTACTGCGCATGCGTACGCCACATTGTGTTTGTGCAGTGTCACGTGACTAACGTGGACCAGCTGAAACCGGAGACTCGGTCCCCGCGGAGCTGATCATCATGTGGTCCGTGCGAGCTGTGCAGCCCCGGGGCCTGTCCGCCGTGTCCCGGGCCCGGTGCAGGCATCTCTCCCCAGGCATGAGCCTCCAAAGGCGGACACACTCTCTGGACGTGGCTGCTCAGCTCCTCCGCACGCAGAGCTTCATAAACGGGGACTGGAGCTCCACCGAGGCGCTGTTCCCGGTGCTGGACCCGTGCACCGGGAAGGAGATCGCCCGTGTGTCGGACTGCGGCCCCGCGGAGGCCAAACGCGCCGTAGACTCTGCGTACGAAGCCTTCCAGAGCTGGAGACTCCGGAGCGCCAAAGTACGGCTGAGAAACACACACAGACCGAGAGCAGTGACGTACGCGTGCACCGGGACCGGGACCGACACCTCGCACACTTCAAGAGAGCGCGCGGGGACCGGGCTGTGATTCGGCTGAGACAGAACAGTGTCGTTTATGTCCTTAAAGCTGGGGTACCGAAAGTTGATGTCTCATGAATAATGCATGTCCCAGACATGGACCGGGACCAGGGACCAGGACTCAGGACCCAAGAGGGAGGGACCAGGGACCAGGACCCATGAGGGAGGGACCAGGGACCAGGACCCATGGGGAACCAGCGACAAGGACCCATGGAGAACCAGGGACCAGTTATAGAAGAAACTGTTTTAGAGCCAGTAACATGGGTTTAATCCAGTGTTTTAGTAGAGTTAAAGTTACAGACCCCAGCTTTAAAGTCACAGACCTGAGCTTTAAAAACAGTTTCCTTGTTGCTGATGGACTTTGAAACACATTAAGTCGTTTAATCATAAACTTGTATGTGTATGTCTGTGTGTGTGTCTGTGTCTGTGTCTGTATGTGTGTATGTATGTGTGTGTGTGTGTGTGTGTGTCTGTGTCTGTGTGTGTGTGTCTGTGTCTGTGTTGCAGGACCGCAGTGTAATTCTCCGCCGTTGGTTTGATCTTGTGATTCAGAATCAGGAGGATTTGGCAAAAATCATCACTTTTGAGTCGGTGAGTTTTGGGCCAGTGGGTTAGAGTGGACCAGTGGGTTAGAGTGGGCCAGTGGGTTAGAGTGGGCCAGTGGGTTAGAGTGGGCCAGTGGGTTAGACCGGGCCAGTGGGTTAGACCGGGCCAGTGGAGTTTCGCTCATGACGAGTTTCCATCTGTAGTTTAGACTCCGCCCCCTTTACTTTCAGCAGTCAGACCAGAGAGTCCATTAGTGTCCAAGTTCATATCAGCATGTTAGCTAACGTTTACAGTTTAAAACAATCTGCTTTAGCACCTAACTCCTCCTCCCCCTCTACTCCCTCCTCCTCCCTCTCTGCTCTCTCTCCCCCTCTATCTCTCCTCCCTCTCTACCCCTCCTCCTCCCTCTCCCTGTACTCCTCCCTCAGGGAAAACCTCTGGCTGAGGCTCGAGGGGAGGTGCTATATTCCGCCTCCTTCCTGGAGTGGTTTTCTGAGGAGGCGCGTCGTGTTTATGGAGATGTGGTGCCCTCCCCCAACAGGGACCGCCGCCTCCTGCTGCTCAAACAACCAGTGGGCGTGGCCTCCATAATCACACCTGTGAGTACTTCCTGTGGAGTGTGGCTCCTCACTCTTGGACCTCTCTGACCTCTGACCTCTGACCCTAGTGGAACTTCCCCAGTGCGATGATCACCCGTAAAGTAGGAGCAGCGCTGTCGGCGGGCTGCAGCGTTGTCATCAAACCTGCAGAAGATACTCCTCTGTCTGCTCTGGCCCTGGCTCAGGTACTAGCACCTCCTCCTGCTCCTCCTCTGTCTGCTTTGGCCCTGGCTCAGGTACTAGCACCTCCTCCTGCTCCTCCTCTGTCTGCTCTGGCCCTGGCTCAGGTACTAGCACCTCTTCCTGCTCCTCCTCCTCTGTCTGCTCTGGCCCTGGCTCAGGTACTAGCACCTCCTCTTGCTCCTCCTCCTCTGGCCCTGGCTCAGGTACTAGCACCTCCTCCTCCTGCTCCTCTGTCTGCTCTGGCCCTGGCTCAGGTACTAGCACCTCCTCCTCCTGCTCCTCTGGCCCTGGCTCAGGTACTAGCACCTCCTCCAGCTCCTCCTCTGTCTGCTTTGGCCCTGGCTCGGGTACTAGCACCTCCTGCTCCTCCTCCTATGTCTGCTCTGGCCCTGGCTCAGGTACTAGCACCTCCTCCAGCTCCTCCTCTGTCTGCTTTGGCCCTGGCTCGGGTACTAGCACCTCCTGCTCCTCCTCCTATGTCTGCTCTGGCCCTGGCTCAGGTACTAGCACCTCCTCCTGCTCCTCCTCCTCTGGCCCTGGCTCAGGTACTAGCACCTCCTCTTGCTCCTCCTCCTCTGTCTGCTCTGGCCCTAGCTCAGGTACTAGCACCTCCTCCTCCTGCTCCTCCTCCTCCTATGTCTGCTCTGGCCCTGGCTCAGGTACTAGCACCTCCTCCTGCTCCTCCTCCTCTGTCTGCTCTGGCCCTGGCTCAGGTACTAGCACCTGCTCCTCCTCCTCTGTCTGCTCTGGCCCTGGCTCAGGTACTAGCACCTCCTTCTCCTGCTCCTCCTCCTCCTCTATCTGCTCTGGCTCTGGTACTAGCACCTCCTGCTCCACCTCCAGACCAGGCAGGTGCACCTCCTGGTCTCACCTCCTCTCTCCTCCTCAGCTGGCAGACCAGGCAGGTGTACCTCCTGGTCTCACCTCCTCCTCTCTCCCCTTCAGCTGGCAGACCAGGCAGGTGTACCTCCTGGTGTGGTGAACGTGGTCTCCTGCTCCAGACTCCAGACTCCTGCTGTGGGGAGAGTCCTCTGCACTGATCCTCAGGTTGGAAAGATCTCCTTCACCGGCTCCACGGCAACAGGGAAGGTACACACGCACATGCACACGTACACGCACACATGCACACGTACACACATATACACACACACACATTTTACTTTTTCTAGCTGTAGATTATTTTTATTCCAGTACAGAGTGTATGGTTTTACACTGATCAGAGCAAAGAGGAGCACGGTCCCAAACGAGCAAATCAAGTGTAAATCAACTGGACAGAAGCAAATATTTTCTAAAAATGCACCGGCAGGATTTCACAAAGTACTCGCGAGATGAGCTCCTTCAGCTACGACGAAGCATCCGATCCCTCTGGAGATCAAGAAACCCTTCAGAGGATGTTGAGCCGGAGCTGAGAAGAAGGCAAGGAGGTACCATAACCAACCATTCGTACCATCAATGATAATGGGGAACGTCAACTCACTTCAAAATAAGACCGAGGAACTTGAGGCTTCGGTGAAGTGTGATGCATCTCATCAGGACTGTAGTCTTTACCTCCATGGCTGTAGTCTTTACCTCCATGACTGTAGTCTTTACCTCCATGGCTGTAGTCTTTACCTCCATGACTGTAGTCTTTACCTCCATGACTGTAGTCTTTACCTCCATGACTGTAGTCTTTACCTCCATGACTGTAGTCTTTACCTCCATGACTGTAGTCTTTACCTCCATGACTGTAGTCTTTACCTCCAGGACTGTAGTCTTTACCTCCATGACTGTAGTCTTTACCTCCATGACTGTAGTCTTTACCTCCATGACTGTAGTCTTTACCTCCATGACTGTAGTCTTTACCTCCAGGACTGTAGTCTTTACCTCCAGGACTGTAGTCTTTACCTCCAGGACTGTAGTCTTTACCTCCATGACAATTATTTTTTACAGGGGGCCGCATGAGAAACAGAAAAAGTTGTGAAGGGCCAGATAAAAAATGTGAACTAAAATTTACATAATATTATTTGAAATTGTTACTTATATATACTTATACTTAGTTACACAAGTGACATACGATTGAGGTTGCCTTATAAAAAATGTAATTTATTCAATAAATGTTTGAAAGTAATACTAAACAAAAATAGTTTTTCACATTTGTGACAAATATACTTTTTTTGGTCTACATTCTTAGTGAATGTGCCATACAGAAACCACAATATTGTTTTTTGTGCTCTAAACCAACCAAACCAAGCAAGAAACATATTGAATTTTTACTAAACATCACACAACTGTCATTTTGAAAAAAGAAAAAGGCTTCCAAGTGTCCCGGGTCACTGCCACTTCCTTTACATGCCTCCTTTTGTAATCTGTCACAAAAGGTGGATGTGGTGTTTAAGTGATTTATTCTCAGTGAGAGAAATCTTGTCTCTGCTGGGCTTTAACAAGTGCATCAAAGTCAGGCTGAATGTCTGAGGTGGAGACGCGACGCAAGGCTGACAAATGCTCATCAGTGAGAGAGGATCTATACCTGCATTTTGTGAACTTCATAGTTGAAAATGTCTGTTCGCATATGTACGTAGAACCAAACAGAACCAACATCTTCCGGGCATATCTCCTCATGTTTGGAAAATCCTACTCCACAAGAGAGGAGTAGAAATCTAGAAGAGGTTTTGAGTGAAAGTGCTCTGCCAACACTGCATCAGACTGCATCAGACTGCATTATCTACACTGCAGGTAAAGGGGGAGGAAATCCTCTTCATCTCATCCTCAATAGTTCTGAGATCTTCAAAACGTCTTGAAAACTCACCATGCAATGCTATTATCATGGATGAGTACCTGCGGAGGTGATCAGCTGATGGTGTGACTCCTTTCAGTGTTTGCATATGAGTGAGGGAGTTGTTTTCCAGTTGACTTGAGAGAAGTGTCATCTTACTCATGAAAGCTTTCACCAGGCTGTACATTTCATGAACAAAGGCCCTTTCCTTGCAGTTTTGTGTTCAGATCATTAATCAGTGCTGTCACATCAACAGAAGATGCCAAATCTGTGATCCTCATCTGAGAGCTCTGGGAAATCTTTGCCTTTACTTTCACAAAACTCTAAAATCTCTGCTTTCAGGTCCCAAACTCTTTTTAACACTTGACCCAGGCTGAGCCACCTGACAGCTGCGTGGTAGACAATGTCATTATGCTCAGTGTCTCGCTCCTCCAAAAGTGCAACAAACTGTGATTCAATGCCCGTGCCCTGATGAAGTTTACTATTTTAGTAACAACATCAATAACATGGTTAATTCTTAACACTGACTTGCACAAAACATGTTGGTGTATAATGCAATGCAAAAATATAACTTTCTGATCTGCATTCATTTTAGTCACTTTATCTTGAATACGTTTCAAAAGTCCAACATTTTTCCCTGTAAGATTTGGACAACCATCTGTCGTGACACCTGCCAGTCTGTCCCATTTCAATCCCAGTCTGTCCCATTTCAATCCCAGTGTGTCCATGCACGCATTTACCTCCGTGAACAGATCAGCCTGTGGTCCCTTTCATCGGCCGCACTGCTGCAGCTCCTCCGTGATCTTGAAGCCGGTTATCCCACGAACAAATACGAGTAGCTGGGCCGTGTCTCGGACCTCACAGCTCTCATCCAAAGCCAAAGAGAAGCAGTCAAAACCACTTCATGTTGCAATTGAAGCTCCAGATTCCCCGCGATGTCCTCGGCCCTCCTTTCGTTCACCGTTCGCCTGGACAGCGGTACTTCAAATGCTCCTTTTTTTCTCCGGGCATATTAGCGCAGCAGAGTCCACCAAGCACTCTTTAACAAATTCTCCCGCTGCGAATGGTTTACTGTTTTTGGCAATCTTGTGGGAAATCACAAAGCTGGTCCTCGTTGCTGCATCCCTGGTTGCATAGCACTTGGTGAAAACGTCTAGTTGCTTTTGCAGTGCAGCTAGCAAAGTTTTCCATGTCCGCGCCATTTCAGCATCAGTTTAAGTTTTTGTATTTCTCTGCGTGCTTCGTCTGGTAATGCTGACTCACATTGTACTCCTTAAAGACCTTATGACGGGTTTGATTTATTTAGAAATACAGTTTTAATACTATTTTATATTAGAAGAGAACTACTAAAGGTTTCAAAATCAGTTGTTGTTTTTTTTGTCTGATCCCCCTAAATCGAAATAACCCCATAGCAACGCCCTTAGAAACAAAAAAACTTCACAGCCCTTGGTGACGTCAGAACGGGTACGTTTCAACGCTGTAAGTTGTTTACAATTTGGTATTCGTTCTTTTTTTGCGGATATTCAAGATGACAAGGCCGTGTACAGCGAGTCTAAGATAAGTACTAGAATGTATCATTTTGTTGTCACTGAGATAGTCCAGTGGTTGTGTCGATGGACTGCCAATCCATATACTTGGGTTCAATTCCCACCTCGGACACTTTTTCACACTCAAAACGGCAATTTATGTGTAGTCAGCAATTGTCACCTGTAGAGGGCAGTGTTGTGTTGGGCCTCAGTGGAGAGAAGAGAGAAAAGGCAGTCCTGTGGCATAGATCCATGGTTTTCAATGCATGGGCGTAACCCGCTATGACGTCACACACAGGTTAGAGCATAGACAACTTAAATTCATGAAAAACACGTTCTTTTTATAAAATATAGGATTTTTTTTGCCGGAATCTCTTTCAAATTGACATTGTCATGCAATTTTGATATCCACTATTTTTTTTTTTAACCCTTAATCAACGATGTTGTCGTCACCGACAACGGTGCACATGTTTTACAAGTCATCAGTTTAATCACGAACGGTAAAAGCTAGCGCCTTACTTTTTTTTTCTCCGCGAAGAAAACCCCTCAGGCTCCATGAATCTGGTTCCGGATTGTCTGTGTGACGCACAGGGGATATTCTATGTCTATTGGAGTTTCAGTGTCCAATCGGATTTTTGAGCTACCACATGTGACATGAAATATCCAATTGCAAAGCCGTTTTCGCTCATGCCGGTGCCAAAGATCAGCAGGAAGAGAGATAATTTCTTCTCTGCGTTTACAAAGTGGTCTCTGTGGTTGAAACTACGGCTCTGATTATTATTACTGATGCGCAAAAAGACTTGTTTCATCGTAACTATGAAAAATGTAAACCCTACTGTTTTTCATAGCACTGTAAGCCCTCTTACGTGTTGTAGTTTATTTTTTTATTTCACAAAAAGACCCGGAAATGGTCACTCATGCTCTTGGTCACACATGCTCTCAGTCACACAGAGGTGAGAAGACGCGTCTCATCTATTTACAGAAGACGCGCACTAGAGACAGACGCACAAAAACTCCTCCGATTCTTTTTGCAAAGTAATTGTTCAAAATGGCAAGGAAGTTATTTACAGCTGCAGAAGCTCTGGATCTAATCTGCGCAAGTGATGATGATACAGGGTCTGAGCCAGAAAGTTTTTATACCGATGAGGAATTTGATTATTGTGATCGCCAGGACCCGGCTGAAGAGTAAGTGCTTTGTTTGTTTTACTTAGTTTCTATTGTTTTACTTATTTTACAGTCGTGATGTGTTTATTATTTGCACTGACAATAATAGATAATGTGAAATGTTATTTTGCACATACCACATGTTTGTTTATTTCATTTGTTTTACTTAGTTTCTATTGTTTTACTTATTTTACAGTCGTGATGTGTTTATTATTTGCACTGACAATAATAGATCATGTGAAATGTTATATAGCACATACCACATGTTTTTTTATTTCATTTGTTTTACTTAGTTTCTATTGTTTTACTTATTTTACAGTTGTGAAGAGCTTCCAACTCCTTCCACCAGTGTGGCTAGCACCTCCACCTTTGTTCCAGCCCCCCACTTCACACCTCCAACACCTTCACTGCTCCCCTCCCCCACTTCCTCTTCAACAAGGGGCAAAACAAGACGCAGAAGTGCATCCAGAGTCCGCAGCAGATCTACAGTGGGCACAAGATCGGCATTGGGCACGAGATCTACAGTGGGCACAAGATCTACAGCTCGCAGCAGATCTCCACCACGGCCCGGGCCTGCACTGGATCAAGCCAGGTGGAATAGTGAACAGGATCCAGACACCAATTTTCAGCCAAAAAAGTTCACGCCAAAAAGGAAACCAGGACACCAGCTCGTTACAGCCACATCCTATAGTCCATTGGATTTGTTCTTGTTGTTTGTGGACAGAAGTGCTATATCCAATCTCGTCACAAATACAAACAAACAGGCAGCAAAGAACATAGCAAATGGGAAAAAATACAAATGGACCCCACTGGAAGAAACTGAGCTGCAAAAATGTATTGGACTCATGTTTTATTTTGCACTGTTGAAGCTCTGTAAGGTCACAGACTATTGGAGACAACACTCCATTTTCAGTGTAGGTTTTCCCGCAAAAGTGATGGCTCGAGATCGGTACCTGACCATCTCCTGGAACATTCATATAAGTGACCCGGAGCAGGATGCCAAGAATGACCAAACAAAAGGAACCCCTCAGCATGATAAACTGTTCCGACTGAAGCCACTTCTGGACACCATCCTGATAGCATGTAAAACGCACTTCCACCCAAGACAGCACATTGCCATAGATGAAAGAATGGTGGCAACAAAGGCTCACACAGGAATGACGCAGTATATGAAGGCCAAGCCGACAAAGTGGGGCTTCAAACTTTTTGTCTTGGCAGACAGCAGCAATGGCTATACAGTGGACTTTGCTATTTACACAGGGAAGTCCCAGTTTTCCTCCGGTGTGGGACTAGCATACGATGCTGTCCTTTCCCTTGTAAATCCCTCATTCCTGGGCGGTGGTTACGAGTTGTATGTGGATAATTTCTACACCAGCCCAAAACTGTTCATGGACTTGTTTAGCATGAACATCAGTGCTTGTGGCACATACAGGGATAACAGGAGAGGATGTCCCCACATCGAAAACAACTCGATGAAAAAAAAAGACGAAAGGGGCACAATACGGTGGATCAGGGAAGGCCCACTAGTGTTTGTGAAGTGGATGGATTCGCGTGAAGTTTCCATCTGCTCCACCATCCATCCGGCTTACGAAGGTGCAACAGCAAGACGGCGCTTCAAAGGTAATGACGGCAAATGGGTCACCCGGGACGTTCCATGCCCTCAGCCTATTGTGGAGTACAACAAGCACATGGGAGGAGTTGATCTGTCAGATCAACTCATCCACTACTACACTATTCGCCACTCCACCAAACGCTGGTACAGGACCCTTTTTTTTCATTTTATGGACATAGTGGCCACAAATGCGTACATTTTACACAAGGAGTTGTGTACAGAAAAGGGAGAGACCCCGTTGTCTCATTTACACTTTCTGGAGGAGCTGACAGCCCAGCTGTGTGGTGTGTCGGCCACTGTGCCTCCTGTGAAAGCCCCAGCAGAACACTTACCGGTGCCAGTATCCCAGCAGGAAGACCCAAGCAGGCGGGCCTCATATGGGAGAAAAAGCTGTGTTCACTGCAGAACCACTAAACAGAAAATTCAAAGCACCCCCTGGAAGTGTGAAACCTGTGATGAGTCTCTCTGCCTTGTTATGGACAGGAACTGTTTCCATGAGTGGCATCAGGCATAAAACTATTGGTTTTTTTTGCACTAATTGTGCCATTATGTGAATATGTATATAGTTACAGGTTCCATTTTTTTTACACATAATGCCCAAGACCCCAAAGAAACTATCTATACAGTGTAAAAAGTTGTTCATTGAAGTTCATGGTGTTTTTCCAATAAATGATTGAGACATTTATTTTCCGTTTTTTTTTTCTAATGTCTTTATGATTCCATAACTTTTATCACATTCATATGACACTAGTATAGTATGAATATTATTAATCCCCAGGTTGTACTGAAAAAAAGAATGTATAATATTTGACTCTGCATCACAAGATGACTCTTTTATGAGCATTAATACACAAAGAAAACCAGGCGAGGAATGTTCTCCAAAATAGCCCTAGATCTTGAAGGGTTAAAACCCCGTCATAAGGTCTTTAAACACGGCAACTTGCTCCCCGCAAACTAAACAAACAGCGTTAGCTCCAACTTCAGCAAATAAATACTTAGCAGTCCAATGTTTGTTGAAAATGTATGAACAAACAATGCATGAAACATATTCAGCTTTAGCCAAACAAACTGTCCAGTTGATTTATACGATATAACCGGTGTTTCCACATTCACAGTGGAGCGTGTTGGTGTTTAGTGCTTACAGCACAGAGAGAGATGAAGAGTGAACAGGACTTCAGCAGCAAAACAGACTTTTCTAGATGGAAATATTGGCACTATTTCAGACTCACTGAGGTTAAAGGTCAACATGTGCACCTCGAGTGCACATTGTTTCAGAACAAAACGAAAAAGTAACCCAATAGTTAAGGAAGGTTTCTCACCCATCATCTGTACTTCTTAGCAAGTTTTCCCGACGTTTCGTCTTCAACCTAGCGGACTTCTTCAGGGAATGAATTCTCGGACCGCGCGTTGGAGATTTATAACCTATGGGTGTGGTTAGCCACACCCTAATCCTGATACTAACTCATAAACAATCTACGGTCTGCTTGATGTAGAAGGGAGCAGATCTAACGACCCTGCTGAGGCTAACGACCCTAACTCCTTAGGATGTCACAGACCTATTGTCTGCTGGGATGCTCAAGTGGAGTGCAGGTCTCACCCCTCCTCACTCATTAGCATGTCACTGACCTTGTCCCAAGTTAGGGCGTTGTTTTTAGGATGTCGTCATAGATGCGAGGCAAAACAAATCTTAACCCTCCTCCTCTGTTAAGAGGAGGAGGGAGAATCTCAAACCAATTCTTCTCCCGAGCCAGAATTTTAACCTCTGTGTCATCCACCGTGTGGTTGGAGGCCTTGAGGTGGAGATGAACAGCCGACTGTGGCCCACTAGAGTTTTCTCTACGATGTTGGTAAAGTCGTTTCTGTAGAGTTTGTTTGGTTTCTCCAATATAGTGGTCAGTGCACTCCTCTTCACTACATTTAATTGAATACACCACATTGCTCTGTTTGTGTCTGGGTGTTTTGTCTTTGGGATGCACTAATTTCTGTCTTAACGTGTTGAAAGGTTTGAAATACACAGGGATTTTGTGTTGCCTAAAGATTCTTTGTAGTTTCTCTGAAACTCCCGCCACATACGGTAAGGACACGCCTCTCCTCCTACTTTCTTCTGTCTGTTGGACTGTGTCTCTGGCCTTTCTCGTCCTTTGGGCTTTAGTAAAAGACCACTTGGGGTAGCCACATCTGGAAAGTGCTCTGTGAACATGTTTGGTTTCTCTGTTCTTTCCCTCCGAGCTTGTGGGGACCTGGTGGGCTCGGTGTTGAAGCGTTCTAATGACCCCGAGTTTGTGTTGTAGCGGATGATTTGAGTCAAAGGCCAGGTACTGGTCAGTGTGAGTGGACTTTCTGAAGACCTCAGTCTCTAATTGTCCGTTCTCCAGTATGATGACCTTACAATCTAGAAAGGCGAGTTCACTCTCCTTAGCATCCTCGCGAGTGAAATTTATAAAAGGGTCCACCGAATTAATGTGTTCTGAAAATGGTTCCACTTCCTGTTTCTTTAACTTAACCCATGTATCGTCTACATATCGAAACCAATGGCTTGGCGCTGTCCCTTGGTAAGAGACAAGGGCTTGTTCCTCCAGTTTCTCCATATACAGATTGGCCACTATAGGAGAGACTGGGGAGCCCATCGCACAGCCATGAATCTGTCTAAAGAAGGTGCCTCTAAATTGGAAATACGTGGTGTTAAGACACATTTCAAGTATTTCACAGATGTGGTCAGCTGTTAGTTTCGTTCTCTCCCCTAGTGTGGCGTCTTTCTGTAGGCTTTCTCTTACAGCCTGCACCGCCTCTGTAATAGGAACCGACGTAAAAAGCGATGTCACATCAAACGAGACCATTGTCTCATCTGTGTCAAACTGGAGGTGTTTGATTTTATTTACAAATTCTTTTGTGTTTTCTATGTGATGGTGGGTGTTACCCACCAAAGGAGCCAGAATGGTTTTGAGGTGTTTAGCCAGGTTGTAGGTGATAGAGTCTATGCTACATACAATAGGCCGAAGTGGAAAGTTTTGTTTGTGTATTTTTGGGAGTCCATAAATACTGGGAATGGTGTCTCCTGGGTAAAGTTTGTAATATAGTGGTTTTTCAATAATGCCCTCTTTCACTAAGCTCTGAAGGAAGTCTATAACCTTTTTCCTAAACCCACTGGTAGGGTCCCTCTTCAATGGCTGGTACGTGTTGGTGTCTAAGAGTAACTGATTAACTTTGGCCTCATAGTCTGAGCTGTTGAGGATAACTGTGCATCTGCCTTTGTCAGCTGGTAAAATAGTTATACTCTCATCCTTTTGTAATGCCATTAATGCTTTTTGCTCATCTAATGAGACATTGGATTGTGGGGGCTTCGCACTTTTGAGTGTTGCAGAGACTCTCAGTCTGAGGGCCCCCGCCTCACTCTCAGTTAGTTTGTTGTTTCTAATGGCTGCTTCTGCTGCTGTGATGTATTCAATTGTAGGAATATCTTTTGGGGTTATTGCAAAATTTAGGCCTTTAGTAAGAACATCTTTTTCCGCTTGTGATAAATGCCGATCGGACAGATTTTTGACCCAATTCTCCCTGTCCAAGCCTTGTCCAATTTCACTTTTAGAATGTTGAAAAGAATTATGGTTTTGGAGTTTTAGAAATTTTCCTATCTGACGTTCTTTGGCCTTCTTGTGATGGTTCAGTTGGGCAGTTTCCGTAAACGTCCAAATCCTCTGAAAAAACTCTGGTGAGACTGCCAATTCCAGTTTGTGCTTAAGGCACTCTATCTGTTAAGTCGTCGAATTCTTAAATTGAGAATCTTCATACAGTAGTTTTGTTGTATTTTTCTTGCCAACTGGCCTGTTTCTAATGCTTTTTGCTTTAAACATTTTGGGATAAGTTTACTCTGGCTACACCTAAGATTAAACCTAAGATGATTTCTGGCGTCTGCTAATTTTCTTTTGATTTTCTCCAACCCGCGTGCCAAGACCAGGGCGTCTCTCCCAAAGTTGGCAACGATAAGTTTGTGTAAGCTCTCAGTCGTACAGGGATTAGTCAAAGCAAAGGAAGGTTTCTCACCCATCATCTGTACTTCTTAGCAAGTTTTCCCGACGTTTCGTCCTCAACCTAGCGGACTTCTTCAGGGAATGCCCAATAGTTACTTTTACTGGTAACTAGTTACTTTTATAGTGGAGTAACTCTGTTAGTAACTCAGTTACTTTTTGGGAGAAGTAACTATAACTAATTACTTTTTCAAAGTAACGTGCCCTACACTGAGGCACAGACACACACAGAGACACATACAGACACACACAGAGACACATAGAGAGGCACAGAGACACAGACAGACACACACAGAGACACACATACATTGATTATTGACACGTTCCGTTCACAGCTGCTGTTAAAGATGGCCGCAGACTCTGTGAAGCGTGTTTCCATGGAGCTGGGAGGCCACGCCCCCTTCATCGTCTTCAACAGCGCCGACCTGGACCTCGCCGTGAAGGCCGCCATGGGTTCAAAGTTCAGGAACTCTGGACAGGTGGGAGGAGCTTAGCACAGGTGGGAGGGGCTTAGCACAGGTGGGAGGGGCTTAGCACCGGAGTGGGAGGAGCTTAGCACAAGTGTGGGAGGGGCTTAGCAATGTGGGGAGGAGCTTAGCACAGGTGTAGGAGGGGCTAAACACAGGTATGGGAGGAGCTTAGCAAAGGCGTGCGAGGGGCTAAACACAGGTGTGGGAGGGGCTTAACACGGGTGTGGGAGGAGCTTAGCACAGGTGTAGGAGGGGCCTAGCACAGGTGTGGGAGGGGCTTAGCACAGGTGTGGGAGGGGCTTAACACAGGTGTGGGAGGAGCTTAGCACAGATGTGGTAGGAGCATAGCACAAGTATGGGAGGGGCTAAGCACAAGTGTAGGAGGGGCCTGTACATTAGCTAACTTCTCTCTGTTTCAGACGTGTGTGTGTTCAAACCGCTTCCTGGTTCAGAGCGGTGTTTATGAGGACTTCCTGGACAGAGTGGGCATTGCCATGGACCGGGAGCTCCGATTGGGCCATGGGATGGAACCCACCACCACACAGGGTCCACTGATCAACCAGAGGGCGGCAGAGAAGGTGAGAGACCCCTGAGGAGAGAGAGACCCCTGAGGAGAGAAACCCATGAGGAGAAATAAATAACGCTGGCCCCTCCCCTGAAACATGTGCAGTGTGTGGAGGCCTCTGACCTGTGACCCCGCCCTCTGAATCTGACCCCTGACCTGTGACTTTGACCCGTGACCTCTGACTCATGATTCCTCTCCTGCAGGTGGCGCTGCAGATCTCAGACGCTGTGAGTCGAGGAGCGCGGCTTCTCAGAGGAGGCTCCCGATTGGATGGTTCCTTCGTAGAGCCCGCCCTCCTCGCTGATGTCACCACCGACATGAGCTGCACCAGAGAAGAGACCTTTGGCCCCGTGATGCCGGTGCTAAGGTCAGGGGCCACTAGAGCTGACATTAGAGCTGACCTTAGAGCTGACATAAGAGGTGACTTAAGAGCTGACCTTAGAGCTACATTAGAGCTGACATTAGAGTGTGGTGTGCTCAGGTTCCAGGTGGAGGAGGAGGCCGTGGCCATCGCTAACGCCTCAGATGTGGGACTCGCAGGTACTTCACACTTTAACCTTTTATGTATCTACAGGTCCCTGTGAGTCAGTATGTCCCTGTGAGACAGTATCTACAGGTCCCTGTGAGTCAGTATGTCCCTGTGAGACAGTATCTACAGGTCCCTGTGAGTCAGTATGTCCCTGTGAGTCAGTATCTACAGGTCCCTGTGAGTCAGCATGTCCCTGTGAGTCAGCATGTCCCTGTGAGTCAGCATGTCCCTGTGAGTCAGTATGTCCCTGTGAGTCAGTATCTGCAGGTCCCTGTGAGTCAGTATCTGCAGACCCCAGCTTTAAAGTGCTTGTGTCTGCAGGGTTCTTTAAAGTGCTTATGTCTGCAGGGTTATTTAAAGTGCTTGTATCTGCAGGGATCTTTAAAGTGCTTTTGTCTGCAGGGTTCTTTAAAGTGCTTTTGTCTGCAGGGTTATTTAAAGTGCTTGTGTCTGCAGGTTTATTTAAAGTGCTTGTGTCTGCAGGGTTCTTTAAAGTGCTTGTGTCTGCAGGGTTCTTTAAAGTGCTTGTGTCTGCAGGGTTCTTTAAAGTGCTTGTGTCTGCAGGGTTATTTAAAGTGCTTGTATCTGCAGGGTTCTTTAAAGTGCTTTTGTCTGCAGGGTTCTTTAAAGTGCTTTTGTCTGCAGGGTTCTTTAAAGTGCTTATGTCTGCAGGGTTATTTAAAGTGCTTGTATCTGCAGGGATCTTTAAAGTGCTTTTGTCTGCAGGGTTCTTTAAAGTGCTTTTGTCTGCAGGGTTATTTAAAGTGCTTGTGTCTGCAGGTTTATTTAAAGTGCTTGTGTCTGCAGGGTTCTTTAAAGTGCTTGTGTCTGCAGGGTTCTTTAAAGTGCTTGTGTCTGCAGGGTTCTTTAAAGTGCTTGTGTCTGCAGGGTTATTTAAAGTGCTTGTATCTGCAGGGTTCTTTAAAGTGCTTTTGTCTGCAGGGTTCTTTAAAGTGCTTTTGTCTGCAGGGTTCTTTAAAGTGCTTGTGTCTGCAGGGTTATTTAAAGTGCTTGTGTCTGCAGGGTTCTTTAAAGTGCTTGTGTCTGCAGGGTACTTTAAAGTGCTTGTGTCTGCAGGGTACTTGAAAGTGCTTGTACTTTGTGCAGGGTACTTCTTCTCTTCAGACGTGTCTCAGATCTGGCGTGTGGCGGAGGCCCTGGAGGTGGGCATCGTGGGGGTGAACGAGGGCCTGGTGTCCTCCCCTGAGGGAGCCTTTGGGGGAGTCAAACAGTCTGGGCTCGGGAGAGAGGGCTCTAGGTACGGCATCGACGAGTACCTGGAGGTCAAGTATGTGTGCTTCGGAGGACTGAGGCCTTGAGGATCCACAAGCACTGAGGCCTTGAGGACCCACAGGGACTGACTGAGGCCTTGAGGACCCACAGGGACTGAGGCCTCTCTGGTCTCTCGCTACTCTCTCTCTGCTCTCTTTGGTCACTCTGGTCTCTCTCTCTGGTCTCTTTGGTCTCACTCTGGTCTCTCTTTGGTCTCTCTCTGGTCTCGCTCCGGTCTCGCTCTGGTCAGATACGTTCGTCTATTTTAACCTGTTTTATAATTATATACATGTCGAGGCTGGAGCCAACTCATGCTAAAGCTAATTCATGCTAAAGCTAACTGTAAACAAAACATCTAATGCTACCTGTTCTACATTACTTCTGTTTTTTAGTTTAAAATTGTACCTTAACTTAAACCTTTGTTTATGTTAGCTGTCAAAACTAAAATAAGCATTAGCATAGCATTTGCTAACCTTATAAAACTTCTTTGTCCTGTTGCCTTTCCTTCTTTGTCCTGTTAAAGTGAGAACAGCCCTAAAACAAACATGCTAACATTAGCTTGAACAAACATGGTAACGTTAGCCTGGGTCTGAATCTCAAACATAAGCACAAGAGACGTTTTTCTAGTTTTACTTTTGTATCAAACATCTGTGACTTTTTTAATGTTTGTATTAATTTATTTTGTCTTTAAAACTTTAGGATCTTTAAACTTAAACTTATTAAAGTGCCGTCTGTATTTTTGTTGGAAAATAAAAGTGAATCATGACTTAAAATGTGGATTGTTTTTTTACTATGGGAAACCAGTGTGAACTTTGCCTCCTGTACATGGTCCAATGGCACAGAACAGCAGCCATGCATCAGACTGTCCCAGGGCAGCTGCGGCTGCAGTAGCACCAGACACACAAGACACAGGCCTTTCAGCTGCTCAGTCTGCGACAACTCTGACAGAGTCTAGTGTCCTGACAGACTCCACAGTATCCTGACAGTGTCCTGACGGAGTCTACAGTGTCCTGACAGTGTCCGACTCCTGACAGACTCTACAGTGTCCTGACAGTGTCCGACTCCTGACACTCTACAGTGTCCTGACAGACTCTACAGTGTTCTGACAGACTCTACAGTGTCCTGACAGAGTCTACAATGTCCTGACAGACTCTACAGTGTCCTGACAGACTCTACAGTGTTCTGACAGACTCTACAGTGTCCTGACAGTGTCAGACTCTACAGTGTCCTGACAGACTCTACAATGTTCTGACAGACTCTACAGTGTCCTGACAAACTACAGTATCCTGACAGACTCTACAGTATCCTGACAGTGTCCTGACAGAGTCCTGACAGAGTCTACAGTGTTGTAGACTGTAGGAACACTAGTCCAAGATGGCCACACGCGCTCTAGCCTTTATTGTTCGCTACGCCGTGAGTGCGCATGCGCCTAGTCTGATGTGCACAGTGGTTTCAACGTGAGTCCAGCCAATAGACTGTAAATCCGACGCCTGTCCCCGTGTTTAAAGCCTCGTTACGGGAAATGGCTGAGGTGAAGGAGGAGCAGGAGGAGCAGGACGAGTGGGAGCCCAAAGAGGAGGAGCCCGGGTGAGTCTCAGCCGCCAGGGGACGCTGTCTGGTGTGAGGGTTCAGTCCCGGCTCCAGGTTCAGGCAGAGGAGACACAGGGACAGTCGGGGGGACATGGATCTCTCGGGGGACAGTCCCGGGGGACAGTCCCGGGAGACAGTCCCGAGAGACTGGGCACATGTGGGGGGCTCTGAAAGAGGAGCAGAGCCATCAGTTCAGGCGGTAAACACAGCTCTAGAGAGCGCCTGCGGCTGTTGTCGTGGTGACGGTGGCGGCCATTTTGTGAGTTGACGAAAGATTTTACTTGAGTTTACGATGAAACGTCTTTTGAAAACTAGTGGTTGTGATGAGTTTAGATTCTCGTGTAGATTTATTTTGTTTGTTCAGAGTTTTAACTTTTTTTGTTTCATTTTCATTGCAGTGTGTGGGAGCAGCTCAAACTGGACCCTGACCACAGAGGTGAGACCAGAGACCGGAGACCGGACCAGAATAGACCAGTTGTAAATCACAACTGGATTTGTCGCTGACGCTGCTTCTGTTTTTGTGTGTTCAGGTCTGAGTCTGAAGATCAAAGAGGAACTAGAGGAGCAGACGATTGAGTCTGTGCCAGTGATTGTGTCTGTGCGCAGTGACGCACACGCCACAGACGCACACACCACAGACGCACACGCCAAAAATGCACACGCAACAGGCGCACATGCCACAGACGCACGCGCCATAAACAAAGACGCCACAAGCGCACACGCCACAGACGCGCACGCCACAGACGCGCACGCCACAGACGCGCACGCCACAGTCGCGCACGCCACAGACGCGCACGCCACAGGCTCGCACGCCACAGGCTCGCACGCCACAGGCTCGCACGCCACAGGCTCGCACGCCACAGGCTCGCACGCCACAGGCTCTCACGCCACAGGCTCTCACGCCACAGGCTCACACGCCACAGGCTCACAGGCTATAGACGCACATGCCACAGACGCACACGCCACAGATGTCCACGCCACAGGCGCACATGCCACAGACGCTTACGCCACAGACGCACACGCCACTGACATTTACGCCACAGACGCACACACCACAGACGCACACGCCACAGTCACCATCTTGAAGCAGCGGCGTGATGAGCGTGGAGATGAGGAGTTGTTCTCCTCAGACACAGACGACTCCGAGGACTGGACCGTAGGCGACAGCGGCGCGCACACAGGGAAGCACCGGAAGGAGGCGGGGCTAAAGAGCTGCTCTCACTGCGGTAAAGGCTTTCCCACCAACAAGCGGCTGCGCAGCCACGAGCTCACGCACCTGGAGCAGAAACCCTTCAAGTGCGCGGTGTGCGGTCGCGGCTTCATCCGCAGCTGTAAGCTGAAGGTGCACATGCGCGTGCACACGGGCGAGAAGCCCTTCAAGTGTCCTGTGTGCGCTAAAGCCTTCAGGATCAAGGACCACGTGAACCTGCACATGCGCATCCACACAGGGGAGCGACCTTTCAGCTGCTCCATCTGCCAGAGGAGCTACACGCAGCGCCAGAGTCTGAAGATGCACATCCTCACGCACAAAGGCGACAAGCCACACAAGTGCACGCTGTGCGACAAGCGCTTTGCAGAGAAGAAGCGCGTGAACCTGCACATGCGTGTGCACACCGGGGAGCGGCCCTTCACCTGCGGCGTGTGCGGGCGCCAGTTCACAGAGAAAGGCCACTTAACACAACACTCAAAGATCCACACAGGAGAGCGCGACTTCCCCTGCGCCCTCTGCTCCAAGGCCTTCAAGGTGAAGACGCAGCTCACCACACACATGCGCACGCACACGGGCGAGCGACCTTACAGCTGCTCCGTGTGCCAAATGGCTTTCAAGCAGAGCGGCGGTCTGAGCGAACACATGAGGAGCCACACCGGCGAGCGACCTTACAGCTGTTCCGTCTGCTCCAAGACATACGTGCGCAGGAAGTCTCTGCTCAAACACACGCGCCTGCACTCAGGGCTGACGTGCGGCGTGTGCGGCCAGGCGTTCGCAGAGAAGAAGTCTCTGGACTTCCACACCAACATCCGGCACACGGGCGCGCGCCCCTTCCACTGCGCCGTCTGCAACAAGGACTTTGTGGCCGAGTGGTGGTTCCTCAAACACATGCGCGTTCACACCGGGGAGAAGCCTTTCAGCTGCTCCTTCTGCGCCAAGAACTTCCGCACGCGCTGCCAGCTGCAACGGCACGCCAAGGTGCACACGGGGGAGGGGCCCTTCACCTGCGGCGTCTGCGGTAGGCAGTTCTCCTCAGAACCAGGTCTGAACATCCACAAGAACCGACACGCGCCACAGGGGCCTCTGGATTGCGGCGTCTGCTCTCAGCAGCTGCGCAACAAGAGCGCCCTGAGGCGCCACATGGACCAGCACCAAGGAGAGCGCCTCTTCAACTGCTCTGTGTCCCTGACTAGGGTCCAGACCGGACTCTAGACCGGACTCTAGACCGGTGTTCTGTTGAGTTGGTCTGCCCGTCGAGATGATCTGCCTCAGCTGTTAATGATGTAATGCAAACCAGCGCGTCTCACGGCAGCCGAAGCAATCCAAGATGGCGGACATGTAGTCCGTGAATTGCTTTAAAAGTTAAATACGAACTAATTAAGACACAAATGTCACTTTTAATGCAATTTGAGGCGAGATGTTGATGTTCTGCGTTGTGATATGTGGGTTTTTGAGTTTTGTGTAAAGTTTGTTTAAAGCAGTCATATTGACTCCTGTGAAACTACACTGCTGCTGTGCCCAAATCTGACTTGTGCAGAAACCCGACAGAATGGGGAAAAAACTCGATCTAATAAAATATTTTGTTTGAACACACTATTGTTAATCATATTGAATACAGTATGATACATGCATTAAATTTAATTTATTATTTTCATTATCAACCCGACAGACCAGCCACAGACCAGCCACAGACCAGCCACAGACCAGCCACAGACCAGTCACAGACCAGTCACAGACCAGTCACAGACCAGTCACAGACCAGCCACAGACCAGTCACAGACCAGCCACAGACCAGCCACAGACCAGCCACAGACCAGCCACAGACCAGCCACAGACCAGCCACAGACCAGCCACAGACCAGCCACAGGACGCGTCATGGGCCTGACGTATGCAGCGGTCAACTCAGGGACTGCTCTCACACAGCAGCAGTGTGGTTTACTTTACACAAAACTCTTACTCTCAAAACCCACACATAACAACACAGAACCATCAACACGGAACCATCAACATCTCGCCTCAAATTGCATTAAAAGTGACATTTGTGTTTTAATTTGTTCGTATTTTAACTTTTAGAGTCCAGACCGGAGTCCAGACCGCACTCTAAGCCAGACTATAGACCGGATTCTAGACCGGACTCTAGACCCAGACCTGAGCAGACGATCGAGACTCTGAGGGAGATAAAGCTGTTTCTATAAAAACAAAAATGTGTCATTTACTGTAACAAGTTATTGATACTCTCCTCCCTTTCTCTAAAGTTACAGACCTGAGCTTTAAACATGTGTTATTGAGACTAAAGTTACAGACCTGAGCTTTAAACATGTGTTATTGAGACTAAAGTTACAGACCTGAGCTTTAGTCCCGGTCTGACAGATACAGTCTATGGTCTGACACAGGGGGCGGTATAGAGCGTGGTCATGGAGCTTCATAATTCAGCCTTAAATGAATGAACCATGGCCCAAGTGAAGCGGGAGCAGGACCCCGAGGAGAACAGGTGATCCAGGCCCCAAACAGAACCAGAGAGGAGCCCAGGGCAGCCCGAGGAGAGAAGGAGAGAGGGAGAGAGGAGGGGAGAGGGGAGAGCCTGGGTCTGCAGGAGCTAACGCTGCTCACTGGATCACAGATTTATACTGAATTATAATCTGTAAATATATGATTTAAAGTCTGCACATGCGCAGATCACACATGTATCCGCCGCGTGCTAAGGATCAGCAGAGGTTTAATGTACGAAGTGTTTAAAAACACAGGGTTCGGTCTGATCCACGGGGCTAATGCTAATGCTAATGCTAACGTTGATTCCACTCACTGCTTTTCTCTGAATTGGATTTTTGGGTGGATTTTTTTAAAAGTTGACCAGAAATATGATGAACTGGAGCTGAGATCACGCTCCTGACTTCAAACATTTACTTAAAGCGGTGTTTTTAAGCTAACAGCTAACGGCTAACAGCTAACAGCAGCATCCTCCACTGATAGAATAGCAGAGATCTACAGTAACCCAAACAGCTGAAAGTCCCCACAGGCCAGCCCTGTGCTCCTCATAGTCCCAGCAGGAGGCCAGTCCCTGTGCTCCTCATAGTCCCAGCAGGAGGCCAGTCCCTGTGCTCCTCATAGTCCCAGCAGGAGGCCAGTCCCTGTGCTCCTCATAGTCCCAGCAGGAGGCCAGTCCCTGTGCTCCTCATAGTCCCAGCAGGAGGCCAGTCCCTGTGCTCCTCAGAGTCCCAGCAGGAGGCCAGTCCCTGTGTTCCCTCAGTCTCCTCTTTGTTGTAATCTGCAACTAACTTTACAATAACCCACATTTTATAAGCTGAAAGTACAGGACTGTTTAAAAGTAAAACTACAAATACTTAGAACAATACAGTTACCAGGGAAAAGTACAAAAGTAAAAGTACTTAGTTACTCGGGCTTCAGCCTCAGTGTAAATGTGTGAGGTCCCAATGAGGTCCCAGTGAGGTCCCAGTGCTGAACCTTGGGGAGCTCCATGATGAGCTGTGATCAAACAGAATGATGTTAATATTGTTCTGTTTTTCAGTTCAGACGCTCGGAGCGAAGACCACGACCACGGTACGATTTCAGAGTGTCCTGAAAAGCTCTGTATAAAACCTGTTATTATTATTCTCCCCCTCTGCTCTCTCTCCTGCTCTCCCCTCTGCTCTCCCCCTCTGCTCTCTCTCCTGCTCTCCCTCTCCCCTCTGCTCTCTCCCACTCTCTCAAAGTATAATATTGAAATAGGCTTCTGTGTTCTGCAGACGGAGCGTTTGTGATCTGTGTAAAGGAGGAGCCGCAGGAGGTGTGCATCAGAGAAGAGCGCAGAGAGGAGGTGCGCAGAGAGGAGGTGCGCAAAGAGGAGGAACGCAGAGGCCAAACAGACAGCCCCTTTATCCAGGTCATTGTAAAGAGTGAAGAGGAGGAGCAGGAAGAAGACAATGAGGAGGAGGAGGAGAATGAGGAGTGCGCTGTACCAAACCCTCGGCGGGCAGACTGCAGCGCGTCTGAAAAGTCGGAGCTGAAAGATGGCGCCTCAGAGAAACAGGTGATACTTGCAGCTTCTCAGCTTCTGCTCATGTGTGGAGTCTGTATTCTCTACATTAGTGACGTCATACATGTCCATCAAAATGATTAAGTTCAACAGATTTAAAGTTTGTAGCAAAATGATCTCCTTGAACTGTGCTGCCCACACGTGTCCTCTAGGGGGCACTGCACTCACATCATCTACAGTACAAACTTATCTACACTACCAACAATAAGGAATATTAATAATATTAATATGGCCAATCACAGAGCGGCCAATCACAGACCAGCCAATCACAGAGCAGCCAATCAGACCAGCCAATCACAGAGCAGCCAACCACAGAGAAGCCAATCACAGAGCAGCCAGTCACAGAGCAGCCAGTCACAGAGCAGCCAATCACAGAGCAGCCAATCACAGAGCAGCCAATCACAGAGCAGCCAATCACACATGTTTAAAGCGGACCATTAGAAGTCTGTAACAAACCCATTAGAGCAGGAACTGTCTCTAGTTTCACACGTTACTGATGAGTCTAAAGTGTTTAACGTGTGTTTGATCTTTGACCTCAGATCTCTGGAGACAAACTGCGCTGTGGCGTGTGTCTGAAGTCGTTCCGTCACGCCGCCAGCCTGCGGCGCCACCGCCTGCAGCACTCAGGGCGGCGCCCATTCACGTGTCCGTTCTGTCAGAAGGAGTTTGCGCAGTCGGCGCACCTGACGTCGCACATGCGTGTGCACACGGGCGAGCGACCTTACAGCTGCTCCCACTGTGACAGGACCTTCGCAGAGAAACGCACGCTGGAGATGCACGCACGGCTGCACACGGGGGAGAAACCTTTCAGCTGTTCCGTCTGCGGCAAACGCTTCACGCAGAACACTTTGAAGCTGCACATGCGCACGCACACCGGGGAGCGACCTTACAGCTGCTCTGTCTGTGGAAAGAGCTTCACACAGTTCAAAGTGCTGAGGGACCACCTGCAAGTGCACAGCGAGGAAAAGCCCTTCAGGTACAGACCGGCTAATCACAGACCAGCCAATAATCACAGACCGGCCAATCACAGACCGGCCAATCACAGACCAGCCAATCACATGATGAGTAGCCGTGATGGGCAAGTTTATTTATTCATTTATTTGAATGGGACAGTGCATGTGAATGAACAGACACATTAAAACATGACAGATTAAAGCCAAAGGATCATTTCCATCTGTGTCCCGGGGTCAGGGTCACACGGGTCAGGGTCACACGGGTCAGGCTCACACGGGTCAGGCTCACACGGGTCAGGCTCACACGGGTCAGGCTCACACCGGACAGGCTCACACCGGACAGGCTCACACCGGACAGGCTCACACCGGTCAGGCTCACACCGGTCAGGCTCAAATACAGAAACATTAACAGAAACAAAAGGGGGAAAATAACAAACAAAAAAACAGCTTTTATTCAGCTACAAGCGACTTGATTTGTGCAGTGAGCTAAAGCTAAAGCTACTTTACCATAAATTCAGCTTCACAGAAGCTACACCCATACAAATGTAGCAAGCTCAGTTACAAAGGTCAAAAGTAGTTTGATATTTAGAAGCTACTTACAATGAAACAAACTGCAGTCCATGGAATTTCAGTGATAAATACAACTGTCAGTCAGAAAAAGGTTCAAATGTAGATATTTATTGAACAATGGCTCAAAACACCAACAACAAAACACAAGAAGGCCTTTTGCAAATGTAAATAAAATAAATTGAGAAATTATAGCAATAAGCCGTTACAAATGAACATGTTTCATTAGAACTGTTTTTTAACAATAAAAAACAATTTGTAACAATAGCCCAATAAACACAAAACAAATGTGAGTCTTAGCCAATTAATGAGTCTATTTAAGCAAGAACACCCTCTGAATATATATGTTTACAAATGAACTGTGCTAAGAACTATGTCTGACCAGTTTATGAAAACAATCATACAGCCATCATACAGCCGTCATACAAACATCATACAACCGTCATACAGCCGTCATACAACCATCATACAACCGTCATACAACCGTCATACAACCATCATACAACCGTCATACAACCGTCATACAACCATCATACAGCCATCATACAACCATCATACAGCCATCATACAACCATCATACAACCGTCATACAACCATCATACAGCCGTCATACAACCATCATACAGCCATCATACAAACATCATACAGCCGTCATACAGCCGTCATACAACCATCATACAACCGTCATACAACCATCATACAGCCGTCATACAACCATCATACAGCCGTCATACAACCGTCATACAGCCGTCATACAGTCGTCATACAACCATCATACAGCCGTCATACAGCCGTCATACAGCCATCATACAACCGTCATACAGCCGTCATACAGCCTTATCACCAGTCACAGAGGAGCTTTCTCTGGGATTACAAAGTGTGTGTGTGTGTGTCTCTCGTCACCAAGGCATACTTGTGGCTGCAAAAATGCTGTAATATATGAACATCAGAAAAGTCTGTGAGAAAATAGCTTTGGAGGACGCTACTGCGCTACTTGCTCAATAAAATAGCTTAGCTACAGAAAAGTCACTACTGCCCATCACTGAGTAGTGTCTCCAGTGTGAAACTCTTATTGATCTAATGGTTGTGTTCTGTGTAGATCGCACTAACCTTCTCCCTTCCTGTCCCTTCAGCTGCTCAGTCTGTGAGAAAAGCTTTGGGCGCCAGAGCCACCTGAGCGCGCACATGTCCACGCACACAGGAGACAAACCCTTCAGCTGCTCAGTCTGCCACAAGGCCTTTTCCAAACAGAGTAATCTGAAGGGCCACATGCTGACGCACTCGGGGGAGAAACCTTTCGGCTGTTCTCAGTGTGAGAAGAAGTTTTCCCGCCAGCCCAACCTGAGCCGCCACATGCTGGTGCACACAGGGGAGAGACCCTTCAGCTGCTCAGTCTGTGACCGCAGCTTCCTGAGGCAGAACCAGCTGACCAAGCACCAGGCCACTCACAGCGACGAGGCCCAGGGTTAATGCTGCTACAAGGAGAGCAGCATCTGCACTCAGAGCTCCGGGTTTACAGCCTCACGAGCTGGAAGGACATTAAGGACTGAGCTCAGAGTAGAGCTGCTACTCCTTCACCTCTGGGAGGAGATTGATGTCGAAGTCTGAAATAAATGTGTTTCTCCAAACTCTGTGTGTGTCTGTGTGTGTGCGTGCGTTAACCACTCTGCCACATTAACCTTTATTCCATTTATTTGTGAATCTAAATCAAACAGTAGTTTTCTCCAGACTTTACAAAACACAGATGAGAGAAGCCGACACAGAACACATGCTGTTGATAAATGTGTCTGACCACAAACAGGAGCGAGCCTGGGGTTAGCAGTGCTCCTAAGTGAACTCACTGTGACATACTTAGAAGCACGGCTAACATTAAACACGTTTCATTGATGCAGATTCTATTTCAGCAGGAGCAAGGAGGGGTCAGAGAAGTCAGGTGTCACAGGTCAGAGAAGTCAGGGGTTACAGGTCAGAGGGGTCAGAGGTCACATGCAGCCGCTGCAGCCGCACTGAGCACCTGCGCAGCGTGTGGGCTGAGGTCATGTGACACCTCGCTGCCGCTCGGTGCTTCTGCCCCCGGTGGACGCTGAGGGCAGCGCTGGAGGAGAAGACTCTGTCACAGACTGAGCAGCTGAAAGGTTTCTCCCCTGTGTGGACGTGTGAGTGACGCAGCAGCTGACAGCGGCTCCTGAAGCTCTGTGCGCACACTGAGCAGCTGAATGGTTTCTCCCCGGTGTGAAGCCGCATGTGTTTGAGGAACCAACCCTCGTCCACAAAGTCCTTGTCGCAGACTGAGCAGCTGAAGGGCCTGAGTCCTGTGTGCCGCACATTCATGTGAAAGTCCAGAGACTTCTGCAGAGCGAAGCCCCGCCCACACTGCGCACACTGCAGCCCGCCGTGCAGCCGCATGTGCTTCTGCAGCTTGTTCTTGTCTTTGTATCGTTTAGAGCAGACTGAGCAGCTGAAAGGCCTCTCCCCTGTGTGCACCCGCATGTGGTGCTGGAGCCCAGTCTTTTGGACAAATCGTTTCTCACAAACTGAACAGCCGTAAGGTCTGTCGCCAGTGTGGATCCTCATGTGGACTTTGAGACTCGCCTTGATCTTAAAGCTCTTGCTGCAGACAGAGCAGCTGAAGGGTCGCTCTGTGGAGTGGACCCTCTGCATGTGTCGAGTGAGGCCTCCATTTAAAGCGAAGGCCCGACTGCAGACTGAGCAGCTGTAAGGCCGCTCCCCTGTGTGAACGCGCATGTGTTTCAGCAGAACCTTCTTCTCAGTGAAAGCCTTGGTGCAGACTGAACAGCTGAAGGGTCTGTGTCCCGAGTGCGTGCGCATGTGCATCTTCAGACTCTGCGCCTGCGTATAGGTGCGTGCACAGACTGCGCAGCTGAAAGGCCTCTCCCCTGTGTGCGTCATCATGTGCAGCTTCTCCAGTTTCTTAGTGCCAAAGGTCTTGGCACAGACTGAGCAGCTGAAAGGCTTCTCCCCGCTGTGAGTCCTGGCGTGTTCTTTGAGCTGATAATGTGTCCTAAAGCTGCGCTCACAGTCTGAGCAGCTGTAAGGTTTGACTCCTCTGTGGACATCCATGTGATAGCTCAGGTTCTTCCTGCAAGTGAAAGTCTTGGGGCAGGCTGAGCAGCTGAAGGGTCTCTTCCCAGAGTGCCTGCTGTAGTGATAGCGCAGTGTGCTTCTATGAGCAAACACTTTCTGACAGAGGGAACAGCTGAAGGGCTTCTCCCCGCTGTGAGTCACAGAGTGCTCCTTCAGGTGAGAGCTGCTCTTAAAGCACTTGTGGCAGACGGAGCAGCTGAAAGGTTGCTGTGGGCTCTCTCGTCTCTGGCACTTCCTGCGTTTGTCTTCAGGCGTCCAGCTCTCAGACGAATCTGAGTCTGAGTCTGAGGGGCAGGGCTCCGGCTGTTCATGCACACTGTCCTCTGGGACCCTGTCGCGGTGAGTCCTCCGGTGTACATGCAGGTAGCACTTGTGGGTGAAGGCTCTGGCACACACTGAGCAGCTGAAGGGTCTGTCTGTAGTGAGGCTCCTCTTCTGTCTCTGAACTTTAGGAGGACAGCGCGCTTCACTAGTTCTTTCAGGTATTCGGGGCTGTCTGCGGTGAGTCCTCTGGTGCTGAGAGGCTTGTGGGACCCTGTGGCGGTGAGTCCTCTGGTGCTCAGAGGCCTGTGGGACCCTGGGGAGGTGAGTCCTCTGGTGCTCAGAGGCCTGTGGGACCCTGGGGTGGTGAGTCCTCTGGTGCTCAGAGGCCTGTGGGACCCTGGGGCGGTGAGTCCTCTGGTGCTCAGAGGCCTGTGGGACCCTGTCGCGGTGAGTTCTCTGGTGCAGATGCAGGTAGCACTTGTGGGTGAAGGCTTTGCCACAAACTGAACAACTGAAGGGTCTGCGGTTGCGGTGGGCCTTGTGGTGCAGAGTGAGAGCGTGTTTGTGTTTGAAGAGTCTGCTGCAGACGCTGCAGGAAAAAGTTCTCTCACTGCGGACGCTGACAATCACTGGGAACAGGCCACGCCCCTCCTCCTCCTCCTCTTCTTCTTTTATCTGTGTCTCTCTGGAGTCGAGTGGAGAGTCTGTGGAAACATAACATGTGTCACTGAAGGACAGACTCCATTTTTCTTTAGTGTTTTTTATATCTCTGGCGTCACTTTGAGCCGAAGACCAGTGTAAGTTTTACCTGAGGGTTTATCCTTTAGCTCCGCCCCCAGGTCGTCCTTTAGCTCCGCCCCCAGTGCGCTGCAAAAGAAACGTGTGAAAGTGAGGTTTATGGCCTCATGTGTCCCTACAGCGCCCCCTGAGTGTAGTGCTCATTTAACATGACCCGAGAAAGAGACCCAAGAGAGAGAGAGAGACCCGATAGAGAAAACACGAAAGACCCGAGAGAGAGACCCGAGAAAGAGAGACCCGAGAGACAAACGAGAGAGACCCGAGAAAGAGAGACCCGAGAGACAAACGAGAGAGACCAGAGAGAATGACCCAAGAGAGAGAGACCCGAGAGAGAAAGACAAGAGAGAGAGAGAGAGAGACCCCAGAGAGAGACTTGAGAGAGACTCGAGAGAGAGAGACCCGAGAGAGAGAGAGAGAGAGAGACATGACAAAGAGAGAGAGACCAGAGAGAGACCAGAGAACGTTCACAAAAAAGCGGAACGTTTGCCATGTGTTTGTTTGTTTTCGCGGGGACATGAAGCCTGCGACACTGAGGTTTTTTTTCCCCTGCACACACAAACACCGCACTGAGTGACGTGTGTACAGACCCGGACACGTCACAAGGCGACGCTTCGGGACATCCTTCCATTCACACTGGACTATAATGAGCATTTAGTCTCTGAGAAATGTCGCGGATGTGATTTAAATTTTTTATAAAACTACTAGCTGTAAAACAGTGTTGGAGTGTTTAGGCCTGGGTCTACAGCCTCGGTCCTGGGTCTACAGCCTCGGTCCTGGGTCTACAGCCTCAGTCCTGGGTCTACAGCCTCGGTCCTGGGTCTACAGCCTCAGTCCTGGGTCTACAGCCTCAGTCCTGGGTCTACAGCCTCAGTCCTGGGTCTACAGCCTCAGTCCTGGGTCTACAGCTCTTGTATAATATATATGTTCATTTATTGAACCAGGAAATATATTATTTCTAGAGATGTTTCTGCGCGGAGCCCCTGTGTGTAAGACGGTCCCAGTCTGACAGCGTCCCCTGGCGGCAGTGACTCACCTGGGCTCCTCCTGCTGCTCTTGCTTGGGCTCGCACAGCTCCTCCTGCTCCTCCTCCTTCACTTCCTGCACCTCCTGCTCCGCGGCCATGTCCCTGAATACGTGTCTGTACTCCACTCGCAGCAGTTTAAATCAGACCTGAGCTGAAAACACGGGGCCGCGCAAGCGCAGTGTGCAGTAAGTAGAGCAGGGACTCCACAGCACCCCCTGGTGTTTAGTAGTAGTAGTAGTAGTAGTAGTAGTAGTAGTAGTAGTAGTAGTAGTAGTAGTAGTAGTAGTAGTAGTAGTAGTAGTAGTAGTAGTAGTAGTAGTAGTAGTAGTAGTAGTAGCAGCAGTAGCAGCAGCAGCAGCAGCAGCAGCAGCAGCAGCATTAGTAGTAGTAGTAATAGCAGTAGTAGTAGCAGTAGTGTGAGGGTCTACAACAGACGTGACATTTCAAACACTGCGAAACTTATGATAATGTTGTTTCTCTGAAAGAGCAGCTGCCTCCAACAGGAAGAGACCTTTAGAGACCTTTAGTCCTGCTGAAGACCTGCTTTAGTCCTGCTTTAGACCTGCTTTAGTCCTGCTTTAGACCTGCTTTAGACCTGCTTTAATCCTGCTTTAGTCCTGCTTTAGTCTGGCTTTAGTCCTGCTTCAGTCCTGCTGAAGACCTGCTTTAGTCCTGCTGAAGTCCTGCTTTAGGCCTGCTTTAGACCTGCTTTAGTCCTGCTTTAGTCCTGCTTTAGTCCTGCTTAAGACCTGCTTTAGTCCTGCTTTAGTCCTGCTTTAGACCTTCTTTAGTCCTGCTTTAGACCTGCTTTAGTCCTGCTTTAGACCTGCTTTAGACCTGCTTTAGTCCTGCTTTAGTCCTGCTTTAGACCTGCTTTAGTCCTGCTTTAGTCCTGCTTTAGACCTTCTTTAGTCCTGCTTTAGACCTGCTTTAGACCTGCTTTAGACCTGCTTTAGTCCCGCTTTAGTCCTGCTTTAGTCCTGCTTTATTCCTGCTTTAGTCCTGCTTTAGACCTGCTTTAGTCCTGCTTTAGTCCTGCTTTAGTCCTGCTTTAGTCTTGCTTTAGTCCTGCTTTAGTCCTGCTTTAGACCTGCTTTAGTCCTGCTTTAGACCTACTTTAGTCCTGCTTTAGTCCTGCTTTAGACCTGCTTTAGTCCTGCTTTAGACCTGCTTTAGACCTGCTTTAGTCCTGCTTTAGTCCTGCTTTAGTCCTACTTTAGTCCTGCTTTAGTCCTGCTTTAGTCCTGCTTTAGACCTTCTTTAGTCCTGCTTTAGACCTACTTTAGACCTGCTTTAGACCTACTTCAGACCTGCTTTACCTGGTGTTTAGTAGTTTAGTAGTAGTAGTAGTTAGTAGTAGTAGTAGTAGTAGTAGCTTTAGCAGCAGCAGCAGCAGCCTGCAGCAGCAGCCAGCAGCAGCAGCAGCGCATTAGTAGTAGTAGTAATAGCAGTAGTAGTAGCAGTAGTGTGAGGGTCTACAACAGACGTGACATTTCAAACACTGCGAAACTTATGATAATGTTGTTTCTCTGAAAGAGCAGCTGCCTCCAACAGGAAGAGACCTTTAGAGACCTTTAGTCCTGCTGAAGACCTGCTTTAGTCCTGCTTTAGACCTGCTTTAGTCCTGCTTTAGACCTGCTTTAGACCTGCTTTAGTCCTGCTTTAGTCCTGCTTTAGTCCTGCTTTAGTCCTGCTTTAGTCCTGCTTTAGTCCTGCTTTAGACCTGCTTTAGTCCTGCTTTAGACCTGCTTTAGTCCTGCTTTAGTCCTGCTTTAGACCTGCTTTAGTCCTGCTTTAGTCCTGCTTTAGTCCTGCTTTAGACCTGCTTTAGACCTGCTTTAGTCCTGCTTTAGTCCTGCTTTAGTCCTGCTTTAGTCCTGCTTTAGACCTGCTTTAGTCCTGCTTTAGTCCTGCTTTAGTCCTGCTTTAGTCCTGCTTTAGACCTGCTTTAGTCCTGCTTTAGACCTGCTTTAGACCTGCTTTAGACCTGCTTTAGTCCTGCTTTAGACCTGCTTTAGTCCTGCTTTAGTCCTGCTTTAGACCTGCTTTAGACCTGCTTTAGACCTGCTTTAGACCTGCTTTAGACCTGCTTTAGTCCTGCTTTAGTCCTGCTTTAGTCCTGCTTTAGTCCTGAAGACCTACTTCAGACCTGCTTTAGTCCTGCTGAAGACCTTCTTTAGACCTGCTTTAGACCTGCTTTAGACCTGCTTTAGTCCTGCTTTACTGCTTTAGTCCTGCTTTAGTCCTACTTTAGTCCTGCTTTAGTCCTGCTTTAGTCCTGCTTTAGTCCTACTTTAGACCTTCTTTAGTCCTGCTTTAGACCTACTTTAGACCTGCTTTAGACCTACTTCAGACCTGCTTTAGACCTACTTTTGACCTGCTTTAGGCCTGCTTTAGACCTGCTTTTAGTCCTGCTTTAGTCCTGCTTTAGACCTTCTTTTAAAGCAGGTCTAAAGCAGGACTAAAGCTTTAGACCTGGACTAAAGCAGGACTAAAGCAGGACTAAAGCAGGACTAAAGCAGGACAAAAGCAGGTCTAAAGCAGGACTAAAGCAGGACTAAAGCAGGTCTAAAGCAGGTCTAAAGCAGGACTAAAGCAGGTCTAAAGCAGGTCTAAAGCAGGTCTAAAGCAGGTCTAAAGCAGGACTAAAGCAGGACTAAAGCAGGACTAAAGCAGGACTAAAGCAGGACTAAAGCAGGTCTAAAGCAGGACTAAAGCAGGACTAAAGCAGGACTAAAGCAGGTCTAAAGCAGGACTAAAGCAGGTCTAAAGCAGGTCTAAATCAGGTCTAAAGCAGGACTAAAGCAGGTCTAAAGCAGGACTAAATCAGGTCTAAAGCAGGTCTAAAGCAGGTCTAAAGCAGGACTAAAGCAGGACTAAAGCAGGTCTAAAGCAGGTCTAAAGCAGGACTAAAGCAGGTCTAAAGCAGGACTAATGGAAGTCAGATGTTGTGGAGACATATTTTCTGAATGAGATATAACGTTAGAGAATGTGAAGAATGTGATGGAAAGGCGTCGGACAACAGCTCCCATGATGCATCACAGAACTACTATTTTATCTGGATGGAAAAAAAGGAACACAAGCCCCGCCTTCTTCTACAGGTAAACAAGCTCCGTCCAATTCTACAGGTGCACAAGCCCCGCCCACTTCTACAGGTACACAAGCCCCGCCCACTTCTACAGGTACACAAACCCCGCCCACTTCTACAGGTACACAAACCCCGCCCAATTCTACAGGTACACAAGCTCCGCCCAATTCTACAGGTACACAAGTTCCGCCCAATTCTACGGGTAGACCAGCCCTGCCCACTTCCACAGGTACACAAGCATTTTTTCACATTTTCCAGCCCCCGCGGCCATTTTGAATAACTCCATGAAAGCCCAATTTTTGGCCCATTAGTTAGAACGGCGGAGATAGGTGTGACTACGTACGTTATACAGTCTATGGTTGTTATCAGTGGGTTTTAAGAATCAAAGTTTCGTGTAAAGTTTGTTTTAAGCAGTCAACTGTGAGAGCAGTCATATTGACTCCTGTGGAACCGCACTGCTGCTGTGTGAGAGCAGTCATATTGACTCCTGTGGAACCACACTGCTGCTGTGTGAGAGCAGTCATATTGACTCCTGCTTACATTATCGAGTTGATAATGTAAATAAAAACCAAACTCTGTTGGGAGGTGTTAGCTGTGGAGTTCACCAGAGGACGCTTCATCGGCATTCACAGGAGTCAATATGACTGCTATCACACAGCAGCAGTGTGATTCCACAGGAGTCAATATGACTGCTATCACACAGCAGCAGTGTGATTCCACAGGAGTCAATATGACTGCTATCACACAGCAGCAGTGTGATTCCACAGGAGTCAATATGACTGCTATCACACAGCAGCAGTGTGATTCCACAGGAGTCAATATGACTGCTATCACACAACAAGAGAAGCACAGGTGTAATTACATCACAAACAGCTGAGGCAGCTCAACTCGACAGACCACCAGGACTAAAGCTTTGATACGTGACTTTAAAACTGAGGTCTCTCTCTGGTCTCTCTCTCTGGTCTCTCTCTGGTCTCTCTCTGGTCTCTCTCTGGTCTCTCTCTCTCTGGTCTCTTTCTGGTCTCTTTCTGGTCTCTCTCTGGTCTCTCTCTCTCTGGTCTCTCTCTGGTCTCTCTTTCTGGTCTCTCTCTGGTCTCTCTGTCTGGTCTCTCTCTCTGGTCTCTCTCTGGTCTCTCTCTGGTCTCTCTCTCTCTGGTCTCTTTCTGGTCTCTTTCTGGTCTCTCTCTGGTCTCTCTCTCTGGTCTCTCTCTGGTCTCTCTCTCTGGTCTCTCTCTGGTGTCTCTCTCTGGTCACTCTCTGGTCTCTCTCTGGTCTCTCTCTCTGGTCTCTCTCTGGTCTCTATCTGGTCTCTCTCTGGTCTCTCTCTCTGGTCTCTCTCTGGTCTCTCTGGTTCTCTTGGTCTCTCTCTCTGGTCTCTCTCTCTGGTCTCTCTCTCTGGTCTCTCTCTCTGGTCTCTCTCTCTGGTCTCTCTCTGGTCTTTCTCTACGGTCTCTCTCTGGTCTCTCTCTGGTCTCTCTCTGGTCTCTCTCTGGTCTCTCTCTGGTCTCTCTCTGGTCTCTCTCTGGTCTCTCTCTCTGGTCTCTCTCTCTCTGGTCTCTCTCTCTGGTCTCTCTCTCTCTGGTCTCTCTCTGGTCTCTCTCTGGTCTCTCTCTGGTCTCTCTTCTGGTCTCTCTGTCTGGTCTCTCTCTCTGGTCTCTCTCTCTGGTCTCTCTCTTGGTCTCTCTCTCTGGTCTCTCTCTGGTCTCTCTCTGGTCTCTCTCTGGTCTCTCTCTCTTGGTCTCTCTCTGGTCTCTCTCTGGTCTCTCTCTGGTCTCTCTCTCTGGTCTCTCTCTGGTCTCTCTCTGGTCTCTCTCTGGTCTCTCTCTGGTCTTTCTTTGACTGTGACACATTTAAGAATTTGTTGAGTCAGACTTTTGAGTTTTTGCTGATGGAAAGTGTCCCACCCACAAGAGCAGGGTCTGAACCAGGTCTAAAGAAAGACTAAAGCAGGACTAAAGCAGGTCTAAAGCAGGACTAAAGCAGGACTAAAGCAGTACTAAAGCAGGACCAAAGCAGGACTAAAGCAGGACCAAAGCAGGACCAAAGCAGGACCAAAGCAGGTCTAAACAGGACTAAAGCAGGACTAAAGCAGGACTAAAGCAGGACTAAAGCAGGTCTAAAGCAGGACTAAAGCAGGTCTAAAGCAGGACTAAAGCAGGACTAAAGCAGGTCTAAAGCAGGTCTAAAGCAGGTCTAAAGCAGGTCTAAAGCAGGTATAAAGCAGGACTAAAGCAGGTCTAAAGCAGGTCTAAAGCAGGACTAAAGCAGGACTAAAGCAGGTCTAAAGCAGGTCTAAAGCGGAACATGGAGAGAGATCCCAGTTCACGCCCTTTCGGGACTCTTCGGCTGATGTCGTCACTTTCTGACGCCTGGAGCTACCTTTGAGCATGTGTTAAAGTTATGCAGTGTTTTCAGAACTCACCTTCGTCGCCATTTCGTAAAAAGTTGAGCAAAAAGTGCTAAAAGTTGAAGCGAAGCGCGATGAGCGAGTGTTTCCGGAGACACACGAGTGGAGCGAAGATTCCCGAAGCGGGAGACTGAACCAGGAGCGGTGTGTGTCAGACCACGCCCCCACTGCAACGAGGCCACGCCCAATGTAGCAAGGCCCCGCCCCAATTCGGCCACACCTGTGAAGCAACTGTTGGGGAACCTCGGTGTGTTGTTTGGACCCGTGTCGGCTGTTCACCACGAGGAAGACAGGAACTTGTCCAAACAAAAGTGACAGTGACAGTCTCATACAGGATTGACTCTAGATCTGCTTTAGACCTGCTTTAGTCCTGATTTAGTTCTGCTTTAGACCTGTTTTAGTCCTGCTTTAGTCCTGTTTTAGTCCTGCTTTAGACCTGCTTTAGTCCTGCTTTAGTCCTGCTTTAGACCTGCTTTAGACCTGCTTTAGTCCTGTTTTAGTCCTGCTTTTGTCCTGCTTTAGACAATACAATACCATACAATAGAATGTATTGTTGTATAGCCCTAGGCATAGGCGCCGATTTATCTTTTCCCGAGCGGGTGCTCTGTCAGCTGCATGGTCACGTGACACGTACATCACCTCATTTCCCTAAACAGAATCGCAAGCTACTAGTTACGTTTAACATCGCATAGATGGGGATTTTCTTTATATATTAGGCTACACAGAATACACATACACTGATGCACAACTCACCATTGCTGTCATGTCATAGTAGGAGGAATGTGCCTTTTCTCGCCGATGTGCGCTTGATGAATTCATTGGCGACATCATCCAAACTCTGTTGCCGTGATGTGGTTTTATGGCAATTAAGTAATGTTACGTGGTTCAGCCTGGCGTGTCCCATTGTTGACCGTAGGTAGGATTTCAGCCTCCGCAGACTTGAAAATGATCTCTCTGACGTGCATGAAGTTACTGGGACAGTCAGTGCAAGTTTTACCAGTTTAGCTATCTCTGGTAACATGTCTCTTAAGTATTCGCCATCACGTCTTAGAAAGTTAACAACGTCGTCAAATGTATCAAGGCTCACACCTTTTTGTTTGGCCAAATCAGATGAGGTTAACGATGCAACGTTAACCTCATCTCATCCAAATCATCTCCGTGGAACTCAATGATGCTTTTACAGCTCTTCTTTCCAGTGAGAAAATCTTCCACTTTCTTCATGTAATCAAACACGGACGGACTAAATCGAGTGTCCAATGAGGTGACTGCTGTGTCAATAACATCATAGTACAGCTGTCTGTAGACGTCCTCGGGAGATTTAAATGCGTGCTGCGGGGCACCTCCATCCTCCAGGCGGCATGGACGTTTACGAGGCCTGGGCACAGACGGGCTCTCAAGGTGAAGATCACTTGCCTCACCAACTACGCTTTGCCACAGTGTGGTAAATGATGCTTCTTGGTGAAAAGATTTCATGTCATCTCGGAGTGTGTCTATTATCTGCATTGCTTTCTGCATATGCAATTGCCTCTTTTGGAGTGCAACTGATACCGTTTCAATTCGAGAGAAGAATTTCAGCATCAAGTTTAATGAAAAGAATGTACCAAACTTCTGAAGGTTTAAAAGCAATCCGTTGGCTTTTCCTCCAGCGTCCCCTCGGTCATTTTGAGCCAAGTCTTCCAGAAAAAGTAAGAGCGCACTGTAGTTGTCTGCAATTGACCGCAGTGAGGCCGTAGTCATTGTCCAGCGCGTTGGGCACAGAGGCCTCAAAGCTGGGCTGTCTTTGGTCTGAATCTGCTGAAACCAAAAAAGCCGCTTTGGTGACTGTCTGATGAGTGTAACTAGATCCCTAATAAGTGACATGAAGTTGCGACAAGACGAGTTGTTCTCAGTCACATCGTGCGCCACAAGATTTAAGACATGAGCAGTGCAGTGCGTATATTGAGCTCGAGGTTCAATGGTCTGCACGCGGGCCTGTAAACCATTTCTGATCCCAGAGACATTTGAGGCACCATCATAACACTGGCCTCTACACTTGTTGAGAGGCAGGGAAAATCTTATAAGAGCGTCTTGGAGAAGCTGAAAAAGCGCTTCTGCTGTGGTGGAGGCTGTTTCATAAAATCCAACAAAAATCTCCTCTGGCTGCAGCTCATCCGTCACAAAGCGGAGGCAGATTGACACTTGTTCCTTAACAGTGATGTCCGCAGTCTCATCCAACATGACAGCAAAAAATTCAGCATCTTTTACTTCCTTGAGAAGTGTTCTCAGCACGTCATGAGACATTATTTCTATCATTTCATTCAGAATTTCATGCGACAGCCATTTGCTTTCTTTTTGAGCCAACCACAACCTCAGTTCTGGATTATCTTGTGCACGTAGGTTTAAAAGCTGCATAATATTGGAATCATCATCTGTTTCCCCTTATAGCCAGGCCTTGACACAGAAGATATTGGATAGATGATAAAACAGCAATCAAAGCTTTTCTAGCGTCCACCATCTGCTTTTGTTTGGCAGCAGAAAGTGCAGATGTAATATTAACTTTGGCCTTTACTGCTCCACCTACAATGATAGCGGCTCGATGAAGAGTGGATTTTTCATGACATTTAAATCGTTCAATAGCCTTGCTCCATCTTGAAAAACCACATTGCACAAAACTTTTCATTGACTCTTTATCATGCGCTGCTTGTGGGAGAGGTGCATTCATTTCTTTAGCCGAGGTACACACTTCACAAAAAACTTTATCGTTTATACTTTATAGCATCATACGTTATCCAGGGAAACTTAGCTTTCCATGTTTGTTGGAAGGTTCGGCCTCTCTGTCCTTTAGCGGCATTGTTCTGCGTTTCCTCGTTGGCAGATGCTGTCTCATGTATGGAAATATTCTCCTCACTGATGGAATCATTTGATGCATGTTTCTGTCTTATTACAAATCGGTCCATTGTTCTCCTGTGTCGTTTTGCTAGCTTTCTGTTTTTGGCGGTAAACGTTTGCGTTTGTTTTGGCCAAAGTAACGTAGATACGTCACATAATTTAATGTTGACAAATCAAATCAAGGACAGAGGGGTTTTGCCTGGCAACAAGATTCCATCATGTATATTGAAGGCAAATTATATTTTTGATATTATTTATGTGCTAGATTCAATTATTATTATATTACTGGTCGCGTTTTTTTTTTCTTTTTAATGACTTCAGGACAAATTTTCCTGGGTGCTCAACTATTTGACTGGGTGCTCCAGCCCCGCAGCACCCACGGGATCGGCGCCTATGGCCCTAGGTCACAACAGAAGTCATCTCAGAGACTTAACAAAACCATTGAAATCACCAACACAGGTCAGAGAATCAACAGTTAAAACACATGAAGAATATAAAGCACACACAGAAGAAAATGTCCATACATGTTGTAGAATGCTAAAGTGTCCTGATCATCACCAATCCTTTCTGTTGGACACTAACTGTCCAACAAGACCCTCCTGCATCGACAAGGAACAACTCTTAAAAAACCCAGTGGGAAAGAGTGAGAAACCTTGGGGAGAACTAGGGAAACCCACAGGGAGGGAGACCCATTTGAGAAAGGGATCCGCTCCTCTGGACGGACAGGCTAATGATCCAGGACCTAAGCTAGCTACAGAACGTGGACCAGTGGCCGCTGAACGTGGACAGGTCCGGTGCAGGACTGAAGCACTCCCAGGCGGGTCGGGCGGGGCAGTCCGCAGGTGCAGATGGAGGAGGCCAGGCTCAGAGATCCCATCATCGTACCATGAAACAGACAATGGGACAACGGGTGAATAGCAATGAACAAACTACAGTCAAAATCCTAAAAATGCTAAACAGATAAAGTAGGAAGGAGGAGAGGATAGTGCTCAAGTTACCATACTTCTCCAGCAGGGGGCTCCCTATGCAGCTTGACTGACAGTCTGAGGAGTTTAGCCTTCCCTGAGTCTTACCTTCCTAGCCATATGCTAAACTAAAGAGGACTGTTTTAAACCTAGCCTTGAATAAAGAGAGCGTATCTGAAAGGAGGTGAGACAGCAGCAGCAGCCACGGCTAGGCTAGTCTAGGTTACAGCACCAAGATTCATGGATTGCACACCAGGTGTGCAAACCGATCCAAGCAAACCGAATTATATATTATATATCATATACATCATATATACCATACATACCACATATATCATATATAATACACAACATAACATACAGCATAATATATAACATAATATACAACATAACACAATACATTATTGAATAATATATAACATAATATATAACATAATACAGCATATATATATAATATATACACCATATATTATATATTACCTAATTATATGCTAAATTAAAGTAGAGTGCTTTAAGCCTGGCCTTGAATGTGGAGACCGTATCTGCTTCCTTAACATAAATGAAGCTGATTCCACAGTAAAGGAGCTTGGAGCTAAATGCTCTGCCGCCAACAGTGATTTTTGAGACCTTAGGGACCACCAGACGTCTGGCGTTTTGTGAGCGCAACGCTCGACTTGGTTGATACGACACTAACGTGTCTTGGAGATAAGAAGGAGCCAAGCCATTTATGGCTTTATATGTTAAGAGAAGGATTTTAAACTTTATTCTGTACTCCACAGGGAGCCAGTGGAGTGATTTTAACACCGGAGTTATGTGCTCCCTCCTTTTGGTACCTGTTAAGATCCTAGCTGCTGTATTCTGAACGAGCTGGAAGCTCTTCAAAGAGGCTTTAGGGCACGCTGCCAGTAAAGCGTTACAGTCGAGCCTTGAGGTGACAAAAGCGTGAATACGTTTTTCCGCGTCACTTTTAGGAAGGAAATTCCTAATTTTAGCAATGTTCCGTAAGTGGAAGTACGCCGTTTTAGTTGCTTGGCTTATATAAGCCTTGAAGGAGAGTTCTTGGTCAAAAATGACTCCAAGATTCCTCACAGTGTTACTGGGTATAATACTGACATTATCGAGAGTGATTATCTGGTTAGTAAGGGAGTCACGCAGGCGCTTCGGACCGAGTAGGATCACTTCTGTCTTCTCCGGGTTGAGAAGTAGGAAGTTAAGCGTCATCCACATTTTAAGGTCCTTTATGCAGCACTAAGCTTTTCTAGCTGATCTGTCTGATTTGGCTTCATCGACAGATGACAAAGCAGGTGTAGACCTGCTTTAGTCCTGCGTTAGACCTGCTTTAGACCTGCTTTAGACCTGCTTTTGTCCTGCTTTAGACCTGCTTTAGTCCTGCATTATCTGCTTTAGACCTGCTTTAGACCTGCTTTAGATCTGCTTTAGACCTGCTTTTGTCCTGCTTTTGTCCTGCTTTAAACCTGCTTTAGTCCTGCTTTAGACCTGCTTTTGTCCTGCTTTAAACCTGCTTTAGTCCTGCTTTAGACCTGCTTTAGTTCCAGGCCTGGTTTACATTAGCAGGTCAGAGGTGAGTCTCAGAGGAATTCCCAGAATGCAGTGTGGACAGGTGACAACAGGTGAGGAAACCTGACTCCAGACTTGAGGCATTTTACACCAAAATCCAGGGTCCCGGTTTGGTGCTGGTTTGGACCCGGTTTGGTCCTGGTTCAGTCCTGGTGTAGACCAGGTTTGGTGCTGGTTTGGACCCGGTTTGGTTCTGATTTAGACCTGGTTCAGTCCTGGTTCGGTGCTGGTTTAGACCAGGTTAAGACCTGGTTCAGGGTTAGACCTGGTCCAATCCTGGTTCAGTCCTGGTTTAGACCTGGCTCAGTAGTGGCTCAGTCCTGGTTTAGACCTGGATTAGTCCTGGTTTAGTCCTGGTTTAGTCCTGGCTCAGTCCTGGTTTAGTTCTGGTTTAGTCCTGGTTTAGACTTGGTTTAGACCTGGTTTAGACTTGGTTTAGACCTGGTTTAGTCCTGGTTTAGACCTGGCTCAGTCCTGGTTCGGTCCTGGTTTAGTCCTAGTTTGGTCCAGCAGAGGGCGCTCGAGCCGCTTTAGTTGTTTGTTGGCGTTATTAACTTATATGGATGTTTTAAAACGGTTCGTCCCCATGGCAACCACTCTGTTATCACCATGGCAACTTCTCTGTTCCCGCCCTTTCCCTCGGAGGAAGACAAACTGAGGAAGAATCGTGTTTAAAAAGTGTTTTTAAGGTTTAGTTGGGTGAAAATGAGTGAAGTACGCGGGGACCAGAGTCTGCGCTGTCCTCAGAGCAGTAAGTGTGTTTTTAATCAAGTAAAAGATAAACAAAATGACAAATGAGGAGCTAGCTCTGGCTAACGTTAGCCAACTTCAGTCTGTCACAGCTGGTGTTAGGGTTAGAGTGATGAGTTTATATTCTGCTTTTAATAACTCACAGGTGTTGTATCATGTGTTAGAAATGTGTTAAAAGTGACGTTAGGTTAAAGCTGCAACGGTTGAGACGCTGCCTGCGTGTTACCATGGAGACCATCACCTGGTCCGCCCTGGTTTGTCCTGGTTTGTCCTGGTCCGGCCCTGGTCTGTCCTGATTTTTCCTGGTTTGTCCTGGTTTGGTTCTAGTTTGGACAGTTTTTTACATTTATTTTTGGTTTTCAGTTTGGCGCCTGTGCAGGATTCCTTCACCTGTCAATCATCTGTTCGCCGAATCAGAGGGACCGAAGAGGCACGTGCTCCGAGCTCTGTTGGGGGCCATCGCCGGAGCAGGTAGCGCCCACATTAGACCTGCTTTAGACCTGCTTTAGTCCTGCTTTAGTCCTGCTTTAGTCCTGCTTTAGACCTGCTTTAGACCTGCATTAGATCTGCTGTAGACCTGCTGTGCTTTAGACCTGCTTTAGACCTGCTTTAGATCTGCTTTAGACCTGCTTTAGACCTGCTTTAGACCTGCTTTAGACCTGCTTTAGTCCTGCTTTAGTCCTGCTTTAGACCTGTTTTAGACCTGCTTTAGTCCTGCTTTAGACCTGCTTTAGTCCTGCTTTAGTCCTGCTTTAGACCTGCTTTAGTCCTGCTTTAGACATGCTTTAGTCCTGCTTTAGACCTGCTTTAGACCTGCTTTAGTCCTGCTTTAGACCTGCTTTAGTCCTGCTTTAGTCCTGCTTTAGTCCTGCTTTAGACCTGCTTTAGTCCTGCTTTAGACCTGCTTTAGACCTGCTTTAGACCTGCTTTAGTCCTGCTTTAGTCCTGCTTTAGACCTGCTTTAGACCTGCTGCAGACCTGCTTTAGACCTGCTTTAGTCCTGCTTTAGACCTGCTTTAGACCTGCTTTAGTCCTGCTTTAGTCCTGCTTTAGTCCTGCTTTAGTCCTGCTTTAGTCCTGCTTTAGACCTGCTTTAGACCTGCTTTAGACCTGCTTTAGTCCTGCTTTAGACCTGCTTTAGACCTGCTTTAGACCTGCTTCAGTCCTGCTTTAGACCTGCTTTAGTCCTGCTTTAGACCTGCTTTAGTCCTGCTTTAGACCTGCTTTAGTCCTGCTTTAGTCCTGCTTTAGACCTGCTTTAGACCTGCTTTAGTCCTGCTTTAGTCCTGCTTTAGACCTGCTTTAGACCTGCTTTAGTCCTGCTTTAGTCCTGCTTTAGTCCTGCTTTAGACCTGCTTTAGACCTGCTTTAGTCCTGCTTTAGACCTGCTTTAGACCTGCTTTAGACCTGCTTTAGTCCTGCTTTAGACCTGCTTTAGACCTGCTTTAGACCTGCTTTAGTCCTGCTTTAGACCTGCTTTAGACCTGCTTTAGTCCTGCTTTAGACCTGCTTTAGACCTGCTTTAGTCCTGCTTTAGACCTGCTTTAGTCCTGCTTTAGACCTGCTTTAGACCTGCTTTAGTCCTGCTTTAGACCTGCTTTAGACCTGCTTTAGTCCTGCTTTAGACCTGCTTTAGACCTGCTTTAGTCCTGCTTTAGTCCTGCTTTAGACCTGCTTTAGACCTGCTTTAGTCCTGCTTTAGACCTGCTTTAGACCTGCTTTAGACCTGCTTTAGTCCAGCTTTAGACCTGCTTTAGACCTGCTTCAGTCCTGCTTTAGACCTGCTTTAGTCCTGCTTTAGACCTGCTTTAGACCTGCTTTAGTCCTGCTTTAGACCTGCTTTAGTCCTGCTTTAGTCCTGCTTTAGACTTGCTTTAGACCTGCTTTAGTCCTGCTTTAGTCCTGCTTTAGACCTGCTTTAGACCTGCTTTAGTCCTGCTTTAGACCTGCTTTAGACCTGCTTTAGACCTGCTTTAGACCTGCTTTAGTCCTGCTTTAGACCTGCTTTAGACCTGCTTTAGACCTGCTTTAGTCCTGCTTTAGACCTGCTTTAGACCTGCTTTAGTCCTGCTTTAGACCTGCTTTAGTCCTGCCTTAGACCTGCTTTAGACCTGCTTTAGTCCTGCTTTAGTCCTGCTTTAGACCTGCTTTAGACCTGCTTTAGACCTGCTTTAGACCTGCTTTAGTCCTGCTTTAGACCTGCTTTAGACCTGCTTTAGACCTGCTTTAGTTCTGCTTTAGACCTGCTTTAGACCTGCTTTAGTCCTGCTTTAGACCTGCTTTAGACCTGCTTTAGTCCTGCTTTAGACCTGCTTTAGACCTGCTTTAGTCCTGCTTTAGACCTGCTTTAGTCCTGCTTTAGACCTGCTTTAGTCCTGCTTTAGTCCTGCTTTAGACCTGCTTTAGACCTGCTTTAGACCTGCTTTAGTCCTGCTTTAGTCCTGCTTTAGACCTGCTTTAGACCTGCTTTATTCCTGCTTTAGACCTGCTTTAGACCTGCTTTAGTCCTGCTTTAGACCTGCTTTAGACCTGCTTTAGACCTGCTTTAGTCCTGCTTTAGACCTGCTTTAGACCTGCTTTAGTCCTGCTTTAGACCTGCTTTAGACCTGCTTTAGTCCTGCTTTAGACCTGCTTTAGACCTGCTTTAGACCTGCTTTAGTCCTGCTTTAGACCTGCTTTAGACCTGCTTTAGACCTGCTTTAGTCCTGCTTTAGACATGCTTTAGACCTGCTTTAGTCCTGCTTTAGACCTGCTTTAGACCTGCTTTAGTCCTGCTTTAGACCTGCTTTAGTCCTGCTTTAGTCCTGCTTTAGACCTGCTTTAGACCTGCTTTAGTCCTGCTTTAGACCTGCTTTAGACCTGCTTTAGTCCTGCTTTAGACCTGCTTTAGACCTGCTTTAGTCTTGCTTTAGTCCTGCTTTAGACCTGCTTTAGTCCTGCTTTAGACCTGCTTTAGACCTGCTTTAGTCCTGCTTTAGACCTGCTTTAGACCTGCTTTAGTCCTGCTTTAGACCTGCTTTAGACCTGCTTTAGACCTGCTTTAGTCCTGCTTTAGACCTGCTTTAGACCTGCTTTAGTCCTGCTTTAGACCTGCTTTAGACCTGCTTTAGACCTGCTTTAGTCCTGCTTTAGACCTGCTTTAGACCTGCTTTAGACCTGCTTTAGACCTGCTCATGGAGTACTCTCTTTCTCTCAGTTTTCTTCATAGGTCTGTTTCATGATCGTCCTTTGAGTTTGGAGCTGAGGCTGTCGGCCGGACTCCTCTGCAGCGGTGAGACACAGACACTTGGGGTCTGTGACTTTAAAGCTGGGGTCTGTGACTTTAAAGCTGGGGTCTGTAACTTTAAAGCTGGGGTCTGTAACTTTAAAGCTGGGGTTTGTAACTTTAAAGCTGGGGTCTGTAACTTTAAAGCTGGGGTCTGTAACTTTAAAGCTGGGGTCTGTAACTTTAAAGCTGGGGTGTGTGACTTTAAAGCTGGGGTGTGTGACTTTAAAGCCGAGGTCTGTGACTTTAAAGCTGGGGTCTGTAACTTTAAAGCTGGGGTGTGTGACTTTAAAGCTGGGGTGTGTGACTTTAAAGCCGAGGTCTGTGACTTTAAAGCTGGGGTCTGTGAATTTAAAGCTGGGGTCTGTGACTTTGGTTTGTGCAGTGAGAGGGGCTTACAGATGTGTTACAGGTGTGTGGGCAGTGGGAGGGGCTTACACATGTGTTACAGGTGTGTGTGCAGTGGGAGGGGCTTGCTCGTCCTTCTTCAGGTGTTCTCTCCTCCTCACGTTTCCCATGATGCTCGGCTCCAGAGGTCGAACGTACGTCCTGTTGCTGCTGCTGTCGCTGCTCTACTCAGGTACAACCTACAGCTCTGAAACACAGCTCTGAAACACAGCTCTGTCCCTGTGTGTTCAGGTCCAGTGCAGAACATCCGTCATAACGTAGAGGCCTCTGCTCTGAGTTTGTCCTGTAACCTGGACCTCCAGCTGAACCTGAGCCACCTCCTGTGGAGACAAGCTGTAGATCCAGTGTCCAGGCTCACCCACGAGCTGACGGTGTGTGTTCTCTGTCCCTGTGCTTTGTCCCTGTATGCTGTCCCTGTGCTCTGTCCCTGAACTCTTTTCACTCTTATACCTGTACTCTTGTACCTGTGCTCTTGTCCTTGTACTCTTGTCACTCTGGTCCCTGTGCTCTTGTCACTCTTGTACCTGTGCTCTTGTCTCTACTCTTGTCACTCTTGTCCCTGTGCTCTTGTGCCTGTGCTCTTGTCCCTGTACTCTTGTCCCTGTGCTCTTGTCACTCTTGTCCCTGTACTCACAGATCAGCACGACAGACTTGGGGGCGGAGACTCTGAACATCAGCTCTACGTTCCAGACCTTCAGACAGGAAGTGATGCGTCAGTACGGAGCCGAGCCATTAGCTGCCGATGCTAACCAGGCTAACGACACACTGACTACAAGGACCATGATGCAGTGTGAAGGTCCTCCCCCAAAGCTTTTGAGCATATGTTAAGTCTGTGATTGGACACAGCTGATGTGTTTCTGCTCTCTGATTGGCAGACGTGGTGCAGGGGGCGGTGCTGCGCTGCTCTGATTGGTTCAATGGGAAGTGGGCGGAGTGTCTGTCCACCGTGTCTGTCCCGGTCCTGAACCAGCTGCTGTGTTTCCCCATGAAGTTCAGCTTTCTGTGCGACATCCTGAGAGGTGAGTCCAGAGTCAGCTCTAATCCAGAGTCAGCCTCTAATCCTCCAGAGTGGCCTCTAATCCTCCAGAGTTGCCCCTCCAGAATCAGCTCTAATCCAGAGTCACTCTCTCTCTGCTCTCTCCTCTCTCTCTGCTCTCTCTCCCCTCTTCTCTCTCTCCACTCTTCTCTCCTCTCTCTGCTCTCTCTCCTCTCTCTCCCCTTTCTCCTCTCTCCCTCCTCTCTCTCCCTCTCTTCTCTCCTCTCTCTTCTCTCTCTTCTCTCTCCCTCTCTCCTCTCTCTCCTCCCTTTCCTCTTTCCTCTCTCTTCTCTCTCTCCTCCCTTTCCTCTCTCCTCTCTCTCCTCCCTTTCCTCTCTCTTCTCTCTCTCCTCTCCCTCCTCTCTCTGCTCTCTCGCTTCTCTCCTCCCTTTCCTCTCTCCTCTCTCTCCTCCCTTTCCTCTTTCCTCTATCTTCTCTCTCTCCTCCCTTTCCTCTCTCCTCTCTCTCCTCCCTTTCCTCTCTCTTCTCTCTCCTCCCTTTCCTCTTTCCTCTCTCTTCTCTCTCTTCTCTCCCTCCTCTCTCTGCTCTCTCTCCTCTCTCTCTCCTCTCTCTCCTCCCTTTCCTCTTTCGTCTCTCCCCCCTCCTCTCTCTCCTCTCTTTCCCCCCTCCTCTCTCTCCTCTCTCTACCCCCTCCTCTCACTCCTCTCTCTCCTCTCACTCCTCTCCTCTCTCGCTCCTCAGTGATGACTCCCTGGTGCACACAGCGCCTCCCTGTGGACACAGACTCAGGACGTCAGTGGGAACAGCTGAACCGAACTATGGATCTGTTCAGGAAGGAGTTCATAGCCAGCGTCCAGCTACAGGTCAGAGGTCAGGGGTCAGACCAGTGTACAACTACAGGTCAGGGGTCAGAGCCAGCGTCCAACTACAGGTCAGGGGTCAGAGCCAGTGTCCAACTACAGGTCAGAGGTCAGGGGTCAGAGCCAGTGTCCAACTACAGGTCAGGGGTCAGAGCCAGCGTTCAGCTACAGGTCAGAGGTCAGGGGTCAGAGCCAGTGTCCAACTACAGGTCAGGGGTTAGAACCAGCGTCCAGTTACAGGTCAGAGGTCAGGGGTCAGAGCCAGTGTTCAACTACAGGTCAGAGGTCAGGGGTCAGAGCCAGTGTTCAACTACAGGTCAGAGGTCAGGGGTCAGAGCCAGTGTCCAACTACAGGTCAGGGGTCAGAGCCAGCGTCCAGCTAAAGGTCAGAGGTCAGGGGTCAGAGCCAGCGTCCAGCTACAGGTCAGGGATCAGGGGTCAGAGCCAGCGTCCAGCTACAGGTCAGGGATCAGGGGTCAGAGCCAGCGTCCAGCTACAAGTCAGGGATCAGGGGTCAGAGCCAGCGTCCAGCTACAGGTCAGGGGTCAGAGGTCAGAGCCAGCGTCCAGCTACAGGTCAGAGGTCACAGCCAGCGTCCAGCTACAGGTCAGGGGTCAGAGCCAGTGTCCAACTACGGGTCAGAGCCAGCGTCCAGCTACAGGTCAGGGGTCAGAGCCAGCGTCCAGCTACAGGTCAGGGGTCAGAGGTACGAGCCAGCGTCCAGCTACAGGTCAGAGGTCACAGTAAGTAAGTAAGTAAGCTTTTATTTATATACCGCCTTTTCACTGCACATCGGAGTCTCAAAGCGGTTTACAATTGTTGGGAGTGGGGTCGCCAGTACAGGAGGCACATGCCATACCTATTGTACATATTTTTAGTGGTAGGGGAAACCGGAGCACCCGGAGGAAACCTACGCAGACACGGGGAGAACATGCAAACTCCACTCAGAAAGGCCCTGGTCCGGCCGGGATTCGAACCCAGGACCTCCTTGCTGAGAGGCGAGAGTGCTATCCACTCAGCCACCGTGCCGCACAGCCAGCGTCCAGCTACAGGTCAGAGGTCAGGGGTCAGAGCCAGCGTCCAGCTACATGTCAGAGGTCAGGGGTCAGAGCCAGCGTCCAGCTACAGGTCAGAGGTCAGGGGTCAGAGCCAGCGTCCAGCTACAGGTCAGAGCCAGTGTCCAACTACAGGTCAGAGGTCAGGGGTCAGAGCCAGTGTCCAACTACAGGTCAGGGGTCAGAGCCAACGTTCAGCTACAGGTCAGAGGTCAGGGGTCAGAGCCAGTGTCCAACTACAGGTCAGGGGTTAGAACCAGCGTCCAGCTACAGGTCAGAGGTCAGGGGTCAGAGCCAGTGTTCAACTACAGGTCAGAGGTCAGGGGTCAGAGCCAGTGTTCAACTACAGGTCAGAGGTCAGGGGTCAGAGCCAGTGTCCAACTACAGGTCAGGGGTCAGAGCCAGCGTCCAGCTACAGGTCAGAGGTCAGGGGTCAGAGCCAGCGTCCAGCTACAAGTCAGGGATCAGGGGTCAGAGCCAGCGTCCAGCTACAGGTCAGGGATCAGGGGTCAGAGCCAGCGTCCAGCTACAGGTCAGGGATCAGGGGTCAGAGCCAGCGTCCAGCTACAGGTCAGGGGTCAGAGGTCAGAGCCAGCGTCCAGCTACAGGTCAGAGGTCACAGCCAGCGTCCAGCTACAGGTCAGAGGTCAGGGGTCAGAGCCAGCGTCCAGCTACATGTCAGAGGTCAGGGGTCAGAGCCAGCGTCCAGCTACAAGTCAGAGGTCAGGGGTCAGAGCCAGCGTCCAGCTACAGGTCAGAGGTCAGGGGTCAGAGCCAGTGCCCAACTACAGGTCAGGGGTCAGAGCCAGCGTCCAGCTACAGGTCAGAGGTCAGGGGTCAGAGCCAGTACCCAACTACAGGTCAGGGGTCAGAGCCAGCGTCCAGCTACAGGTCAGGGGTCAGAGCCAGTGTCCAACTACGGGTCAGAGCCAGCGTCCAGCTACAGGTCAGAGGTCAGGGGTGAGAGCCAGTGCCCAACTACAGTTCAGAAGTCAGGGGTCAGAGCCAGCGTCCAGCTCCAGGTCACGGGTCAGAGCCAGCGTCCAGCTACAGGTCAGGGGTCAGAGGTACGAGCCAGCGTCCAGCTACAGGTCAGAGGTCACAGCCAGCGTCCAGTTACAGGTCAGAGGTCAGGGGTCAGAGCCAGCGTCCAGCTACATGTCAGGGGTCAGAGCCAGCGTCCAGCTACAGGTCAGAGGTCAGGGGTCAGAGGTCAGAGCCAGCGTCCAGCTACAGGTCAGAGGTCAGGGGTCAGAGCCAGCATCCAGCTACAGGTCAGAGGTCAGGGGTCAGAGCCAGTGTCCAACTACAGGTCAGGGGTCAGAGCCAGCGTTCAGCTACAGGTCAGTGGTCAGGGGTCAGAGCCAGTGTCCAACTACAGGTCAGGGGTTAGAACCAGCGTCCAGCTACAGGTCAGAGGTCAGGGGTCAGAGCCAGTGTTCAACTACAGGTCAGAGGTCAGGGGTCAGAGCCAGTGTTCAACTACAGGTCAGAGGTCAGGGGTCAGAGCCAGTGTCCAACTACAAGTCAGGGGTCAGAGGTCAGAGCCAGCGTCCAGCTACAGGTCAGAGGTCACAGCCAGCGTCCAGCTACAGGTCAGGGGTCAGAGCCAGTGTCCAACTACGGGTCAGAGCCAGCGTCCAGCTACAGGTCAGAGGTCAGGGGTGAGAGCCAGTGCCCAACTACAGTTCAGAAGTCAGGGGTCAGAGCCAGCGTCCAGCTCCAGGTCAGGGGTCAGAGCCAGCGTCCAGCTACAGGTCAGGGGTCAGAGGTACGAGCCAGCGTCCAGCTACAGATCAGAGGTCACAGCCAGCGTCCAGCTACAGGTCAGAGGTCAGGGGTCAGAGCCAGCGTCCAGCTACATGTCAGAAGTCAGGGGTCAGAGCCAGCGTCCAGCTACAGGTCAGAGGTCAGGGGTCAGAGCCAGCGTCCAGCTACAGGTCAGAGCCAGTGTCCAACTACAGGTCAGAGGTCAGGGGTCAGAGCCAGTGTCCAACTACAGGTCAGGGGTCAGAGCCAGCGTTCAGCTACAGGTCAGAGGTCAGGGGTCAGAGCCAGTGTCCAACTTCAGGTCAGGGGTTAGAACCAGCGTCCAGCTACAGGTCAGAGGTCAGGGGTCAGAGCCAGTGTTCAACTACAGGTCAGAGGTCAGGGGTCAGAGCCAGTGTTCAACTACAGGTCAGAGGTCAGGGGTCAGAGCCAGTGTCCAACTACAGGTCAGGGGTCAGAGCCAGCGTCCAGCTACAGGTCAGAGGTCAGGGGTCAGAGCCAGCGTCCAGCTACAAGTCAGGGATCAGGGGTCAGAGCCAGCGTCCAGCTACAGGTCAGGGATCAGGGGTCAGAGCCAGCGTCCAGCTACAGATCAGGGGTCAGAGCCAGCGTCCAGCTACAGGTTAGGGGTCAGAGGTCAGAGCCAGCGTCCAGCTACAGGTCAGAGGTCACAGCCAGCGTCCAGCTACAGGTCAGAGGTCAGAGCCAGCGTCCAGCTACATGTCAGAGGTCAGGGGTCAGAGCCAGCGTCCAGCTACAAGTCAGAGGTCAGGGGTCAGAGCCAGCGTCCAGCTACAGGTCAGAGGTCAGGGGTCAGAGCCAGTGCCCAACTACAGGTCAGGGGTCAGAGCCAGCGTCCAGCTACAGGTCAGGGGTCAGAGCCAGTACCCAACTACAGGTCAGGGGTCAGAGCCAGCGTCCAGCTACAGGTCAGGGGTCAGAGCCAGTGTCCAACTACGGGTCAGAGCCAGCGTCCAGCTACAGGTCAGAGGTCAGGGGTGAGAGCCAGTGCCCAACTACAATTCAGAAGTCAGGGGTCAGAGCCAGCGTCCAGCTCCAGGTCACGGGTCAGAGCCAGCGTCCAGCTACAGGTCAGGGGTCAGAGGTACGAGCCAGCGTCCAGCTACAGGTCAGAGGTCACAGCCAGCGTCCAGCTACAGGTCAGAGGTCAGGGGTGAGAGCCAGCGTCCAGCTACATGTCAGGGGTCAGAGCCAGCGTCCAGCTACAGGTCAGAGGTCAGGGGTCAGAGGTCAGAGCCAGCGTCCAGTTACAGGTCAGAGGTCAGGGGTCAGAGCCAGCATCCAGCTACAGGTCAGAGGTCAGGGGTCAGAGCCAGTGTCCAACTACAGGTCAGGGGTCAGAGCCAGCGTTCAGCTACAGGTCAGTGGTCAGGGGTCAGAGCCAGTGTCCAACTACAGGTCAGGGGTTAGAACCAGCGTCCAGCTACAGGTCAGAGGTCAGGGGTCAGAGCCAGTGTTCAACTACAGGTCAGAGGTCAGGGGTCAGAGCCAGTGTTCAACTACAGGTCAGAGGTCAGGGGTCAGAGCCAGTGTCCAACTACAAGTCAGGGGTCAGAGCCAGCGTCCAGCTACAGGTCAGAGGTCAGGGGTCAGAGCCAGCGTCCAGCTACAGATCAGGGATCAGGGGTCAGAGCCAGCGTCCAGCTACAGGTCAGGAATCAGGGGTCAGAGCCAGCGTCCAGCTACAGGTCAGGGATCAGGGGTCAGAGCCAGCGTCCAGCTACAGGTCAGAGGTCAGAGCCAGCGTCCAGCTACAGGTCAGAGGTCACAGCCAGCGTCCAGCTACAGGTCAGAGGTCAGGGGTCAGAGCCAGCGTCCAGCTACATGTCAGAGGTCAGGGGTCAGAGCCAGCGTCCAGCTACAGGTCAGAGCCAGCGTCCAGCTACAGGTCAGAGGTCAGGGGTCAGAGCCAGTACCCAACTACAGGTCAGGGGTCAGAGCCAGCGTCCAGCTACAGGTCAGGGGTCAGAGCCAGTGTCCAACTACGGGTCAGAGCCAGCGTCCAGCTACAAGTCAGAGGTCAGGGGTGAGAGCCAGTGCCCAACTACAGTTCAGAAGTCAGGGGTCAGAGCCAGCGTCCAGCTCCAGGTCAGGGGTCAGAGCCAGCGTCCAGCTACAGGTCAGGGGTCAGAGGTACGAGCCAGCGTCCAGCTACAGGTCAGAGGTCACAGCCAGCGTCCAGCTACAAGTCAGAGGTCAGGGGTCAGAGCTAGCGTCCAGCTACAAGTCAGAGGTCAGGGGTCAGAGCCAGCGTCCAGCTACAGGTCAGAGGTCAGGGGTCAGAGCCAGCGTCCAGCTACAGGTCAGAGCCAGCGTCCAGCTACAGGTCAGAGGTCAGGGGTCAGAGGTCAGAGCCAGTGTCTAGCTACAGGTCAGAGGTCAGGGGTCAGAGCAGAGAGGTCCAGTCTATCACCTGGAACAGTCCAGTTTCAGGTGATAGACTCTCATGTCTCTGTGATCACAGGAGGAGCAGCAGGAGGTCCTGGATGGTCCGGTTCTGGACCAGGTCTTTACTGATGCAGTTCAGGACTCACTCCTCAGACTCAGTTCTGGATCTGAGGTCCTCATGGAACTTCTGCAAATCGCCAAGTCCTTCACCTTCATCATCATCATCTTCCAGTAAGACCCTTTTAGACCTGGTCCAATGCTGTAATCACACTCCGGGCCTGTGGGGGTGTACCCGGGAGAGAGAATTACCCTACGCTTTTGTGTGCCGTCTTCTTGCCTCTCAAAAACGGCTTTACAGGATTCTCCAAAAGTGGCTCTTGGTCCAAAAGTGGCTCTTGGTCCAAAAGTGGCTCTTGGTCCAAAAGTGGCTCTTGGTCCAAAAGTGTGTCTTGGTCCAAAAGTGTGTCTTGGTCCAAAAGTGTGTCTTGGTCCTCTTGGTTCCAGATGCTGTCTGAAGGTGTTTTTGGACCAGTCTAGTTTAGCCACTGTGGACTTTTGAATGCACTCTAATGCAGCTAACACACAAATGTTTTTTCAACATTTTCCTGAGGGAGGGGCTGCCCCTGGAAATTTTGAAAACAGCCACAGAAGGCAAAAGTGATGTCACATTAGGTTCAACGGTGGAGACTGACATGACTTTGTCTGTTAATATTTACAGTCTATGGTTCAGACCAGTTTCAGATCGGGGTTAGACCTAAGGACTGAGGCTGTAGACCAAGGACTGAGAGGACTGAGGCTGTAGACCCAGGACTGAGGCTGTAGACCCAGGACTGAGGCTGTAGACCCTGGACTGTTTCAGAACTGGCATTGGTCTTTCTCTCAGGGCGGTCTTATACCTGGTCCGGTTCAGAATGGACTTGAGATTCGACAACGTTTACATCACAGAGAAATTCAGACACATCGAGACGAGACGAACAAGACAGGTCTATACACACGCGCACGCACACGCACACACACACACGCGCACGCACACGCATACACACACACGCGCATGCACACGCATACACACAGACGCACACAGAGACACACACAGACGCACACAGAGACACACACACCCAGAAACACACACACTGACCTAGACTCTGTCCTCAGAGGAGGCGTGGCGTGTTCCCTCTCTCAGAAATGGACCAGAGAAACTTCATCCAGCCCTGCAGCGCAAGGATCCACCCCCAGGAGGCGCCACCACTTGTAAACAAGTTGTCTTAGAGCCACTTTAGACCTGCTTTAGTCCTGCTTTAGACCTGCTTTAGACCTGCTTTAGTCCTGCTTTAGTCCTGCTTTAGTCCTGCTTTAGACCTGCTTTAGTCCTGCTTTAGTCCTGCTTTAGACCTGCTTTAGACCTGCTTTAGTCCTGTTTAGTCCTGCTTTAGACCTGCTTTAGACCTGCTTTAGACCTGCTTTAGACCTGCTTTAGACCTGCTTTAGACCTGCTTTAGTCCTGCTTTAGTCCTGCTTTAGTCCTGCTTTACTCCTGCTTTAGACCTGCTTTAGACCTGCTTTAAACCTGCTTTAGTCCTGCTTTAGACCTGCTTTAGTCCTGCTTTAGTCCTGGTTTAGCCCTGCTTTAGACCTGCTTTAGTCCTGGTTTAGTCCTAACTTAGACCTGATTTAGTCCTGCTTTAGATCTGCTTTAGACCTGCTTTAGTCCTGCTTTAGCCCTGCTTTAGACCTGCTTTAGTCCTGCTTTTTATCTGGTTCAGACCTGCTTCTCTGCTTTGGTCTGGTTTTAGGTCTCTGGTCTGGTCCAGTCAGTCTCAGTTCTAGTCTTGGTTCTGGTCCTGGTGAGTCTGGACCTGGTTCTGTCCCAAGTCCTGCAAATTGTGGGACACAACAGCATCACACAGCTCAACATAACAGGTACTACTACTGCTACTACTACTGCTACTACTACTGCTACTACTACTGCAGGTACTACTACTGCTACTACAACTGCAGATACTACTACTGCAGGTACTACTACTGCAGGTACTACTACTGCAGATACTACTACTGCAGGTACTACTACTGCAGGTACTACTACTGCAGATACTACTACTGCAAATACTACTACTGCAGATACTACTACTGCAGGTACTACTACTGCAGTCTCTGTTATTTTTTTATTTCTCCTTTTACTCCACCCTTTAAATCATCCTCAGGTTTTCACCAGGTGCAAATGGAAGTGGGCGGAGATTCACTTATGGCCCGCCTCCTCAGGAAGACAGTCTCAGTCTTCAATAGCTCCGCCCACTTTGACATCGACGGCAGCAACAGAAGTGAGTGTTACAACCAGTGGGGGCGGGTCTGGCTCAAAAGTGGCCAAAATGACGTGCACTGACATGCTGCAATTCGGGCGTTCTGCTCTCCCAAAATTCCATCCGATGGGCGGGGGAGCGACTGAATTTTGCGTTGCATTATGGGTAACACTTGCCTTCGCAACTTCCGGTTCTCTCTGCCCGGCGCATTTTCTCTAAATGGTTGAGTGTTTTCGTCATTTTACATTATGCAAATACATTCCCGTCTCTAACTAGTGGCATATCGCGCAAATCATCCGTCCAATTCACATTCTTCCCTCATAGCTGAACTTCATTCTCATTGTTACCATCTGTCACTCGCACACACAGCCGTTTTCGTTCACTCTGCTCGCTGTCATCTTCTTCTAAATCTTCATAAACACCATCCGCTCGTTGAACTAGCAACAACAATTCCTCCTTTCGTTTTCCCACACTGCAAATACCCTTTCGCTTCAACCTTTCACGCAATTCAGGCACTGTCAATCGTTTGTTGTTTTCGGGAGCCATATTCGCCATTGTATGAAATCAACCGGAAGTGAACTGGGCAACAAACGGTGTCATTTTTTGATCACAGCGCCGCTCAGTGGATGAAATTTTGGGAGAGCAGAACGCCCGAATTGACCAGATGCATCGACGTCATCCAGTCACGTGATTGTACATGAGCTTACGGCGGAAGTAGTGGAAACTAGCATTAGCATTAGCATTGCGGCGAGAGCAAAACGGACACAACTCTTAAAAACTGAGACTCCTTAATCGAGAAGTGGCTGCTTCAAGCACATGTTTGATAACGTTATCGGTGACAGTAGGACATCAGGTCAGGGCTCACAAAGAGCAGTATTTGGAGAAGTTAAGGATCGCTGAGCTGGATGTTGACACGAACCTTCTCCCACTGTCAATTTGATCGATTAAATGAAATGTCTAATTTTGCAGAATCCACCCCACATGATCTTTATCAGTATATCGTTAACAATGCATCTCCTCACACTGGATCAGATTTATATGTTAATTGTGCTGTTAGCATTAGCACATTAGCATTAGCACATTAGCATTAGCACATTAGCATTAGCACATTAGCATTAGCACATTTGCATTAGCACATTAGCATTAGGACATTAGCATTAGGACATTAGCAATGCACTTTTCTGTCTACAGCCAAACATGATAAATACTGTATTGATGGGGAGGAAAATAGTGAAAAACGCAACTTACGTCGATAAGAGATCTTTGATTTGTGCCACAGTGATGAAAATTCAGTGTTGCAGGCAGGACAGTAGTAAGAGACACGTTTGACTTTAAGCGTTTGTCCTCCAAATACATTTATGGACAGAAAATAAATAAAATTGTAATTGATTACAAACCTTGTAAAAAGTGTTCACTGCATATAAGGGAGTACTTGGATGGCTCCCAGTCATGGATCTATTATAATAACCCGGAGGAAACCTACGCAGACACGGGGAGAACATGCAAACTCCACTCAGAAAGGCCCTGGTCCGACCGGGATTCGAACCCAGGACCTTCTTGCTGAGAGGCGAGAGTGCTATCCACTCTGCCACCGTGCCGCCCTGTTCTTCAGCTTGGAGCTGAATAACTCATGTGCTCGAGGGATTCCCTCGGCACTTCAGACTAGACCAGACTAAATTCACGTGGGCTACCCAGAAATTTTCCCCATAGAACTCAATGTAAACCAAAACAGCTCAACCTCAGCTGACAGAGAACCTGACAGAGAACCTACAGCTTTAATAAAGGTCGGATTTTGTGGGGATTTTAGTGTCCCTTGTCATCCTGAACTTTTTTTCTTCTTAAATCCTTCGGTTTTGTTTAAATCCACACTTTAGTGCCACAAACTCTGCTCGTCTGGCTCTCGCTCTAACTCCCGCTCTGATGAACTGCTCTGATTGGTCAGAGCGCGGCCGAGCCCCTCTGTGCACGTGCGTGAGACCCGGTGTGAGACCCACACACGCGTGTTTGGCCCAACGCATTATGGGAGATCATCCACTGCGCAGAACCGGGAGGACCAGACGATGCCCAAATACAGGCGAGTTTCCCATAGATCTTTGAGAGTTTCCCATGAATCTTTGCGAGTTCCAGGCGACTTCCGCTAATCTTTCAGCCCCCATGCCGTCACAAAGCGCCACTGAGCACAACCATTCATTTGAATAGGGCGCCATCTTGGATCGCCGGGGCTTGCTCCCAGTCCTTTTGGTTGATTGCTGCCATCGTCGTCCTCTGTCTTCATCATGAGCAGGTATCAGATAAAATGACACATTTGTCTTCAGTCCTGTTAGTAAAACCAACCGCACTGCCAAATATCACAGTTTTGGCGATTATTCGGTGAAACAGGTTGTTTTGGTCAAGTTCCCGAAGGCTCGCAGTTAGACTTCCGCCGTCTGTCATGGAGAGTGGGCGTGGCCTGTGGGGGTGGACCCGGAATAAGAATTGCTAACATATAGCATCTTCTTACCTCTCAAAAACGTCTTTACAGGATGGTCCAAAAGTTGGCTCTTGGCCCAAAGCTCCGTTCCACATGTGTGTCAATGCTGTTTTTGAACCACTCTAGTTAAGTCGCTGTGGACTTTAGAAGGCACTCGTTAAATGTATGGGGTTAGTGCAGCTGATGCATGCGCAGATGCGGAAGTGGTGGCCCATTAGTTAGAGCGGCGGAGATAGGCGTGACTACATCGGTTTATATTTACAGTCTATGGTCCCGGCTCCAAAAGGTCCATGAGCATGCTGCAATCCCACTCCGGGCCTGTGGGGGTGTACCTAGAAAGAGAATTACCCAATGTGTGTCAATGCACAAATGTGTTTCTTCACATGTTCCAGCCCCCGATCCTCCTTCTCTGTAGGATCTCTGTCAGGGTCTCTATAGGTTCTCTGTAGGTCCTCTGTCAGGTTCTCTGTAGGTTCTCTGTCAGGTTCTCTGTAGGTCCTCTGTCAGGTTCTCTGTAGGTTCTCTGTCAGGTTCTCTGTAGGTTCTCTGTAGGTTCTCTGTCAGGTTCTCTACAGGTTCTTTGTCAGGTTCTCTGTAGGTTCTCTGTCAGGTTCTCTGTAGGTACTCTGTCAGGTTCTCTGTCAGGTTCTCTGTCAGGTTCTCTGTAGGTTCTCAGTAGGTTCTCTGTAGGTTCTCTGTAGGTTCTCTGTCAGGTTCTCTGTAGGTTCTGTGTAGGTTCTCTGTCAGGTTCTCTGTAGGTTCTCTGTAGGTTCTCTGGAGGTTCTATGTAGGTCCTCTGTCAGGTTCTCTCTCAGGTTCTCTGTCATGTTCTCTCTCAGGTTCTCTGTCAGGTTCTCTGTCTGGTTCTCTGTCAGGTTCTCTGTTGGTTCTCTAGAGGTTCTCTGGAGGTTCTCTGTAGGTTCTCTGTAGGTTCTCTGTCATGTTCTCTCTCAGGTTCTATGTCAGGTTCTCTGTCAGGTTCTCTGTCTGGTTCTCTGTCAGGTTCTCTGTCAGGTTCTCTAACAGGTTTTCTGTCAGGTTTTCTGTCAGGTTTTCTGTCAGGTTCTCTGTCAGGTTCTCTGTCAGGTTCTCTAACAGGTTCTCTGTCAGGTTCTCTGCAGGTTCTCAGCTGAGGTCTGTTTTAGTTTACACTGAGTTCTAACATGTTTCTGGGTAACGTGAATTTAGTCTGCAGGACCACAGGTGGCCCCTGGGCCCATGGTCAGCACTAGATCATATACGGAATCGGGACAGAAGCTGAAGTAAATATAACAAACTACCTATTTTGTCTAAACTTAACCATCTTACTCAGACCACCTTAACCCTAACCTTAACCATCTTACTCAGACCACCTTAACCCTAACCTTAACCATCTTACTCAGACCACCTTAACCCTAACCTTAACCATCTTACTCAGACGCGTAAAACTTAACCAGTCACCACTTAAGGACTTTTTAGTCTAAAACTAATTTGAAAGTAGGATTGTTACGGTTTCGTCCCGATTCCGTTTATGATCTAGTGCTGACACTGGGCCCATGGGTGGGACAGCTATTGCTGAGTTGCAACCACGTGACCAAAAGGGGGCGTGGCTCGGGGCGTAGGACAGGAAGTATTTTTGTCCTGTTCCTGGCTTGCAGTCACTTGACGTATCAACTTCCGGATAACGAAGTGGTGGTCAGGCCAGCAAAGGTTGCTGCTGTATCTGAGTATTTTAGTGCTTTTTGGATATTTAATGACACTTTGAAGCTACTGTGGTCAACGTTCTAACTCATTCTAACAATTTGCACAAGGCAGTATTTTTCCACCAGATGTTTTGGTAATATTAAGGTTGAAGCTACTGGCACCACGGTGAATGCTAATATTTGCTAATAGGCTAATCATGATAATAAGTCTCTATTCCTCCGCTGTATGTCACTTACATTCTGTAACGTCTGTGTTTATGCTGTCTCTACCATCGACAATAAAACATGTCTTCTGTCATTTTCTTCACTTTAGATTCTCATTCTCGAGATTGATACATCGAAAAAGTCAAATTGTGGAACGGTAAAGATCCTAATGCGTTATCCAAGAATGATTTGATTTGCGAGTTATAAAAATAGCCGCCAGCTCAGTTCCCGGATATCTCAAACTATCAAGTTTTACAATCAAGCTTTTGCTAAACAAATGAAGGCTTGGGAAAGCACGGATGCTACAACTGTCTGTGGGTTCAGGAACTCAGAGTTAAGGTGCAAATCTATGAAGGTTATTTTGTGTTTTTATTATCAACACTTTTTTTTGCTTTTGAATTCTATAAACTGTAACAAAAAAGTATTCAGTGTAAATAAATTCAATGTTTTAAAATTCAGTGTCAAAATATTCAATGTTTTCAAATTCAGTGTCGAAAAATTCAATGTTGAAAAAAATTTAGTGTCCAAAAATTCGTAGCATTTTTTTTCCGGGTAAATCAAGAACAAAGCAATCGATCAGCCAATCCTCCTCAGATGTAGCCAGGGCCAGAACACGACTTTGGCTTTATCCGAATGTCCACACTATACCGTGTGGGACTATTGTGAGTGAGTGACTGAGTGAGTGGACTCATTCTGATGGCGATTCGGACGCTGCACTATTATCAGGCCGTGCTGTTGTACGTGAGCGTCCCGCTGTAGCATGGATCACGGAGCGGAGAGAGGAGCGGCCATGATGAGGTAAAGGTAAAAGTTGAATTTACGTTTTAATTAGGACATAACATTTAATTGTATTAACATTGGAGGTGGGAAATAGCCCCTTCTATTGTTATATCAGAGGTCTGTTTGGTGATTAAACAGATTTTCTTTGGACTTAATGCATGTGTTTAGTGCGATTGATGGATTTGCTATGGCCCTTGTTTGTGCATCACTTTGTTGTAAAGTAATTTGTATTAAGTACAAACGTGATTATGTGCAGGGGGACGTCTGAACATGAAGCTGGACACAGAAGACGCGTGGACTTGAACTTACAGACCAGATTTAAGGTCATGAGTACATACTTTTTGAGCACAAGCTCCTTGCCTCTTGAAATCCAACAGACCTGATCATGTCAGAGTTAATGGCTTGAATGTATTTAAGATTAGAAGTACTTAAATACAAGCTATGAAACATGTTTCTCACGGATTGTGTGGTTGGATAAAACAAACATCACTTTTCATTGCACACAAAGAAATAAATCATAATTATTTTATTTTATTCCAGGTTGTGATGAGTCCACCGTAGAAAAAGACAGTCAGAGGCAGACGTCCAGGAACCTGCTGTTACTGCTGTTGTTACTGCTGCTGTTGTTACTGCTGCTGTTGTTCCTACTGCTGTTACTGCTGCATATGTCTTCAGAAAATGAGATGTGTTCTAACTATCCATGACTTGTAATTAATAAAACAAATGAACATATTGGTGGTTGTAGTTTATATCGTAATCCACAGGAGCTGGAGGTGATGGAAATGGATGAAGAAATGATGCCTCTGAAAGACAGCTGCCTCTGGAAAAGAAATTCACAAAATAAAATCATTAATTAATCGGTTCTTCTGGGATTAAAATGAGCCTTTTGTTACAATCAGACATGTCGACATATGTTCATATACATGTACTGTCCCAGTCAAATTAATTAATATAAATACACAGTAGTAGAAACAGACGCTCTGAGGAGGAGCAGAAGTACGATGCCTTTACAAACACACACATGAACTTAACATGTGATATCAACAGTAAATGTAAATACATTGCCAGTCTTTAACAGGAGGCTGGTAGAGTGGGATTTACAAATATACTCAATTAAAACCATATCTATCAGTCTGATTCCTCTCTGTAGCATTAATATTGAATCCATGGGTTTGTTTTCTCCCTAAAGAACCGATCCTTCATTCCATCTTGGTTTCACTAAGATGTCAAAAGTTAAGAGTAAAGATAGAATAATTATCGTCTGCTCTGTCTCTAAAACAGTCAGCAGGTTTCGTCCTTGCTGCACTGCTAGAATAATATACACATTGAAATTGGGAACATAGTACATATGTCACACAAGAACCGCAAACCCCCGTGTACTTGGCTTTCCTGCGTTTCATTTTAGCTTAGCATTAGCAAAGATCAGCTTTGGGGAATCGCCAAAACGTAGAAGCCACCTACGCGGAGCTAGCTAATGATAAGCTAAAGTAAAAACATGTTCAGAAAGTACAAACAGTAGTGGTTTGCGTGTTACATACCAACTAATGATGAGAAAACACACTTACTGGTTTGCTGTGGACGCCATGTTCAGATGAACAAGACAGTCATGTTCTGGCCCTGGCTACATCTATGGAGGATTGGTTGATCGATTGCTTTGTTCTTGATTTACCCGGAAATAAAGCATGACATTTCAAGCAGTGAAAAAAAGCTACAAATTTTTTGACACTGAATTTGAAAACATTGAATTTTTTGACACTGAATTTTAAAACATCAAATTTTTGGACACTGAATTTGAAAACATTGAATTTATTTACACTGAATACTTTTTGCTACAGTTTATAGAATTCAAAAGCAAAAAAAAGTGTTGATAATAAAAACACAAAATAACCTTCATACAAATCCTGCATTGTAAAGAGCCGTGTGAGTAACATTGGTGTATGAACTTTAGGAACTTGTCATTCTCAACAAAACGATGCACATGTGTGCAGTGTTGTTTTCAGGTCAAACATTCACAGTGTTCCTCTAAAACGCCAACTTATACTTGAAAGTTCATTAAAATAATTAATAACTGTGCATTGCGACTGCATGGCTGGGTAAATAAATAATCCTTTGATGTAAAAGCGTTTGCTAGTGAAATGTTAGCGAGCCACTTCTCTGCGTCTTTTCGTAAAGTCCTTAGTGCGAGGCTTTTTATTAATCTCTTCACAAGGAATCCTAAAGTATACTTTATCGGTTTCACGATTCGGTCGCTTAGGAAACCTAAAACAACACATGCAAAAGACATTCAGACACGCTGCTCTAGTGAACGAGCTCGGCTGACCACCACTTCGTGATACGCATACGTAATGAGGCGGAGGTGACGTGACGTCAATTGCAAGCAAGCAATTAGTTAGAATGGGCGATGTGGGAAAATGCACAGTGAAAACTATTTTCAACGCATCGTACGCCGTGAGTTTGAATGAGTCATATGTTTTCAACAATGAGGAGGATTAAGGCTGTTACCGTGACGACAGTGGACCTTGGGATCAACGGAACCACGTCTGAGATGATAGTTCTGATCAAGAGAAATATGACCATTATTGCCATTTCTGTGATTTGTCGAGCCGTAGATAATAAAAAGTTTGGAGGAAGCTCTGCAACTTTAAGCTAAAAGCAGTAAGCTAACTGCAGTAAGCTAACAACAATAAGCTAACAGCGGGGGCTGCAACAAAAGCAGCCGTCCTGGGGCCACAGCGCTCAGATACAACTTCAGACATTACCCTGGTCCTCACTGTCCCAAACCCTGGTCACCCTGGTCCTCACAGTCCCAAACCCTGGTCACCCTGGTCCTCACAGTCCCAAACCCTGGTCCTCACAGTTCCAGTCCATGGTCCTTAGAGCCCCAGTCGTGGAGATAACGATGAACAATGACTCTTATAACACAACTGTTAGATTATATGTGAGAAGACTTAGATTGTACTTACTGCTTTTAGCTTTGTTACACATGTACATGTTGGTTTGAGACAACCTTGGGCATTAAAATATGTATTTAACAGTTCATTCTGTTGCCTCGGCTACTACAACCGTATGCCACACAAAAATACTGTATTGTATCTATGAAAGTCAGCGAAGTAAAGACTGCGGACTGTCAGCTGTGTCTGCGGCCGCAGATGTTACGCAGGCTATTGCTAATGCTACGCAGGCTAATGCTAATGCTACCGTATTTCTTCCGTTCCTTATTAGGCATTTTCACTGTGTCCACTTAAACAGTTGTGTGGTTGTGCGTGTGTGTCTGGCGGTTGTGCGTGTGTGTGTCTCAGGGTGCTCAGTGGTCCCCTCCTCTCTCCCTCCCTCTCTGTATCTGAATTGTTGTGTGTGTGTCCTGATGGTGGCGCTGTTCAGCCTGGTCCAGGTTTACAGCAGTCGACTGAGGAGGGTCATCTGTGCCTCCTTCTACCCACAGGTACACAAAAAACACACATACACATGTACAGGTACACACGCGGACACACACACTCTAAAGCAGACCCCTCTGTGTTTTCAGAGGGAGAAGATGAGAGTTCGATTCCTGTACAATGTGCTGCTCCAGAGTAACAGGAAGTGCCCCACCTCAGACAGGAAGTGCTCCTCAGACCGCTTGGTATGACACATTCACATCATTTCAGCTGAAGAAGAGCTGATGTAATCCATCCTCTGTAGGTCTGTAACTGCTGCCAGACAGGAGACGTCCAGTACCAGCCCACATAGTACTGAGGCTGGACCAGGACTGGACCAGGACCAGGACTCAAACCGTCTTGAATAAAGTGCCTGAGAGTGTCAGTGGAGTTTGTGTGGACAGTGATCCGTGGGTGTTTGATTGGTCAGCCTTTTGGAGACCCTAATATTTACTGTCTATGAAGTTACCTCAGGGGTCCACACTGGGACCCACAGTCTTCATAACCTGTGGGGTACCTCAGGGGTCCACACTGGGACCCACAGTCTTCATAACCTGTGGGGTACCTCAGGGGTCCACTGTAGTGGTTTTTAATTCAAATAACTTTCACCAAAAGCCGAAAGTAAAGTTAAGAGAGTGCTTTTTATTCATTTAGTTTCAGCTTGAGGAAAACCGTCAGTCAGCATGGAGTCCGTACACAAGACTGAAAGTCCTGTCCTGGTTCCTGTGTTTTAATACTCTTGGTCCGAGTTCCATAAATAGAAATCTTGGCAGTGGCCGGATAACTAAAAGGAAACCAGATTTCCAGTTTCCTAATGACTTGTTCCCAAACAGCATTCTTTACCGGTCAACAGTGTTCAGGTCATCATGACCTAGCGCTTATCTAAACACAGCTCAAGAGAACATTCCACTGAACATTCTACCACACCACACTGGGACCCACAGTCTTCATAACCTGTGGGGTACCTCAGGGGTCCACACTGGGACCTACAGTCTTCATAACCTGTGGGGTACCTCAGGGGTCCACACTGGGACCCACAGTCTTCATAAACTGTGGGTTGCCTCAGGGGTCCACACTGGGCCCCACAGTCTTCATAACCTGTGGGGTACCTCAGGGGTCCACACTGGGACCCAGTCTTCATAACCTGTGGGGTACCTCTGTTTTAGCTCCACTCACACTACGGCCCCACCCCTTCTGTCTAAACAGAGTTTTTGAACTTTGTAATTCCGTGTTATAAAATCAGAGTGTAAAGTGGCAGCAGTCTAAGCAGAGACGCCCAGACTTCCCTATCCACACACACTTCCTCCAGCTCGTCCGGGGGGACCCCAAGGCGTTCCCAGGCCAGCTGAGAGACATAGTCCCTCCAGCGTGTCCTAGGTCTTCCGCGGGGCCTCCTCCCGGTGGGACGTGCCTGGAACACCTCCCCAGGGAGGCGTCCAGGAGGCATCCGGAACAGATGCCCGAGCCACCTCAACTGGTTCCTCTCGACGTGGAGAAGCAGCAACTCTACTCCGAGCTCCTCCCGTGTGACTGAGCTCCTCACCCTATCTCTAAGGGAGCGCCCAGCCACTCTGCGGAGGAAGCTCATTTCGACCGCTTGTATCCGCGATCTCGTTCTTTCGGTCATTACCCAAAGCTCATGACCATAGGTGAGGGAGGGAACGAAGATTGACCGGTAAATCGAGAGCTTTGCCTTTCGGCTCAGCTCCCTCTTTACCACAACGGTCCGATACAGCGACCGCATCACTGCGCACGCTGCACCGATCCGCCTGTCAATCTCACGCTCCATTCTTCCCTCACTCGTGAACAAGACCCCGAGATACTTGAACTCCTCCACTTGAGGAAGGACTTCTCCACCCACCTGCAGAGGGCAAGGCACCTTTTTCCGGTCGAGCACCATGGCCTCGGATTTGGAGGTGCTGATTCTCATCCCAGCCGCTTCACACTCGGCTGCAAACCGCCCCAGTGCATGTTGCAGGTCCTGGTTCGTTGGAGCCAACAGGACAACATCGTCCGCAAACAGCAGAGATGAAATCCTGTGGTCTCCGAACCGGACCCCCTCCGACCCCTGGCTGCGCCTAGATATTCTGTCCATAAGAATAAACTGTTTTTATTAAATGTTTTATGAAACATTCCCCGGGGAGGAGGCCCCGGGGAAGACCTAGGACACGCTGGTAGGACTATGTCTCTCAGCTGGCCTGGGAACGCCTTGGGGTCCCCCCGGACGAGCTGGAGGAAGTGTGTGTGGATAGGGAAGTCTGGGCGTCTCTGCTTAGACTGCTGCCCCCGCGACCCGGCAACGGATAAAGCGGAAGAAAATGGATGGATGGATGGAAATGTTTTATGAAATGATACAGTCTCAGATCATTGTAAAGACAGGCCTTCATTTGGTGGACTCTTGGCTGCAGTTCCAGGGTCTGCCACCAGGGTTCAGGTCCTGCAGCCACAGTCCCAGGGCGAACTTGGTCCCAGTGCTGATCCGCTCCAAGTCTGGTCCATGATCCGGAGCGGAGTTTCTGAAGACCGAGACCGGGACCAGGACTTCAGTCAGAGAGCCGTCAGCAGAGACCTCAGAGACCCTGAGAGACAGGTTTGACAAATGTAAACACATGCCATTGCACTGGGTTTCTATGAATGACAGGAATCCTGATTTTGTCCTGCTTTAGTACCAGACTGAGTCCTGGTTGCAGTCCTCTTGGCTCAGCACGGTTCGGATCAGACCAGGATCTGCCCACAAACAGGCGCTGACCTCCACTGCAGACGGACGCAACTCCTCCTGCGGAAACACAAAAGGTCTGGTCTCTCTCTGGTCTCTCTCTGGTTACTCTGGTCTCTGGTACCTGCAGTTCTTCATGGTCCTTCCTGGTCTTCAGGAGGACATAGACAACAATGTGATGTCTTTGGGGAAGGCCTCTGCTCAGCGCCGCAGGAAACACAGACTGAAGCACAGACAGAAGATGGAGCCCCCTGGTGGTCAAACCCTTGAACTGCAAGCTCTTCTGCTACATTAGACATAATATAATACATCCTTCTTACTGATAAGAAGACGGCCTGTGTAGATACACAGGCCTGTGTAGATACTCCAAAAAAATGTTACGCGCAGAGAGCGCGCAGTAAACGCGTACGCGCTGTTTACGCCTACTGTGTAAATTCCCCGTTACAAACCTCCCAAAGTCCCAGAGTCTGAGTCTGGACCTGCTCTGGGACCAGACTGAGTCCAGTTTCCTCTTCCAGTTCCCGAAGTCCAGCCTCCAGCACCTACCAAAACCAAAGATCAAGTTTGGACCCAGTCTAGACCAGATTTAGTCCAGAGTCATCCTCACCGTTTCATCTGGTTCAATATGGCCGCCTGCAAACAGAAAACACGTTGATGTTCAGGATTCACCTGTCACCATACGTGCTAAGCCTACGTGCTAAGCATACGTGCTAACCCTTTGTGCTAACCATACGTGCTAATCCTACGTGCAAACCATATGTGCTAACCCTCCGTGCTAACCGTATGTGCTAATCCTACATGCAAACCCTCCGTGCTAACCCTACCTGCTAACCCTCTGTGCTAACCCTACGTGCTAACCCCACGCACACACACGTTTATGTGCGTTGCGGATCCTCCCTGAATATTGACAGGAATTTTGCACACTTTTGCTAACTCATGCTAACTCATGCTAATTCAGACTAATACATGCCAACTCATGCTAATTCATTACTTATTAGGTGCTTACTCATGCTAATTCAGACTAATACATGCCAACTCATGCTAATTCATTACTTATTAGGTGCTTACTCATGCTTATTCAAACTAATACGTGCTAACTCATGCTAATTTGGGCTAACACTTGCTAACCTGGAGGGACCCACACGTTGGGGAAGATCCTCAGGGTTTTGGCTCGCCGCGTGAGGAGAAGCCTCTGATTGGATGACTGCAACAGGATAGCCACGCCCACATCTACGCCCCCTTGCGTCATGTCCAATGGGATTGAAGCAGCCTCTGTGACGGACAGGCGCTTCATGGGACAGAAGGGCGCCCTCTGGAGACGAGAGCTATTTCAGTCCTGCTCCTTACCCCCAGTGGGACCCCCTCTGCTCCTTACCCTCAGTGGGACCCCCTCTGGTCTCTGGTACTGGTCCCTGGTCTCTGGTCTCTGGTCTTTAGACAGGATGAACTGGTTTTGCTCCAGTCTGAAGTTCACTTTGACCTCGTCGTCTGTTCCACCGGCCATCAGCCCTACCAGGCTCTGCACAGACCAGACCAGACCAGGATTAAGACCGTGACCAAGACAGTTTTAGACGGGAGACAAAGACGGGACTAAAACGAGACTAAGATTGAGACTAAGCCTGGACTAATTGCATTGAGCTAGCAGGTTAGCATTGAGCTAGTGGGTTAGCATTGAGCAAAGCTTGTAAATCGGAACAAATACTTTTGTATGAAACTCATTTGTTTTTTCTGTCTTGACTCGAAATCCTTAATTGACGGTCGCTGGGCGAGTGTGTGCGTACCGCTGTTTGGGAAACATAGGTTTAGTTCAAAATTCTGACCTGAAGAAACGGGACTCTGTAAGGACTGGACCGCTCTGAGGCCACGTGGACCAGGACCCTGAGGGACATCTCCAGACCAGCTTCTGACCTGCTTCAGACCTGCTTTAGTCCTGCTTTAGATCTGCTTTAGTCCTGCTTTAGTCCTGCTTTAGTCCTGCTTTAGTCCTGCCTCAGACCTGCTTTACTCCTGCTTTAGTCCTGCCTTAGACCTGTCTCAGACCTGCTTTAGTCCTGCTTTAGACCTGCTTTAGTCCTGCTTTAGACCTGCTTTAGTCCTGCTTTAGTCCTGCTTTAGTCCTGCTTTAGTCCTGCTTTAGACCTGCTTTAGACCTGCTTTAGTCCTGCTTTAGATCTGCTTTAGTGCTGTAGACCTGGTTCCATGGAACATGCTTTGTTTACTTCCGTTCCTCCGTCGCATGGTTTTCAGACCAGATGCGCCCTCTGCTGTTCATTGTGTAGAACGTCCTTGGATCCATTAGATAACGTCACACTCACAAAGTCCCGGATGTAGACGTTCTGTGTGGAGACCAGAGAGAGACGAGAGAGACCAGAGACAGAGAGAGACCAGAGTGAGACCAGAATGACAAGAGAGAGACCAGAGACGTAGGTTTCCTCCGGGTACTCCGGTTTCCCCTACCACTAAAAGTATGTACAATAGGTCTGGCATGCGCCTCCTGTTCGGCGACCCCGCTCCCATCTCTGTGTGGAGTGAGAGGACAAGTGCCCAAAAATAACAATTGTAAACCGCTTTGTGACTCTGGTCTGTGAAAGGCGGTATATAAATAAACATTACTTACTTACTTACTTAGACCAGAGAGAGACAAGTGGAACATTCCAGACCTCTCTCCCTGAGAAACAGATTTACATGTGACATGTGTAAATAGCCTTCCACACACAAGAGACACAGGCATTTTGGCTCTGATGAACCAGGACACAGACAGGCATTTTAGCTCTGGTGAACCAGGACATGTTGATTTCGGTGGTGGTGTAACAGGAAACAGAATTATCCAATGAATTCTAATGACGTCTTTTATCCTCAAAAGCAGCTTCACACGATGGTTCCAAAAGTCGCCTCAAGATTCAAGAATTAATTTGCAGTAAAACCACATTGGAAAAAACGGTGCAAGACTCCCCCAGTTTGCACCAGAGAGCACCAGGAGAACACAAGGTGAGCACCAGGTGAGCACCAGGAGAGACACCAGGAGAGACACCAGAAGAGCTTGAGGAGAGCACCAGGAGAAACACCCGAAGAGACACAAGGAGAGCTTCGGGAGAGCGTCTTAACAGTCTGTGTGGATCCTGGCTCAGGTGTGTCCTGTGTGGGCGTGCCTCCTTCAGGGCGGGCCATCAGGCGTACGGCCCAATGAAGGACCGACGCCCATATTTGTGTCTTTTTGCGCCCTCATAGTGTCCCATATTTTGTGTCTCCCCCGTGTCTCCTCTGTGTCTCCTTTGTGCCTCCCCCGTGTCTCCTCCGTGTCTCCCCGTGTCTCCTCCGTGTCTTCTCCGTGCCTTCTCCGTGTCTCCCCCGTGTCTCCTCCGTGTCTCCCCCGTGTCTCTTCCGTGTCTCCTTTGTGTCTCCTCCGTGTCTCCTCCGTGTCTCCCCCGTGTCTCCTCCGTGTCTCCTCTGTGTCTCCCCCGTGTCTCCTCCGTGTCTCCCCCGTGTCTTCTCCATGTCTCCTCTGTGCCTCCCCGTGTCTCCTCCGTGCCTCCCCCGTGTCTCCTCCGTGTCTCCTTTGTATCTCCTCCGTGTCTCCCCCATGTCTCCTCCCTGTCTCCTCCATGTCTCCCCCGTGTCTCCTCCGTGCCTCCCCTGTGTCTCCTCCGTGTCTCCTCCGTGTCTCCCCCGTGTCGTCTCCGTGTCTCCTCTGTGTCTCCTCCATGCCTCCCCTGTGTCTCCTCCGTGTCTCCCCCGTGTCTCCTCCGTGTCTCCCCCATGTCTCCTCTGTGCCTCCTCCGTACCTCCCCCGTGTCTCCTCCGTGTCTCCCCCGTGTCTCCTCCATGTCTCCTACGTGTCTCCTCCGTGTCTCCTACGTGCCTCCTCCGTGTCTCCTACATGCCTCCCCCGTGTCTCCTCCGTGTCTCCCCCGTGTCTCCCCCGTGTCTCCTACATGCCTCCCCCGTCTCCTCCGTGCCTCCTCTGTGTCTCCTCCGTGTCTCCTACATGCCTCCCCCGTGTCTCCTACGTGCCTCCTCCTTGTCTCCCCCGTGTCTCCTATGTGCCTCCTCCGTGTCTCCTACATGTCACCCCCGTGTCTCCTACGTGCCTCTTCCGTGTCTCCTCCGTGTCTCCTACATGCCTCCACCCTTGTCTCCTCCGTGTCTCTTATGTGCCTCCTCCTTGTCTCCCCCGTGTCTCCTACGTGCCTCCTCCGTGTGTCCGTGTCTCCTACATTCCTCCTCCTTGTCTATACGTGCCTCCTCCGTACCTCCTCCGTGTCTCCTACATGTCTCCCCCGTGTCTCCTCCGTGTCTCCTACGTGCCTCCTCCGTGTCTCCTACATGCCTCCCCCGTGTCTTCTCCGTGTCTCCTCTAACTTTAGTCTAAATAACACATGTTTAAAGCTCAGGTCTGTAACTTTAGTCTAAATAACACATGTTTAAAGCTAAGCCTCCTTGTCAGGTCTGTAACTTTAGTCTAAATAACACATGTTTAAAGCTAAGCCTCCTTGTCTCAGGTCTGTAACTTTAGTCTAAATAACACATGTTTAAAGCTAAGCCTCCTTGTCAGGTCTGTAACTTTAGTCTAAATAACACATGTTTAAAGCTAAGCCTCCTTGTCTCCTACGTGCCTCCTCCGTACCTCCTCCGTGTCTCCTACATGTCTCCCCCGTGTCTCCTCCGTGTCTCCTACGTGCCTCCTCCGTGTCTCCTACATGCCTCCCCCGTGTCTTCTCCGTGTCTCCTCTGTGTCTCCTCCATGCCTCCCCTGTGTCTCCTCCGTGTCTCCCCCGTGTCTCCTCCGTGTCTCCCCCATGTCTCCTCCGTGCCTCCTCCGTACCTCCCCCGTGTCTCCTCCGTGTCTCCCCCGTGTCTCCTCCATGTCTCCTACGTGTCTCCTCCGTGTCTCCTACGTGCCTCCTCCGTGTCTCCTACATGCCTCCCCCGTGTCTCCTCCGTGTCTCCCCCGTGTCTCCCCCGTGTCTCCTACATGCCTCCCCCCTGTCTCCTCCGTGCCTCCTCTGTGTCTCCTCCGTGTCTCCTACATGCCTCCCCCGTGTCTCCTACGTGCCTCCTCCTTGTCTCCCCGTGTCTCCTATGTGCCTCCTCCGTGTCTCCTACATGTCACCCCCGTGTCTCCTACGTGCCTCTTCCGTGTCTCCTCCGTGTCTCCTACATGCCTCCACCCTTGTCTCCTCCGTGTCTCTTATGTGCCTCCTCCTTGTCTCCCCCGTGTCTCCTACGTGCCTCCTCCGTGTGTCCGTGTCTCCTACATTCCTCCTCCTTGTCTCCTACGTGCCTCCTCCGTACCTCCTCCGTGTCTCCTACATGTCTCCCCCGTGTCTCCTCCGTGTCTCCTACGTGCCTCCTCCGTGTCTCCTACATGCCTCCCCCGTGTCTCCTCCTTGTCTCCCCCGTGTCTCCTACGTGCCTCCTCCGTGTCTCCGCCGTGTCTCCTACGTGCCTCCTCCATGTCTCCTCCGAATTCATTGGGTATTTGTGTTTCCTGTGCTTCTGCATACTGTATAAATAACCTTTAAAAAAACATGAAAAAAAAGAAGACAAAAAGGCGGTTTTTTGGTCCCAGTCCAGCCCTGGTTTTCCACTGACCCCGCCCCTTTATGTGACGTTAGCCCCACAGGACCCCTCTCCCCCCATGATGCCAGTCTAATGCCTGGTTCTGGTTTACTATTGCTTTAGTCCTGTTTAGTCCTGTTTAGACCTGGTTCAGACCTGGTTCAGACCCGGTTCAGACCTGGTCCAGACCTGGTCTTTGCTGCAGCATGCGTCTCTGTGCGGTGGTCGTCTTCTTGTGCAGTGAGTTACTTCTTTACACTGTTATAACTTATGTTCCATTGTGTAAAAGCTGAGGTGACGTCTGTAACTTTAGTCTAAATAACACATGTTTAAATCTCAGGTCTGTAACTTTAGTCTAAATAACACATGTTTAAAGCTAAGGTCTGTAACTTTAGTCTAAATAACACATGTTTAAAGCTCAGGTATGTAACTTTAGTCTAAATAACACATGTTTAAAGCTCAGGTCTGTAACTTTAGTCTAAATAACACATGTTTAAAGCTCAGGTATGTAACTTTAGTCTAAATAACTCATGTTTAAAGCTGAGGTCTGTAACTTTAGTCTCAGACCTGGTTCAGGACAGGCTGGGACAGGTCTTATCCTGTATTGTGTGCAGATCTGCAGATCGTCTGTTCTGATGAAGACCATGTGACTCCAACTCCGGACTATGACTACAACGCCACCTTCGACTACTACTATGGTGAGAGACCAGAGAGAGAGACCAGAGAGAGAGAGCAAGAGACCAGAGAGACCAGAGAGAGAGACCAAGAGACCAGAGAGAGAGACCAGAGAGAGAGAGACTAGAGAGAGAGACCAGAGAGAGAGACCAAGAGACCAGAGAGAGAGACCAGAGAGAGAGAGACTAGAGAGAGAGACCAGAGAGAGAGACCAAGAGACCAGAGAGAGACCAGAGAGAGAGACCACAGAGAGAGACCACAGAGAGAGACCAGAGAGAGACCGGACAGAGACCAGAGAGAGACCAGAGAGAGACCAGACAGAGACCAGAGAGAGACCAGAGAGAGACCAGAGAGAGACCAGAGAGAGACCAGAGAGAGACCAGAGAGAGACCAGAGAGAGACCAGAGAGAGACCAGAGAGAGACCAGAGAGAGACCAGAGAGAGACAATACAATACAATAGAATGTATTCTTGTATAGCCCTAGGTCACAACAGAAGTCATCTCAGAGACTTAACAAAACGATTGAAATCACCAACACAGGTCAGAGAATCAACAGTTAAAACACAAGAAGAATATAAAGCACACACAGAAGAAAATGTTCATACATGTTGTAGAATGCTAAAGTGTCCTGATCATCACCAATCCTTTCTGTTGG